ACGCCGGAATATCCCTTTAAGTCATTTCATAAAACTTGCAAAGAGTTTTCATGTGTGTCAAACAAAGATTCAAATTCCTGTAACTTCAACTTATTTTTACCATGCAGGTCTTCTGGATAAAAATATTTATTATGGATTAAAAAAATAAAATTAACTTTCTTTTTTAAGTGCTAAACTGAGCTAAAACTGATCTTACTTACTCCAAAAGTAGGCTAATTTAAATTTGCTGCATAATCCTTCACTGCACAGTCGCCTCCTACACATTGCAATTCCACAACAGCACCGAAATGAAGCTCTGCTCTCATCTCGCCTTTTTTTACTTACACACAGTATTGGTGTCCCACCATGTGATTTCACATCCCATTATGGGGTTGCGAAAGTGTGAGAGGCACATCTTGTAAACACACAGTGGAAGCTCCATCGACTCACACACTCAGACATGCATGTAAGCGCAGAGTTTGTCCGCCCTGCCAGCTCAGCTTTTTCACTGTCCTCCATCCATTACGTCTCAGTTACTACCTCCAACAGCAAAACAGCTTCCAATCACCATTACGCCTCTGTGCATTACACATCTCACATGAGACGTAACTATGTCGTAAATATCCCACTTTGAAATCGCACTATGTCAGAGTCGTATATTTAAATACATCGACTGCGATTACATCAGATTTGTGCATGTTGGCCGTCACAGGCATACGCACACGTCCTCAGGCCGAACCTAACCTGGTAAAAATAGATTCCCACACACACGGAAAAAAATGTTTTTGTTCACTGACTGACCAAAGGTTTGTTTAAAACCAGTCTGGACGTCTAACCGTTGTTTTCTTGCCTCATCCGACTTATTTGTAGTGAGTTCTTACTGTTTATCTCAGGTTGTGGATGTGGTGCTTTTCTGGTTGGATCAGACTAAACTCGACAAAACAGTCCCTGAGCTCAGAGCCAGATAATAACACTATCTGATGAGCACGGTGAAAGAAACTGTCTCCACTCGGATCTACATGATAATATTGGAAACGCCAGTGGGAGACAAAAATGGACTAAAAGCAGGTATTGGAGTAACAGCTGTGCATGGTGTTGATGCAAGCAGAGTGACTGGACCATCTACGGTTAATCGTGGCTGTAAATGTTTTGATGATGAATGGAAAATCTGACGATAAAATATAATAACCTCCAAGCACTGCAAGGCTCCTTTGAAAGCAATGAAAATTAAACTGTCCCTGAATGAAAACCTCCTCTGAAAGCTTCTGACCGTGAACTCGCTCTGTCCCTCAACATTTACACTACAATCGATGGTGTTTTCTTCCTCCCAGCCCTGTTATTCTATTCATCTCTCTTTTAGCATAATATCCCTCCCTCCCCCTTCTAGCCGGACTCCTGTTTCTATAGGAGTCCAGCTAAGTCTGACCTTTCTGCCCTGTGGCACCTCGCAGGGATGGAGGGCCCAGGGCTCAGCGAGAACCCGTGAACTCCTCGCTTTGGAAAGAAGGACGTAGCAAGTGGGAGGGAGCAAGCCGTACTGGACAATTAGCCCCCTTAGGTGTATAGTAGGCGGACTCCTCGAGGTGGAATACACTGTGAGTGTTTGAGAGACTGACAACCAGCGAGAGGAGCCAAAGAGAGAGAGGGAGATAGTGTGTGTGTGTGTGCGTGGGTGTGTGTGTCACAACGTTTTGCATTTGCACGCCCAGCGGTTGTTGTTCTGAAATGAGACAGTATGTCTGCTGCCCGGAGGCGTCAATACAACCATTTCTATTATTCAGGGCTGATTACAGCACTAAATCGTACAGCAGTGAATACTTTTTAATGAGCTTTGAAATACAACAGAGAAAGTTTGTCGGCTTTTTTGTTTGTCTGGAAGCAGCAGGCGGGAGGAGGGGAGAAGAGAGCGCATTTGCAGGAGTGATTTGATTAGAGTGTTGGTGTGTGGGGAGCAGGTTGTGTGTACCTGGAGGCGTATTGGTGGTAAAGATTTTATCCTACAGGTATGTGCATGCAAATGTACATACATTCATGTGCATGGAAGAGCTTAAACTCTACATGTGCAGCATTTACATTTATATCGATATGCACTCCAAAACAGGGTCAGTGCAAATAAATCTGCATCTGACTGTGTGTGTGTGTTTGTCTGCCGTCTCACAAACTAGCCCATTGCTCTAAACAAGGCTGATCGACCTGTGGCTGCCTGGTGATCATGGGCTGGTGCACCCACTCTGCATGTTCATTGATGACAGGTCAGGCCGCTACCCCAGCATCCCCCTCAGGCCTGCGCACAGAGCAGGGAGGTCGAGGGAGGGCAGGGTGCACGTGGGCTCTTTACCATCTCTCCCTGCACTCGTGTGTTATCCTCAGAAATAACACAGGCTGAGCTGACAGCACAAGGTCGACCGGAGAAGAAAGGAGAAGCAGTCCTAGACACCCGAACCTGAGAGAGAAAAAAAACACAGAGTGAGAGAAGTACTCTCCTGCAGCTTTCTGAAGTGGTCTTGTCACAGCGAGCCACAAAAAACAGGTTCTCCATTAGAATCTCTTCTCTTTATTAACTCAGATTCAGTTTTATTCAGTGGGGAAAAGCCGGTGATATCAAGGTGGATCTCCAACAAAACAGCTGCAGAGTTCAGGGTAGAAGTCACAAACAAATAAACATTCATACTCAGATTAATCCTGATGATTTACTACAACATCATTTCACTCTGTCGAGGTTTTTATCCGCATCACCGACCAATAACTTATCATCTTTGACTTACTTTCAGATTGGAAAGAAACAAAAACAAAAATTCAATTTTAATCTTCAGCAAAAATTTGTGCTTTTTTGAGGCAACTGAGGAAATAAGCAAGTCATACAATAATACAGATTTCTATCCAGGTACTTCTTAAAATTCATGATCAATCAATCAAATTAAGATTTATATATCCTAAAGTGTCAATAAGCATGCAGCAGTACTGTGAATTCATGGTAAAAGTCCTTTATACTGGTGGCACAAAACAGGAAAGAGACGAGAAGAAGCAGCAGCTGCTAGTGAGCTGACTGTAGCATCACTGTCAAAAACTAATGCTCTGGGTAAATCATGAATTAATAAACTAGTTGGAGCTTGTGTCTAATCAGGTAACTGATTATTTAAGCATTTTGTCATGAAACGAGGCACAAGAGGAGGACACAACAAATCAATTTGTCCGACAGACAGAGTTAAATAAAGCACAAGCAGAAGTCGGTACGCAAAAAGGCAGTCAGATCAGGCAGAGGTATCCAAAACGTGAGGCAAAAAGGCAAGATCCAAAACAGCAGGCTTTACTTTAACTGTGAATAATGCTGGAACGAGACACAAGGTACAACGAATTTGTATTATTCTATAGTTGTCTGAACAGTTTTTATCAACTTCTGTAACTCACAATCTACCAGGAGTAGTACACTTCAAAATAAAAGCATAATTTGACTATGCAGCAACTAAAGCAAGACAATACAATTTCAAAATAAAAGCACGAGGAACATTTGTATAATGAAGGAGGTAAAGAAACTTCCATTACAAGTCTGGTGACGTTAATAAATCATAGTTTTAATAGAACAGAAGTAGAAATACCATTAAACTGATAATAACGATGACCTCCAACAGCAAAGGAAAGCATTAGCAACAGGGCGGATAATTTCTTTGTAATTTACGATGCCTGAAGCTGCTGTGAGGTGGTAGGTGTCAGACTGAATGACTGACAGAAGGCTGAAGAAACAGCCTCATTTTTCTTTTCACTTTTTTCCTTTGGTAATTACTCAAAGTGAACGAAACAAAAGACTACAAGGGCAGGTAGCCTAGAGGTTTTAATGCCCCACATATGAAGGCAGGTATGTAATTTCAATGTGCTGAAAGACGCAAAAACGGTGAAGCTACAGTCAACTGCAAAGATCATTTAAATGCAATTGTGAATTCAGCAGCACGAGTGTCTCAGTAATTTGAAATGTTTCTGCAGCTTTTATATCAGATCAGACACTCAACCAGGTTCATCCAGGGAATATTATAAAAACAGCTTTCATGCCAGAAACACTGCTCCTGATTTCTAAAACACTCAGATCAGAAAATTGGGGATCAGCTATTGTTGAGGCTTTGTACTGAGGGTTCAGTCGCTCTCGCTTACACACCAAAGAGAGATCTGCCTCCATCAGGCGTGCATTCAGACCAGAAGCACAGATGGTCTCATTCTGTGATTAGCTGGACATCAGTCTCTCTGGTTCCATCTCGCCTGCATCTCCTCTTCTATCACTACTCCTGGTCTGAGCAGGTGTTTGGCCCGCAGTCAGAGTCCAAATCAGATCCATTTCATCTGTAATCAGCTGGAGCCCCTGGCACTGATGGAAGGGATCAGAGTGCCGATCAAAGAATTATAAGCCGACCACGCCTGGCCAGCCGACCGTGACACGGACAGGGCGGCGAGGAGGGGCCGCATGGGCGATTGTGGGCGAGCGAGCAAGAGTTACAAGGGATGAAAGGAGAGAGGACGGAGATTCGAGGGCCTGGGGAGTCTCCCTGGGGAGGGACATGAAAGAGCAGGGCGCTGGAGGGAGGAAGCAGGGAGGCTAAGATGTTACCATGCAAGCTCCTGTGGGAGGTTTTCGCTCTTTTCACTGAGTGGAAATAGGTTGTTTAAAGTGAAATGCAGTGCTCGGTTGACTTTAATTTTAAGTAATTAAGATGGGAAGTGAATCCCAATCACAATGTGAGAGGAAAGTCGATGACTTTAACTTAACGTCTCGCCTCTGGTTAGGAAATTATTAATTGTGTGCAAATATGGGAAATCATTTGCTCAGGAGCGTGAAAATTGATGGGTGGCTCTCATACTGATGGGAGCAATTACTAAAAGAGGATTTCAGACACTTGCAGGGATGTGTTCACATGCTTTCGGATGTTCCAGCGAGCGTGATCACTTATTCATCTGCTGTATTCATCTTCCCCTCTTGTCCACGCATCCACTCACTTCATGCAGCTCGCGCTTTGATTAGCCGTCTTTCATCTGCGCCAGCTCCTGTAAACACGCAGCGTTTTAATGCGAGCCGGTCAGCATGATGCATTCACACCTATGCTCGCAGATAAGCTAGTTAATGCTATCACTTAAATGCAGACCCACTCATGTGTGGTATTGCTGTAAACCGTTTATTCAAACCAGCCAGACACTCGTAAACAAACACGCACACTTGCTGTAAGTGTCCACCTGTGTCTTTGTGCTGCTGGAGGAGGGAGGGTGCGCGCATCTTTCAATATCAATGAGGTGTCCATGTCTGCTCCATTAGCTCCACAGTGAATAAGGAAGAGTGCATCAGCTCTGAAGCCTGCGCCTCTCTTGTCGCTGTATAGCTGTAAAACGCCCTGAGTTCGATGTAGAGCTGTGTTTTTTCAGCCTGGATGCACATTTGGCTCGGCGGCTCTGTGAAAAGAAAACGCTCGAGTCCATGTTGACTTCCCTCACATCCCACAAGTCATCAATTTTGCAGCGAGCGCAGAAACACAATATTTTTTTCACTCTGATTTCATAGCCATTTTGCTCTGGACTTGAACCCAAAGCCCTAAAATCTCCTCTTTGATGTGCCCCCACTGTTGTGCCCATTGTACATTTTTACATTCATATTCCAGGCATTAAGCTTAAGCTGTCCTACAAAGCGACTTAGAGCGTGTGAGCGCCAATTTAAATCACCAAAAGTGTTTTTAAAAGACCTCCATTTTTTTTTGAAGGGGCTGATCTCTGATCAAAACGTTTCTGCTGTAAATATTCATCTTAAATTGGCGGAAATTATCATATGATACATCTCCTCCCAAGGCTCTCGGGTGAGTTCAAAGACTCCCAGATAACATTTTGAACTCCCTGAACTCATTTGAATCACAAAAATGGAAGTAGGTGAACCCCGGGTCGCAAATTATCATCTGGCAAAAGTGTGTGTAAAAAAGATCATGTTTTAAACTTGGAGAGTTCGCAGTGAGAGAAAAGTTCAAGAGCTGAAACACCAATATTCCTCTTTTATGACCTTCATTTTTCTCTCTTAGTGGCACACTCTGCTTGTTTGGAGTTTAGCCCCTGGTCACAGGTAATAAAATACTTTCATACAGTAAATCCAGGGTGTTGTTCGGCTCTGAACATGAGCTGTCATACATCCAGTGTCACTCTTTTATGGCGCTGGTGTGTTTTAATTCAAGGACACTCAGTTTTAGATCGCTCTTCTGTTTGTGAATTGTATGAAACGCTCGGGTCAGACCATGCCAGTAGCTCTGCGAGGCTGTTCTTTGAACTCAGAGTCAATGCCATGTTGTGTTGACATTAGCATGACAATGATAATGAAAGAAGACAAAGCTAATACAAAGAGATTAGCGGGTTTATTGTTTACATCTGCATAATTATCATGTTAACATTTGCTAATTAACAGATTATTTAGATCTGAAGGTATTTACATACAGAGACATTTAGAGAAATAAAGACTTGGGTTATACGAGGTGATAAAGTAAAAAGAGATCATCTAAAGCACTTTATGATAACTACATTTGCTCCCTGGGTGTAGTGAGATGCACTCTGATACCATGTCTTGCACCAGTTGGGGTATCCTGTTATGATGTGGTATTTTACCCAGAAGGCAACACTTCAAAAGCAAGCGGCAACACGGCAACATAAAGCATGTTGAACACAGCCAATCAAGGACCGGTTTAGGATCACTTTCTTCTTTATTAGGTCATAATCATGCATTTATAAAAAACTGTATCAACCCTTTGGAGTGCTGGGGTGAATATTTTTTGTAGGATGGTAAGGGAAGATCCCGCCTTCCTTCGCCCCTGATTGGCTAGAAGTGCTGGGCTCTGATTGGTTATTCCTAATGGCTGTGGAACATCATCCTCTGTCCGGTTAGGGTTAGGGTTAGGGTTCGGGTTCGGGTAAGGGTCAGGGTTAGGATTAGGAGAGACAACAGCCTATGTTTGGCTTGAGCATGTGATGACGTTTCCAGCTTTTCTAGCCAATCAGAGGCAAAGGAGGCGGGACTTTCCCCTACTGTCCTACAAAAAAAAAAAAAATTCTGTGTCGGGGTAGGTACCAGATGTGTTCAGGCTGCCAGATTGCCAGCGCCTGTTGAAAACATTACACTACGACATGTCCACTCCAACAAACTACATGACACTCCATTTAATAAGACAAATGTGCAAATGTGCTTCAATCAACCCCGAAATTTTTCTCCAAATAATACAAAGAATTACAACTGACTGTACTGTAATTTTCAGATGCCTTAAATTGTATATGTTAACTTTTCTAAAGGAAAAGGAAAAAAATGTATGCAGGATCTCTTTTTTACAATAGATAGTTTTGCTTTTTTTTACACAATTCCTTTGGCAGCCTAAAAGAAACAGTAGTCAGTCTGCTGTAAATCCCCTTTGATAAATTGCGATAGATTACTTAGTAAAACCTAATCCAGCGAAAACTGCTTCTTCGATGTCCAAACCAACCGCAATCTTCTACGTCATCCTAACCAACTTCCAGCCAATTATATACCATGACGTCATCAATGGGGGCCTGGCCCAAAGCTTATCTGGCAGCCCAAACACATCTGGTACCTACACCGGTTTGGTTGAAAGACTCTACAACGTTAAATCTCTGTGAATTGGTTCAAGGCATCAGGTCTTTATGCACCTCATGACTATCAGTAGGCTGAGCTCAACTATGAAGGTGCCTGACATGGTGGCAAAACCAGATGGTACTAGAAAGATGGATGCAAAAGTTATATGCATTAAAACGTCAGGTTTTTGTCTATCAGCTCTGTCCTTTGTTTGCTTCAGATATACAGTTTATCCCAAAATAATACACATAATCAGTTTTTCCTGCAGATTCATGTCATAAAAGTGTTTTTAGTTGGTTGAAAAAAGGTCTCTGGGCGTCTATACTTCCCTCCCAAAGGTCTAAGCAATCCCAGTTCGTGCTCACTGGCCTGTCGTTGTGTATTTGTGAGAACAAACCTTGTCATTTTTTCACTTTCATGTGTTTTATTCTTGTAAACATACATACTGTACATGTTCAATAATTTAAGCTCCTGTGCCGCTCCAGCTTTCCCTTTTATGAAATTTAAACTGAACAAAATGTGACGTAAAAAAAACTCCCGGAGCAGCTTTCGTCCGTCACCCACGAGGCGTGAAATCGTTTGATCCTGTTCGTTGTGTTTCGCTTTATTCTGTGTGAGAGAGTTTGTGCTGTTTCTGTGTGTGTTTTTAAAATGCTCCCGGAGCGGTAAAAGGTGGAGAGAAAAGGGAGGGGTTTGCAGGAAGGAAGGAAGGAAGGAAGGAAGAGAGCTGCTGTGTTTGTTTTGTATGAGGCGAGAGGGGAGGATGGGTGCTGTCCTTTAGTCCATCCGTCGGCACTTGTTTGTGTGTGTGTGAATGTATAGAGGAAGTTACGGGTTAATGGACATTAAGTCTGTCCTAGGGTGATAGCCAGAGTGGAGGGCGGAGGGTGATACACCCACAGCAAGGTCAGAGGTCAGGGTTAAAAGCCAAGCGATGCCTGCAAGGACTAGCAATCATCTGGGATTGCACCGTGGGTCAGTGTGTGCGTGTGGAGCTGTGGTACATGACGGAGGGTTTGAAAAGGATGTCAGGAAAGGAGAGGTGGAGAAAATGTAGGGCAGGAAGAGGACAACGGAAAACACAGACACGCAGCGCTGAAGAAAAGAGGACAGGCAGGGGGTTCAAAACGTTCCTTTCCTCTTCTCCTTTTTTTTTTTTTTCTCCGACATCAGCTCACTTCGAAGAAACGACCCAGCTTGCTTCTCCCTACAGGGACTCATCTTACAGTATCAAAAAATACTCTAACAAGGAATACACACGAGAGATCACTCAGACAAGAATCACACACACACACTCTCACACACGTGCGCATACAAATCAACAAGCACAGCCAAGACACACACAGGAGCTAATCAGAACATGTGGCCTATTTCTCTCTATGTTTTAATGAGCTCTCCATTGTGGAGTGCTGACTGATATTATTAGGCTGCCGTGTCTCAGCTCATTAGCTAAACCAGGCTCAACAACAACACCAGCAGCTAAAAGATGATTTGATACCGCCTGCAGAGTTATGCGACGCGGCAGGACCTTAAAGAGGCCACGGTGAGAGACGGAGCCAGAGAGTTAATTTGGTCACCAGGGGGACGGCGAGGCTCAATCTCGCTTCTTATGACACAGCGAGGGGATCATAAGAGCGGGGTTTGATAGAAAGAAGAGAAAAATACATCATAGAGCGACTCCAGCCGTCTCCCCCGGCTTTCATAAAGTTCTCGGCTGATGCGGCTTGAAGATTCAGTGTGCAATTTCAGCAGTGGAGTGGTGGCAGTGGAGAGAAGACGCCAACGACACCACACAGAGAACAATAGCGTCGCTGGCAAATCTGTTCCTAACTGAGTGTTATTGCTCTGTGGCGAATGGCTCCATTTTCATCCAGGCTTTGTTGGGATTGTCTCTGCTAAATGCCACTAAAGCAGCTAAATGAATCAAACCGAAAATGAAATAAAAGACTCTGCCTTTTGGTGTTTACATGCCATTAAAACTAGCAACTCTGCTAGCTTCGCGATACACGAGCCAGCATGTTTACACGACTCCATGGTTGTGTCGGAAACCATCTGCTCATTAACTATTCCCATATTCACTGTAAAAGACTGCTGTATTTGTGTCAGACACATTGGGTAATTTTGGGTAGTTTTTTTTAACCTCCTCCAGTGAAATGCATGATGTCTGTTCGTGCTTGACGAGAGACCGAGCGCACATTAACCTTCCTACACACCCAGGCCATACTTACTGGGAGTTACTGTATACTTAATACCAACCTTGTGGTTAGGATGCCATCTACAACATTTATATCTTGGCCTCATATGACTTCATCAGTGACTGCTAAGGTCAACTGCCTCAAGATAGAAATTACCAACTAGATACACCATCTGATACACAAACCCACATATGGTTAGTTAAATCCAGCCTGATCTAGCTATGACTCATAAAACTTGCTTTACATTACTATCGACAAGCTAACGACAAACTTTTTTGTCATAATATCACTGTTTCCAAAGATCTTTTTAATTATGAATACAGAAAAATGGCCTGAAACACCTCATATGGGCAATGATCTGCTATTATAAAAGCTATTTCTCAATAGCAGATGGTTGCTAAGAAAAACAGACTGTTGCTGGTAATGTGCCTCTAATTACAGCCTCTTGCGAACCGACTGTAATCACATGGTAAATTTTATGTTGGTTTGTTCATGGTGTGGAGAAAAACAGAAAAAAAAAACAGAGCAGAAATGGAAAACTAAACAGAGAAACCTCAGAAATTAAAGATCATGTGTGAAATAAGCACTTAACTAAATGGGATTTGGTGTGAGCGATTGCAGCTCAACCAACTGTTGCAATAAACTCCTTTTTTGGCCTTCGGGAAACAGACAGAAATTTATATTAATGGATTTTTATGATATAAAAAAGCAAATCAAACCATCAGCAGCAAGACTGGTCATTTCTACACTTAAAATTTTGATGCCCGATACTTGTGCAGATGGTAGGTGTCAATGGAGACCATAGACTGTATATAGAATGACACCGTCTGCTTCCTTGCTAGGTAAAGCCATCCCAAGAACAGCACCCTCTAGTGATGGGTTGCAGTATAGGTCATAAATCCCGCCTTCTCAAGCCATCCCTATGAAGCAGTGGACAAACTTTACAAATTGATTACACAGAATATACATTTTTCTCCCTCCTGCTTGCGATGTTGACATGTAGTTATTGTAAGACTGGTTTGTGCTCAAGTCCTCTTTTTTTCTGTACAGCTCCATTTTTAAAAGTTATTAGGGGGTTCATGTTTTCTATGATTGACACTTGATACAGCCTATGGGTGTACAAAGATTGCATAGCACACCAGGGGGATATGCTCTTCGAGCCGAGCGTCCTCACAGCGACTCTCTGCGACTCCTCTCCTCTCCTCTGAGGGCACTTTGGCTTTAAATTTGTGTAATGATAGAAGGCGAAGCCAAGTTGTCAATAGTAAATACAGTCTATGATGGAGACTGAAAAAAAAAGCCAATTTCTTTAAGGTTTTCTATATTAAATATCCACCAAACTTATTCATTTGATTTTCAAAAGTCAGCAGGAAGATATTTTGTTTTCCCAAAAGTTCCCCAGTGGAGCTTTAAGAAGAAAGAGAAGGTGACTGAATGGAAAAATGAAGCGAGAGACAGCAAACCGAAAACGGGGGTGAAATGAGAGCGAGGTGCACACTTGAAATGTTCAAGCTTTTCCCTCTGCAGATGCCTTGAATCTCTCCTCCAACATCCTCTTCCTGCTCATCTCCTCCTATAGTGTTTACACACTGCCTCTCCACTTAATCCGGCCTTCAGGATGCCCACTTCACTTCGTTACCCCTCAGCGCAGTGATAGAGGAGTAGAAGTTGAAGGAGAAACAAAAAAGAAAAATTGCAAAGCTCTTGCAACATCGCCAAACATGTTTTTTTTTTTCTTTCTTCATAACTCTTCTACTATTTCTCTCAGCCTCTCATCCCTCACACCCTCCCTCCATCTCAATCTCAATCTGGGCTCACTCAAGCGTTGGCCGGCATGGCCTCCAGCATCGATCCAATAAAGCTGGTATAGTCAGCACTGCGAAGCCTGGAGAGCTCTCAGCAAAAACCCTGCGTTTAAGCACGCTCATTTAACAGCACGTCGCTATGATCTGATCAGGGCTGGAGGGAGGCGGGGGACCGTGGAGGGTGTTTGATTTTTTTTCCTTTATTTTTTCAGGCTCTTCTTATTTTCCTCTCAAAAGTGTAATCAATTACAGTCACATTGGTTGGACATGGGCACACAAACACGCGTGCACAAGCACACATCTCCAAATCTCAATTACCTTCCCTGCCAATCCACCAAACAGAGCAAATGTTTGTTTGCCAGCTCTGAAATTTAATATTCACGTATGGGAATAAATCAGGAGGAAGGCGTAGGAGACATGAAAAGTGCTACGTTTACTGAGGAGTTTTCTCTCTTTGTTCTGGGTTAAAGTAAATACAGTTTGACATTTTGTGGCTGTTTAAAAGTCAATGGATTCCCCTCTCCAATGAGCATCATCAAAAGCACCATTTCACTCACTGATGCCGAGCAGCAGGTGCAGGAGGGAAAGCCTACAGATGGTGTTTGTGCATATTTGTGTGCATGTGTCTTCTATGAAATTCAATTCAAACGGCAAAGTAGAATAATTGGTTTGATTTAGCGTAATTAAGCTTGGTGAAGTTTTTTGGCGAGTGAATTAGAGATGTAGCCGTTTTAACAGTAACCTTAAAATCTTATTTAAATGTCAGTTTGTTCCAAATTTCTCTCTCTAAAAGCCCATTTCTTTACATTTCTACTCTCTGATTTGTGTCTACCCATGCAGATGGAGCTGCTTTTAAGCGCCGGGGTGTTTACTTTATCCATCCCGGTGATGTGTCCTGCCATTTAAACACAATAGACAACAATACATTGCTTTGTATGCTCACAGCATTTCAAAATGACATTTAAATGTAACCGCTCTGTCGCTCCCTGACTACTGTTGCCCAGTTTCTCAAAAAAAAACACTGTGATAAGAATTTATTGGAACTGCTCTCTCCTAAAGAGAAAGGTCCGTGAATTAAAACTGTGAAATTAACTTTTTGTCAATTAGCCCCCCAGACCTCAGCGTGCTCCAAAAAAAAAACGGCTTATCAGATTTAATGCAGTTGTTTGAAACCCTTCGGCAAAATTTGGCGAGGATATTTCCCGACCTTTAAAAAAATCCAGCTGATAAAGATCCCTGTTTTACTGTATGCATTTATTCACAAAGTTCTGTTGTACGGCCGAGTTGAACACCATGATGCCTCAGAGGAGTCAGTGTGTGCACTTTATTTGTACTGAAAAATTACTCCGAGACTACAAAGACATGCAAATCACAAAGAGAGATCAGGGATGAGACCCCGAGGAGGTGGCTGCAGGCTCATCTCTCTGCCGCACTTTAGTCTTGAAACACTCACTGGAGACCCCAGTTGAGGTGTACTCTTTAGTAACAGGGACAGGTTCTGTGTGCCGCTCTTAAATCTTCCTGCAGAGAAGCATGCAAACTGAATTTACTCCTGCAGCACGGCAACGTAAATCTCAGCAACGGTGTCACATTTAACACCCAGTAAAAATTAAACTATCAATATGACTTGAGGCCGTCAGACGAGTCATTCTTTCATTCACCATTCGTCACTAAACCTCCACCGCCGATCCCAGTTAATCACAGTTTTTAAAAGATTGTTTAACATCCCATCATTTTGCATTTCAGAAACTGTTTTTTGTCGACCTGAGGGAGGCACTAAGACTCGAGTTTTCCACAGTCTTGACTGGCCTGTTGCCAGCTGTCACCCCTTCCTATAAGCACTACTGGTCGTCTACAGATCTGAGGCAGTCTTACAGTTATATGGAGCATTCTTACCACCCAAAGTGCTTCCTCACTACTCCTGACATACACCCTACATTCAGTTACTGATGACAGAGGCTGCTATGGTAGAGGACCATCAGATTAATACACATCCACCCATGGCTGACTGTGCCACAGAAAAAAACAAGGTTTAGGGTCTTGTTCATCTGCACGGAAATTGTAAAGACTGAGGCAGGGAGAGCAGCAGCAAAGACCTCAGGGTAAGGCTGCATGATATTGGAAAAAACTAACATTGCAATGTTTTTCAACCCTGCGATATATATTGCGATATTAAAAAATAGAGGAATTTTCACCAGATGACCTGAGTAGCACTTTATGTTATGCTGCACTGCTGAAATCTTGAGGACAGTTAACCTGCTCTGATCTTACCTCTTCTGTGAATGTTAGTAGAATGGCTTCTTCTGTCTGTCTTAGAGATATTTTTAGCTTGTTTTTATTGCGCTGGGACGTCATTCTAGCAACAGATGAACATAGAGCACGTGTTTTGGTCAACATCATCCTTCTTGTAACTGAAATAATTCCAGATAAATGACGTTGCTTTTCAGTTTACCAACATGTGTTTTTCCCTTGTTCATGCGTTGTTGTTGATGTTGTTACCGGTGTTTGCCAGCCGAAAATTGCACGCACCTCGGAAACGCACACCACTTATAGTAGAGTGGTCCACGGAAATGTTCAATTTAAAACTCATACAGTTCTTATTTGTGGGGCTAAACAGGGATGAGTAATGTTCTGAAAGTAATTCTCAGCGGACACGCGTTTCTCGGCACAACACCGGCAGCGGCAGCGACTCACTCCATGTGCAGGGGCGTAGTTTCCTCCTCTCTGATTTTGATAGATGAGTTCATTCGCCTCCTACATCACAGGCTCTGCAATGTGACTATCGCTCACACGTACATCGCAATGACAATGCTCGAGTGGTGTATCGTGCAGCCCTACCTCAGGGTACAACTGCTGCAGTTTGGCATGCCAAAAGACAAAATAGCTAAATTATGCATGTAAATTATGCACTTTGAGATGACTAAAAGTAGGGGATCATTTTATCATTATTATTATTATTATTATTATTATTATTTTATCCTTTTATTTGATTGTTGAGTTCTTAGCTAATAAGTCTTAACAATTCTTAATTGAGTTAAAACAGATTGTTCTCTCTTTTAGCAGTGTTATTTCTGTCTTGGCACAAAAGTTTTTCAGCACAGGTGGCTGCGAGAAATTCACTTAGGGAATCAGTCCAACATTATTATTGAGAATTATTGTAGAAAATTCAATTTAAAAGGTTTTTTCAATGTGAAACTTTCAACGAGTTAAAAGTAAACTTCTAATGAGGGAGGAATAAATTGAAAAAGCTCTGTTCCTCGCTGACTTTAACGTAATTCTTCTCATAAGTGACATTTTTCAGCTTGAATTTGAGTGCACTTAAGAAAGATTTATGTCACAAATTGATGTCATCGAGTCCACTCAAAACGAATTAAAGACGAAAAAGGGTTCCTCAGAAGAATACAAACGCAGACGTGTGTCACTGTGTGGGTGTGAAATCCTCCTTTGCAGCGGTCCCACCTGCAGCAGCGTAACAAGTCAATCATCCGGCGCTGTTATTAGACCGTAATGTCACTCTGTAGCCCAACACTTGACATGTTCATTAGGTATAAACCAATTCATTTACAACACAGAGCTGTGGGATTGTCCTTGCTTGACATTCATTTCCCAACACATTGCTGTTTGATGCGACGCCAGCGCCAATTAACTTTGATAACTCAGCCCCGGTTTAATATACTGCCGCTGAATGGGCTTGACAAGAGTGCAGCGATAAGCTTTTTCGGAGCTTTTTGAGTGGCGATAGCTGGATTATCACGCTGAGTGAGGGAGGGACGGAAACTTCCCCTCCACAACCCCCTCTCACCCCCCTGGCCAAAAGTCATTAAAGTTTTTGGTTTGTTTTTGCTGGCAGGCTGTTACACTCACATGCACACACATATTCTGATTACAGCCGATCCTGGGTGGCTTTAATAATTTGCATAACTCGTTTTTTTGTTTTACATTATGTGGATTTTGATGACGGTGTTTAATTTTATAGGACATGTTCTCAAAGTGAGGGATTTATCTCCCTGTGCAGCTTGAGAGTGCAAACCGTTTTGTGTGTCTTGTTTTGAAATATGTGTAAGTTGGAACTACTGTCTTGACAAAATAGTTTCTGATAAACAACCAAGCCAATAAAAAAGAGGAGAACTGCTGCTTCCTGCTGATGTGCTGAATTTTTTTTCTCTCTCTCTCTCGGCAGGCCGCCAAGAGCCAAGCTGCTTTCTGAAGTCTCTCCGATCAACTGATTGATCCCGCGATCAATAATTCAAGGCGAGTTCCGACGAGAGGGAGCTGATATGGGAGCCATGGGCGGGACCAAGGTCTTGCTCCTGGTGTTTCTGGTTGGTTGGGAGAAGTCTCTGGGTCTGAACTGGAACCCAGTCCCACGCAAAACAGTTCGATTCAACGGTGAGTCATCTTTTCTGGTTAATAAGAAGGTTTTACCTCAGAGAGATGCTGAACTCTTCAGATTTTTAGAATCGCTGTTAGTAACAGCTTCTTACTCAAGCTTTTGTTCAGGTTAGAAGTCTTTTTTTCGTACATTGTTGATATCTGAAAGATAACAAAAAGAAAACTGAAGGATATTGTTAAAAAAAAACTTTTCTTCCTTTGGGAAGACCAATTCTTTAAAATACAAACAGAATTACAACCGCATTTTACTCATACTAGCATTGATAACTGGGAGACAAGGGTTGATGACTGGCACTTGTACACAGACTTGAGCATCAGGATCAGAAGATGAAGAAAAGGACTTGACTGTGGGTGACTTGACTTAGACTCACTGGTGACGACTCGGACTGAGAGGAAGACTCAGACTCAAGCTATTGGACTATCTCACTCAGACTTCTTTATGAATCAAGGACGATTTGTTACTTTACATGTTTTGACTTGGACTCGATACTAATGACTTCAACTTGTACATAAACTTGATAATTGACTGCACTAGGACTTGGAAGGGGAGAGACAGAATTTGACTCATTTATTGACAAAGACTGATCTATTTTTTCTGGGACTGGACTTGGACTCCAGATCTGATGATTGTACGCTGACTCAATTATCGACTCTATTGGGAGTTGTAGGATTGAGAGAAAGACTCACTGATGGGCTGATTTTTGACTATGCTGGTAATGTAATTTGACTCTACATGGACTTGACTTGAGCCTAGATGGACTTGTACACAGACTTGATTATTGACCGCATTCGTACTTAGAAGACTGAGAGGAAGACTCATGTTTTGACTAAGACTCCATTTTTGTTCTTGGTAGTTACTGTCTTTGACTCAACTTGAACTTGAACACTGATGACTCGGACTTGTTAACATATTCAATCACTGATTACACTAAAACTCTACTACTCTTTTACAAACATGGACTTTTTTGTTGTTTTTTTTTAATGATCTTGTTTTGCTAGCTAACTAGAACAGTTAAGCGTTGTTAATTTCACTCAGATTTCATCGGAGATGTTTTGAGCTGCAGAGAAGTCATACTACGATGCTTTACAAGACGAGAAAAGACAAGAATGTTGATGCAACTTGTTTTTGAGATCCACACCCAAAGAAAGCCGAACAATCAGCCCACTGGAGCGAGTAGAAAGTGGTATAAATCTGTGACTCTTAAAGCTTGATGTTGTTGTTGCACCTTTAAATAGTAGCTGGTGAACTACACTAGCTTGGGTGTCAACTAACATGCTAGGAAGCAGATTGCATAAGGACTAATTAGCTTGTTGCTATGCTTTAGTTAACTTGGTCGCTAAGAAGACAATTAGCACATACGGTTTATTTAAAAACTGTGTTCAACTGTCATCTGAAGCCGATCATCTGATTATCACCTTCCTGCAAAAGCGGATGTTAGAAGAAGAACAAGATGAAACTCAACAAATAAAGCTTGTTAGATTTAAGAGTCTCCAGCTGCTCTTGCCAAGTTCAAGACAAAACCACAGGAAATTATTTATGTCAAACTTCTCCAAAGTTCGCAGAACTTTTTGCTTTTCTCCCTGCAGCCCAATTCACCGAAGCAAAGCGTTGAGACAGAGTTTATTGACCAACAACAGTTGGTAGAAACCCTAGGGTCGGCCCTGGAATGATTTATCTGGCTGGTAATAGCTGTGCAAATGTATTCCAGAACAACAATCAGGAGAGGATTTTCCATTATATCATAGATGGATGATTTCTGATTTTGTTAAGAGCCTGTGTTCGGCTGTCAGCAAGACAATACATCAGTCTAATCCTCGCGCTCAACTGTATTTGCACTCTTTATCTCAGCCCTCCTCTGCAGCCAGCAGCAGCTTTCTTCACCGAACAATCCCAATTGTTGCGAGCTGAGAAATAGTCTGTTTTATTTTAATCCCTCAAAGAGGAAGTGCTGCTTTCTCTCTCTTGAGGATTAGGGAAATACTATAAAGAGAGGTAAAAAATGTAGTAAAAAAGCTATCTCACCTCTCTGTACTACCTATCCCACCTTTCATGCCTTATCTCCCTCTCCCTCCTTTCTCTTCCTCCTTATTCTTTCTCTTTTTATTCCTCCCCTCCCTTCTTTTTTGCTTTGTGTGCCGCGGCTCATCGTATGAGCCCGAAATGCTCTTATAGCGTTGTCACAAAGAGCTCCGATTTCAGCCTCTCTCCAGGAGAATGGAGCTCGGTGGCCATGGAGGGAGTGGGGATATTTCAAAAGCTGCTTTCTCATGCCGCTATCATGCACCCACACCCCTCCTCTTCTGCTTTTTTTACCCACAAAGCCCGCCTCCCTCCTCGTATTCCTCCAAACTACAGCTGTGGAGGGATATGAGGACACAGGATGGGGGTAAAAGCATCGATAGGGCGTCAATACTCCGGGATGACACAGCAAGCTAATATTGGCAGAGAGTGGGTCAGATCTGTGCTGGAAAAGCCTTTTAGTAAAGTCAAAGCAGACAGGGCAAAGTGGGACAGCTGCAAACACACGGTCTTATAAGGAAACAACCCAGAAAATTGCACCGCCACTTAAACTTTCTGTATTTCTGAGCGAGGCTGGCAAGTCAACCTGCCTGTAGAGACAAGATAACTCCCTACTTCTTGTGCAGCTTCACTCTTTCTCTCGTGAATGCCTTCAAAATAAAAGCCCTGTCATGAAAGGAGAATGAAGCAGATTTCGACGCTTCTATCCCACTTGATTCAAGTGTGGCACTCGAGAGCAGAAAGATTCTCGACGCAAATTGATTTGCATTGGAAACAAGTGGGATTATGGCACCGTCGACAGATTCCTCCACTCGGTTGGGGGAAAAAAATGAGATTCTTAGGCTCAATAGTGGGTTAAATGACTTATATGGATGGTTCTAGGAGGGAGATAGGAGAGAGACGAAATGGAAAAACAAAGCTGCAGAAGGAGAGGAGAGGAGAGTGAGGGGGGATGTTTAATGGAAAGAAAGCGAGGGAGTGAGACAGGTGGAGCGACATAGAGAAAGAGCGGGAGAGAGAGAGGTCAGTCACTAACTGCCTTTAAAAGGGCTGAAAGTAGAGGAATGACAGGAAAACACACACGCACACACACATCGTTCACCCTTTGTTGCATTTTGCATGGCGCTGTCTCTACACACACACACACATAAAGCATCTATGTATAACCAGAGAGAGAGAGAGAGAGAGAGAGAGAGAGAGAAAAGGAAGGGAGGAAGAGAGAGAGAGAGTTTCAAGACAGAGACAAGACAAGCGATAAAAACTCAGAGTGAGAGAAAATTTGGGGGCACGGAGGGCGTGTGTGTTTATACCTATTTGTGCAGAGAGAGAGAGAGAGAGAGAGAGTGTGTATTCAGCTCTGAGTCTGTCTATCTAATCCCCCTTTGTTTATATATGTGTGTGTGAGTGTGTGTACTGCTTAGGCTGGCAGTCTGAGGGATTTGAAAGTCCGGGGAGTGTAGGAGGGGTGTGTGTGTGTCTGTGTGTGTGTGTGTGTGTGTGTGTGTGTGTGTGTGTCTGTGAGGGAGTTGGGTGGTAGGAAAGAGATGGTTGAAGAGATAATATTTGCCCCCTCCTCCTCCCTCTACCCCCCCCACCCGGCAATTACAAGACGGCTTACATGAGGTTGCAGAAGAAGAAGCACAAACATCCTCCTTCCTTCTCATGTGTCTCTCTTTCTCTCCTCCTCCTCTTCTTCTTCTTCTTCTTCTTTGTCTTACTTATTTTCTAAAGTCACGTGCAGGCTGTTGTTATTCCACGCCAGCCTCTCATCACATTGACAGAAAGGAAAAAAATACCCGATTGGCTTTTTAATGGGACATTTTATATACCCACGTAATGTATGGCCTTTTGTAGAGCTGCTAATGAGGGCTGTAATTTTCTTTTCTTCTGTCGTCACCCACGCAGAACACGTATCCAGATATTTTATTTAGGTTATATTTCACATCAACTTTGCATTCAGACCGAACAGATTTCTCGTTCATCATCATTTCCTAAAGGTCTTCTCATCCTCACATTTAGACGTTTCCTTCTTTTACGGCTTCGTTTGGTGCTTTTCACTAAGTAGAGATGCATCTCATAAAGATAATTAGAGCTCCGGATCCATTTGTGGCATTAACTGCAAAGCTCTTGCACATCGAGGAACCTTAAAAATAGACTGTATTTGAATATTTAATGCTGCAGGTCAGTGACTTTTGAAAACACTTACTGAGGCATTGTTTTTTTAATTTACATTTTGAGCACTCGGATGAAGATCTGAGGGTCAGAGTCAGAGCCAAAATTAAGAGCAAGTAGTCTAAAATGAAGTTTTCAGCTTCCATAAGGAGTTTTTTTTACAACTAAGATAAGACTGTAGTATATATTGATGACTTTTTATGATATCCAAAGGCAAGCAAAACTATCAGTGGTATAAAAAAATGATTCTTATATAGTGATTTTTAATCCATGAAACTCAGGCATGAGGGTTGGTGTCAGCCAAACAGTTAAAGAAACAGCTGTTTTTATGATATCGGTGCAAAATATTCAACATTTATCAAACATTTGACAAGGGACTTGATTAAAGTAGACAGAGGACAAGATCAGATGGACTGCTTTGGCCACAGGGGGCGCCAACAGAGACAGAAAACTTATACCTTATTACTTATTTACTAATTAGAGACAAATAACTAATGATAGAGTACATCACAGCAGGATGATACGACATGAAAGAAATAAAATCCAGAATTTTGGTATCTTACCAGTGATCAAAGGCTGAATAATGTCTGCAGAAGTACATTACTGTCACTAGATATCATACATATGAAAATGTACGCATCCGTTTCAGACGATGGTTCCGTCACTGCCCACATACTTCCATGCGTCCTTTACGTTGGCATGGATGTTAACCATTACATCCACCAGGGGGCAGGCCGGAGTCAAAAGTTTCTGACAGCAACAAACAAAAAGAAACATGGCGACTGTGGAGGAGCTAGTGATGATAAATGTTTTGCATAGGAGACAGAAACGGAGGCAGGATGGAGAATTCTTTTCTCAAGTAGTACTGATGAGAGAAATTGACGATGATTGTCTTTGTCGTATCGGGTAGTGACAGCAGCAACACTGCCGCCACGGTTTCCGGTTGTACTGCTCCGTCTGGCCTGTATCTGTAAACTTCAAGGATATGTGGATGAAAATAATAAATACGCGATGCATGGACTAAGAGCTCCGTCGGTATCCAGATCCTTATGTAACCTTTAGCATAAATGAACCTTAAAGCGATACTTTAGGGTTGTATGTGGTAGATGTCAGTAGTAAGTGAATTACCCACTTGAGTTCCTGGTCAGCTTGACCTAGTTGTTGAGAATCACGGTGGAGAGACAGCACAGAGGCGAGGATAACTATTGCAGCAGGTTTCATTTGTCAGCTGAGTGACAATTTTGAAAAGCATCGAGATGGACAGCCTGAGAAACTATGACAGGTGTGGCTGCGGAGATCACTAATGAAAAATGAGAAATAGAAATACAATCTGTCACCGGCAGAGTTCTCCCAGTATTGTTGGGACCAAATGTTGAACCACCTCAGCCTTCATGAGAGTCCTGTGAGTGTTTTTAATTACAACACTGGACAAAATGTGGTGAATTAGTCATCACTTACTGCAATAATAACATCACCATGCTGATAACGGTGGTAGTGGAGCTGTGTCATGATCAGTCCAGAGCAAAAAGAAGAAAATTGAAGATTTCTGCAGAGAGAGTCTGCAGGTTTTTCTCAGTCTTATACTCACTTGTGTGATTTCTTTATCCTACAGCATCAGTCAATGAAACAGTTATTAGAGTTTCTTAAAGCTACACATCAAAGTTTGCTTCTATGAATAAACTGTGTTACCATGTCGAATGGTATTGAATAAACGTATACAATATGGAGCACAGACTCCTTTCTTTTGCTACGAGAAGTACATGTTGTTTCTTGTTCGAAAAGTCAAGGTTCTCACACGATTGTCAGACTTTTAAGATATTGTATCAAGTTCTCTGAAAGGTTCACTTGTTTTCAGTTTTTTCCCTTTGCCTCTTTCGCTCTTTCTCTCTGTGAATCTCAACCTGCTCTGTTCTCTGTCTCTCCTTCTCCCTGAATTGGCTGCAGATGATTTGAGCATCTATTATGTTGTTTTAAGCTATTTTCACCACCTTATTTGAACTCCCCATTGTTGGCAACAGAAACTACTCCGGCTGATATCACCATCGTCTCCACTCGCTGCTTTTCTGTCTCTCTCTCTCAAACACCGTAATTTTTTTCCTCCTGATGGGCTCATACTCGCAGACACACAAAGACGCACACACACATACACTCCTTAGCTCCCAATGACAGAGGCCAGTAAGCCAAAACTTTGATAAATCCTAGCAGCTGTGGTCGGACAAAGAAAGGAGGAAGGAACGACTGGGAGAAAGGGAAGAAAGAGGGAGGTGACGAGGCCAAATAGAGACCTTAGAAACTTGATATTTGGTTTGAAAATGCAGCCTGCTTTGAAGCTCCAAACAAGCCATGCATCTTTAAAGAAAAGCCAAAGCAAACTTTATGCTTCTGATTTGGAAAAAAAGAAAGACAGAATGAGATGTTTGGAGAGAGGGAAAAGCCGGCCTTTTGACCTCCAGAAACCTCTCTCTCTCTACCTTTCTCTCCTTTTTTTCCCTCCTCTTTCTTTCTTTCTTTCTTTCTTTCTTCAGCCGTATCTCTCCAAACCCTCCAATTACAGTAATGAGTGGTTGAGAGCGAGCAGAGAGAGGCTGTGCGTGACTGGGAGGATAGATGGGGGAGGGTATTGAAGAAAGAGATTCATCACTGCATTTTATCTGCTATGAGTGTCACTCATCCCCCGACCTTGCGCTGATTGGTCAGTGAAGATTAACAGCCGGGACCAGATGTCAGGACCTGGAGCACTCTGTGTTGTCATACAGGCTCTGTGCCTGCTGATGTGTGGGCAAGTGGGCATGTGCATTCAAATGAAATTGCGGCTCTAGTGCTGCTCTTATGCAGAGCACCTTTTTGTACTATTAGAGCTGTGCTTGAACTCATGCACTGGTGAACCTCCACAGGCGTAATGTTAAAAATCACTGCCATGCACTTCCCTTATTATTAAATCAAGAGGGAGTACGAACATGTGATTGTCTCACAATTTATGTATTAGAGTTTTTTATGATTTCTCCAGCTCCTTTTTTCTTTCAGCTCATATCGTGGACTAAACTAATCAGTAGAAATGTTTTATATTGTATGAAGGATGATTAATGTTAGATTTATCCACATCACAAGCCATGAGACTGGCTGACTTTTTTTCTCTCTCTTAGGTTGCTTTGTGTCAATTTGAATCTATGCTTTTATTTTGAAGGAGCCATCAGACTTTACAGTTCTTCTATAAATAGTAGATGACTTTTTGAAACATGACAAATGAGTTACCTCCGAAGTCAGATGTCCGAGCTGGGAATGATGCCACACCTGAGTTACTAGCGTTTCAGTTACAAAGTTGGGAAAAAAACAAAATCGGAGGCGCTTGTCATTTTAATTATTTAAGTTATTATAGCATCCCCTTTCGTAGATGTAGCCATCTTGTTATTAGTCCTAATATCACTGCAAGATCATCAGTTAGAGAAAAGAGTTCGTTAGAAATTAAACATGTTTACTTCATAAGTAACCGAGGTGACTAATGGACTGACATGTTTTCAATTTCACTATCTCTCATGACATTTACGACCATGCAAAGAATTATGGGATATGTCAGGCCATTAAAGGACGCAGCTTGTGCAGACTTCATGGCCTAGAAACAGAAGGATAGGAGATCTTTATTTCTTATTGATGCTGATACCATTATGGAGACTCCTTAATGATCAGAGTCTTTATTGAGTCTTTTGTCATGACATGCAGGGTTAAACAAAGGAAAGACACAAATGAAAAAGGAAACAAAAAGAAAAATCCACAAGGTAAAATCTACAAAAATCACAGGGAGCAACAGGGGACACAAGCATACGCATCAACATACGTACATACAATAAACCAACAAGGACAGAGGGGAAGACCGGGACTATATATATATACACACTGGGAAACGAGCAACAGGTGATGCAGACGAGACACAGGTGAAACTCGTTAGTGATTAACAAAAGAGGGAAAACCAGGGAAGTGAAACCAGACGAGAAACACAAGGAATCAACTCCTACTAAAAAGATAGGGAACACTGAGAACTGATATAAAGAATAAGACAGAGAAAAGGAGGGAAACGGGGTCAAACACAAACTGAAAACTCACAAGACTGGACAACAGGGGAACAGGAACAATAGGGACAATACACAAAGAAAATACACTCAGATAACAAAACCAGGGAAAAACTAAACCACCAGAACATATCAGGACATCTTCTCTATTTTATTGTTGCTCCACACAGTCGTATTTATACAGATTTTTCACCTGATATTTTCTCTTTTTTGAACAGTACGTTCTTATTTACTTTCGCCTAATTCTCATTTTTATGACCCGACCCTGAACGCCTCACTGTGTAGTTGTGTGTCACTCTATTAGTAAGCTACAAAGCTTTTATCCTGCTGATTTCAAGACTGGATTATAATTTATTAACCAACGGGACCTCCTCTAAAGTCTGGCTGACCTTACCCGGCTTATAAATATTATTAAACATGATTTGAAAACTTTGAGGACTTATTTTATTGGTATGATTTCTCAGTTTTGTTGTGAACTTTTAATCTTTCTAAAACAGGTGCACAATAAAGCGAATTCCTCGTATTCACACTTACATGGAGACGTCAAAGTAAACACATTAAATGTTCATGTAGGAAGATGTAGTAACATTAATAACAATGAAGAAGATGTTGAACTTTTTGCCTCAATTCAACAGAAACTCTTAACATCACAGCTGCTGCTACTCTCAGATTCAGTGTTTCAGGGTGTGTATGAAATGTTTCTCTGCCAAAATACTGCTGCAGTTTGCCAAAGGTCGTGCTTGTAGGGAGAAAAAACAACCTGAAGAAAATCAAATAATCATCAGGTTGAAGTTTGTGAAACTGACACTCAAGGAAATCCAAATTTTTCACTTCGTTTATTTCTCTAAATGGCATGTTTTTGGATTCTAACAACTTGTCTGGAGGAAAAATTGAACGTTTTGACAAGTCAGTTACGGCCATTTTTCTTCACTGTTTCCACCTTTGATTGACGGAAATACTTGAGCAAGAATTTGTAAGCTTGGCCGGCTCGATGTGAAGGCATCTTTGAGTGAAAATAACTGCTCGGAAAATTGCTCCAGATGTGTATAAAGGAAAAATATAACATTTCTCAAACGCACTAAATCAATATAATAACTACGCAGAGGTTACCAGAGGACTCTAAGGTGTAGCTTAACCGCATTGAAGCCTGATTCCTGATTCCTTTATGAGTTTGTACAACATGAGGACACATTTTATCGCAATCATTTTCAGCTTTAGCCGGAGTCATGATGGCCCCTTTGCTTGGACAAGATTTCCACTTCCTCTGAATCACCAAATACTTGACATTTTTAGTCTGTAAATCATTCAGTGAGTCAGATTACAGAACTGTAGCAGTGTCATGCTGTGCCTTTTGAGCTCCACAGACTCCCCTCTATCTTTCATTGTGTGTGTAGATGTGTGTGTGTGTGTGTGTGTGGGTGTGTGTGTCATCACCACACCAACATCAGAGAAGGCCTAACTCTCCCCAGCTGCTGCACCAGCCCGAATGAGGGGGAAAAAAAGCGCTCACTTGTGGCATCAACCAGCTCTAGATTTGTTCTGCTTGTTGTGGGTTGCAGCGTTCGCCCCCCCACTTAGTCGCCTTCTTGGCCCCCCTCCCCCTCTTTCATGTCCCGCCATCCTCCCTCCTCCCTCCTTCTCTGCTGACTTGCTCCGTCGCTGTTAATCCAGTTTAACCACTTCCTTTCCTCCCACTCCCCCCCACTCACTCCATCCTCTTTTCATTCAATCTCTCTATTGCCGTGACTGTTTATCAAAAAACGTGAAGCTGTGTAGGAAACACAAACGCTCCAGAGGCAACAAGCAGGGGCTTACACGTTTAAGCCATGCACAGACGAGTAATTATACAGCCTACAAACATGTACTTACATTGTGTTTTCAAATAAAGCATTTTCAGCATATGAATTCCTTCTTCTGCTGCATGGATAATCCTATAAATCTCTGTTATTGATTTTTAATTGCATATAATCTATAATTAGGTATTTTTGCAGATCTATCAAGCAGCAGTGTGAATATCTGTCCCGTTCTTGTCGCTCTCTCGTTCTCTCTCTGTGTTTCTATCTCCCTGCTCTCATTCTGTCGTACACCTGCTTCTCTTGTGAACTTGTCGTCTGTTCAGTCGACAAAGCTTCGGCGTCCACGTGGGAGTGCGCATCTTTGTTTTCCTTCAAAGAGGGTACCTGCTCAGATGAGGGTCTGGCGACGCTTGTTGTGCACGCTCTGTCGTATGTGCGAGACATGCCACCCTCCCTCCTCCGTCTGTCTGTGTGTCTGTCTGTGTGTCTGTTTCTGTCACTGCTTCAAAGCTCTCCCTAAAATAGGCCTTTAATCATAGTTTGGTGTGTGAGCGGCGCGGCGGTTAGGAGCTATAAGAAGAGGCCGGGCGTATTTTTAGCAGGCATGGAGAGGGAGAGGCTGGAGCTGCGCTGGAAGGCTGGAGGAGGCAGATTACAGAGGCCAGGCCCCGATCAAGACCTTCTCAGATGGCCCTGAAGCAACAGGCGCTCCCTACTTGTCCTCTCTCTCTCTCTCTCTCCCTCTTCTCCTCCAGACCGCATGGGAGTTCTGTTTGGTCTGGCTTGATTTGGGCAGGGCGGGATGGCGAGGCTGACCCCGAGATAGTCTGCAGTGAAGTGCGCACAAATGTTCAGACTTAGACGGCACAGGGACGAGCAGGTTTTGCACCGAGATAATGACTGTTCAAGCACAAAAACACTCCTCTATGGCGGTGACATTACTCTCCAAAGATCTGTGAACCATCAGGTGCAGATTTCCGGCCTTCACAGAGCGTTAAGTCTCACTTCATTTGAAAACTTTCGTCTATCCTTGTGGCTCCATTGAAGCCAAACAACTCTTAAGTTTAGTTCTTTTCTTAATATCACAGTTTCCCATTATCCTTTTCACAAACACTCTGCCTGTATTATACTTTGTTATGGCGTATCATCCTCTTGATGTTCTTGTCTGAAGTTGCATTATCGTTCAGGGACTGAGTGAAAGCTCTCCCTCAAGGACACGCCGGCGTCCAACACTCAAACACTTTGTCTGGTAAACAGCAAATCCACAAGACGCACAAGCAGAAAACTAACAAATCAATGAGAGGGGTCTAATGGGAAATTTGTAGTTTCAGGCGGTATGGCTTCCCGTCTTTAGTCTCAGATGTTAAAACTTCCTGTCTTGAATTAAATAGAGAGCTATTCAGTATAGTCCTCCTCTCAGCGGGATAATCCCACAATGAAAACAATCCACAAGTGTTTAAGTGGTGGAAAGTAGCAGAGAACAGAGAAGAACTATTGAATGATTGCATTATAGCACATGAAAATCTAGATCACAATATATTTAGTGCATGGAGCCTTTCAAACAGTTTAAATCAACAAAAACATGCCAACATTTAGTACTTGAAGGTGGGGTAGGCAGAAAGCATCTTTTTTGTGGTGTATCTACAAAAAAGTTTTTAATATCAGTCAATCACTAGTAGTTATTGATGACATTTGGGAATATCACGTTATCACTGTGTTCTCTTATGTCTTCATAGTCAACATTTCAAAACTTTTGAGCTTCATGCTAAATCTGACTGTAAACAAAGCCGTTCTCCACCTCCCTGACCTGACTGGTTGAGAGGCCGGCTATGCGACTACTAAGTGCATACACGAGCAGACCCAAGGCAATCTTGTGGCAATGGCGGAAAGTGGAAAGCAGCTGGAGAATCCGGAGAAAAAGTTGTTATGCCCACACCCCAAAGAGAAAGATCAAAATACCGAGGACTGAAGCCGAAAAACAGGCACTCAAGAGAGACCAGGCGAGAAATAGGGGCCGAGTAAACATCGGCGTAGCCTTTGAAGGATGGAGGACCATACATGAGCTGTTCAAGCTGTGATTTAAAGTCTTCTTACCTCAGAATTGGACATGCTTCAACCATAGACTGCCTCCTAGCTTGGTGAAGCCACCCCGAGAACAGCACCCTCTGGTGACAGGCTGCAGTATAGGTCATAAATTCCGCCTCCTCCAGCAATCCTTATGGAGCTGTGGACAAACTTTGGAAATTTATTACACAGAATATAAATGTTTCCCCCCTTGGTTGCAATGTTGACATGTAGTTATTGTCAGACTGGTTTGTGCTCAAGTCCTCTTTTTTTCTGTGAAGCTCCATTTTTAAAAGTTATGAGGGGGTTCATGTTTTCTATGATTGACACTTGATACAGCCTACGGTTGTACGGAGTTTACGTAGCTCACCGGGGGATTACGCTGTTTGAGCTGAGCGTCATCACAGCAACTCTCCTGCCGAATGCGTACAATGCTACTGCACAAGTGGAGAAAATCTCAGAAATACCGAGAGCAATTTGGCGGAAGGCTGAGCCAAGTTGTCCATAGTATGTACAGTCCATGTGCAGGTCTGATCAGATGGATAGAAACCACCTGTAGCTCTGAGGGCGACGCTAGTTTAGTCTAATAACTGATAAATCTGACTGCGTTTCATATCAAATCTGGATTTTCACAGATTCAATGAAAAGTTTGTCTTCGACTAAGTGTGTAAGTTAAGCCTTTTGCAGTCGAAACAATATATGTATTAATAAAACAGCGTCCCTCTTTCAGCTAACATCATACACCATCAGGAAGTTATTGGATCTTGGAGCCAGAGTTGTATCCAGAGACACGTTGGTAATTTAGTTTCATTTTCACTGCTTGGAAAAAAGGTTGAAATTGGTCTTAGACGTTTGGACCTGATTTCAACCATACTTAAAACATTGAAATCCCTGAAAGTGCTCACGAAGAAAAGCTGCCTCACAGAAGGAAATTCAGTGAAATATGCTTTGTAAAATGAGCAGAGGAAATGTCAAGCATAACCTTCAGAAATTGTGGTTAATGAGCCCAAAAGTGCTCGTGTTCAGCTCTGCTTTGGCTCTTTAAAAAGCACAGGCGTATATTTATTAAGTATATATCAGCCTGGTTTTAGGTATGATTCATCCCGTGTCTACAAAATGTGGTAAACAAAAGTTTTTCGTCTTACATCTCATTATTCAAATGTGTTTTTATCAACAAATATAATCCACCCACACCCATACAACATGGCTGACACTCCTGTCTTTTCTTATTACCCTCTTTTTTTCACCATCTTGCACCCATCTAGAGACAAAAACACCCACACACACCATGAGGGGGTCTTGTTGTGTCATGATCTCGGTTTCAAATAGCACTGACCCCGGTTAACCCCTCAGACATCTATCCTTTATTCTCTTCTGCTCCACTCCAGCTTTCTATTTTCTACCCTTTGTTTTCATTTCTCCTGTCATCTGTTTGAATCATTTAGCTCTCCCTCGTCTCTGCCCTACGTTTTTAATTCACAATCCCTCATTTATATTCTTCCTTTTCTTCCTCGCTCTGCCAACAGTTGTCTCTCCGAGCATCAAAGACCTTGTAATTTAACCCAAACTGCCTTTACACGCAGTTAAGCGCACTCGCTCGCTCTTTTAATACGATGGAAAAGTCCCAAAACAATCCTCGTTTAATGCTCGAAATAGCTCGCAAATGTCATGCATGAAGTTTATAAAGTTAATATTGTGCTGATTCATTTGGTTGGAAGTGCAGTTAAGAGGCCATGTGGCAAATATATGCAGTTCAAAGTTAGTGACAGCATGCCTCCCTGCTGGTTATTACATTTGTAGGATTTATTTTGTTCTGTTGAATAATCTAATGTGTAAAACGACAACTCCTGCACAGTATGTGAAAACACACACATGTCTGAGATTGCACAGAGACAGTCCTCAGGTGTGGGGCAGTCTTGTTTGTGTCACAGAGGAGCACTCACACACAGCAGGTGGCCTCAGGGCTGCCACAGTGTGGTGGCAGATGGTAAATGCATCTGCTTCAATCACCTCCTAATGACAGAGCCGACCATCGCCTCAAACGAGCCTCCCAGAGCAAAACGCTCCCCCCCTCTGTTGGTGGAGATGTGTTCAAGTCAGTGAGCAGGTACCCTGGAGGACTGCCCAGGACTCTGAGCACAAGTGTGTGTACAGTGTGTGTGTGCAGTGTGTGTACAGCGTGTGTGTGTGTGTGTGTTTGGAAAAATGCAATGTGTCTTTTAGCTTACGCATAAACTTCGTGTGAGCTCGTGTTCAGATGTGCACTGATTTGTGTGTGCGGCCACCACGTTCCCAGACACAAATGTGTGTGTGCGTGCTGTGTGTGTGTTCTGTGTGTGTATGTGTGTAGCTGGGTAAAAGTGTGTCAGCTCTGGAGTTTTTTGCCCGGCTGTGTGGAACAGAGCAGATGTGCTCAGTCCTCCCCTGAGGATCCCTCTCTGTCTCTTTCTCAGCCTCAGTCTCTCTCTCTCTCTCTCTCTCTGTCTTTTCTCTCCCCCCTCTTTCCCTCTCTTGCAGTCTCTCTCTCTCTTTCTCTTTCATTTCCATCTTATGTCTCTCTCTCCTCCTTTTTCCCTCTTAACTCCCTCTCATCAGGCTCCCTCATCTGTACGTACCCTCTTATGTTTATACTCGGCTGCTCTTCAGATAATAAGCTGATTTCAGTACTTATCCCCCTTCCTTCCTTTGCTTACTTATTCCCTTCTTCCCTTTATCACTCTTCATCCATCCCTCTGAAGTTCTCACATGTCCTCTCTCTTTAGATTGTTTCCGCCTTACTGTAGCATGATTAACCCGACTTTGTTGTCAGTTATGTTTGATGCATGTTTACACCCATTCACACATATGGAAGCAGAGTAGCTGCGAGGCTTTAGATGGAGAACGAGGATGGTTAATTAAAGAAAGAGGGTTAATTATTGCCTGAATGCCTGTCACTGAGGTATATTTTGTTGTATGGCTCTCCCTGCCCTTCCCCATGTAATCCACAAGTTAATCGGACTAAGCTCATAATTCACTTTTTTCGCCGAATCGGACTTCTCTCCTTGTCCGCGTTTACGTGCAGCTGAGAAAATCAAATTATTGACGTGAATGTGTCGTCCTCCCCGCAACTAGGGGGCGATATGGGTCTTATACAACTGTCAACAACAACAGCAGGTCCGTGTCAAATGTCAGAAGTGTCTACAACTGCTGCTGGGCATTTTAGAGCAAGAAGATGGAGCATCGTACAGCGTTGTTTTTGTCATACATGTTATACGCGCTACTTTATCTGCAGATGAGATGCACACTACTCCTCTTCTCTGGTGTTTTTGTTCCGGGGTTACAGGGGTGTGGCGCACATGCATTGTCCAATCATACTACGACTACGCTGGTTACATGGTAGAGAAAATTGAATTCTAATGGCATTATCTGGGTGTCTTAATCTTCGGTAGTCAGACTAAGGTGTTTACATGGCCTTCAGTTGTCCAGTCTTAATTGGAATAAGGCAATAATTTGGTTTTTCGAGTGTCATGTAAATGTACTGAGTGAAATACGACGCTGGTAAAGTTGGCTTTAAAAGGCAGAACTTTTTGTTTGTCTTTTGTGACGACGTCCACTTTTGGAAATGTTTGGTCCTCTTTAACTTTTCGGTATTATAGAAGAAATATTCCCATTTAAATGATGTCAGCTTTAACACTTATTGCACAAGTCCTGAGTGAAGGCTCGGGCCACAGGGGGCTGTTATTTAGTTTGTAGATTTGTGAGGAATTGGAAAAACATTTGAAAGTTTTATTTTGATGGGAGGCCCTTTTCAAACCGTCATGGGGTGCTTTTGGCTACAGGCAGCAAAATAACGATGCCAAAGATTCATGATTTTTCCTCACACTCACGGCCTCTCCTTTGGTACAAAACCATCAGATCATTGATGTTTTGCACTCAGCTGAAACTTTTTTCTTTTTTTTGAATTAATGTGTAAAATTACATGGTGTCATTTTTTCATTTTGAGCTATTAGAAGCAAAGGAAGGAAAGATTTAGCCCTCCGGCAGAAGTGCTGAAGTCCAGACAGTGGGCACTTGCAGGAACTGCACCATCGACAGGATTCAATTGGATAATCATTAATTTATGATGTTGATGCTGAACTTTTTGCTGCTGTAAGTTTGGGGAAGCTTAAGGGGGATTCACTACAGCTCCTGGGCATGACGAATCCCCATAGAAAACAGAGGAATGGAGAGAGATGGGTGGGTGGAGGAGTGCAGAATGTAAGGACGAAAGAGAGGAAGAAGAGATGGACAGGTCTGCATTTGTGAGAATGATGGGAGAGGTGCGGTTTAGATGCAGTCCTGCTTCAGATATCAGTGTCCTTATGTGACATCTCACACCACAGAAGCACATTTACAAAGTGATGCATGCTCAACTAGATCCAGTCTTGCCCCCGTAATGTCACGACAGCAATGTCTAACAGGCGTTATAATCACTGTTGTCTTAGAGCAGCTGAGTGACTCCTACAATTAGCCAACAACTGACTGTTAATACAAGCACAATGATGCCTCAGTTGACTTGCAGGGAGCAACAAGGATGAAAGTATGATACTATTATTAAACTATATGTTTAAAAAATACTTTTCTACAGTAGTTTGCCTTTAAATTTAGGTTTGACACGACAGCTGTCAATACTGTACTGAAGTATAAGAGGCATACAGTCAAGTTTAAGCCAAACAAAGAAAGAGGACCAAAAGTAAAGGCTCCAGAAATGATACTCAATAAAGATCGGACCAAACTTAACTTAACAAAGTCCAAAACTCGAGATCACAGAGAGGAGAAGACGCAATGAACCGAAAAAAGACAGAAGGGAAGCTGAGTAATTAAATCCACAAAAGGGTAATTAAACACAGCTGTGATACAAGACACAGGTGAAACTAATCAGGGCGGGGCGCAATCACAGGAGCGGGGGAACACGGGAGGTAAGACTAGACTCCGCACATGAGGGAAATACAGCAGGAAACAATCAGCTAACCAGCTAACGAAACATTCATACAAGTTAAACGATGATATCGGTGGTCCCAATATAGCGGTATTGACGATAATCTTCGACAAATAAGCGTACAGTAATACCATGAGCTCATAGTTGTGGTTCTTATGTCTTTGAAAGGATGATAGACGAGAAAGAAGAAGTAGCAGCAGCTGTAAGCGAGTGAGCTAGCTGTAGCAGCCCTCTGAGAGAAGATTAAGCTCTTCTTAATCTCAAGAGTTACTGTAACCTCCCTTAGAGCTTGTTCTTTCTGTGGTTGTGAATCAATTAAACATTTATTCTCTCTGTAATTGTTCTTTTAATTGTTTTCATCCAGTTCTGTAACTAACAGTCTACCAGATGTATACTAGTTTCAGGGCTAATGTGAGGATAAATCATAAATTTGAGCATTATTAGAAATGGATTATGAAATATAAGGTAATTGCATATATTAGTAGAGTTTTTCCCTCATTTTTTGTCTTTTTGTGAATCCACAGAGCAGGTAACCCCAGTTTTACTTCAGGACTTCTCTTTTCTTTCCAAAGTTCAGCCTGTTCTCATGATTTATGCACCAGTTTGTTGCAAAACGCTCATGTTGTTGACCAGTTTGACTTCACTGAAAACAACTCAGTCTTATTCTTGATTTCATTCACGACACAGCTCCAAAGAGAGATCATGTTTCATTCAAAACTGCAAAAACAAAATCTGTGAAGATCCAAAGCTGACCTTCTTTCTTGTGACATCAAGGACTTCTTAATATTTAAACACTCACACCGTCAAGGTTTTGGCATAAAACTCACTTTACTTTACTTTCTTTCATCCCTCACACACTCACAGCTCCTGTATCAGAGCCGCCTCCTCCATGTAGGCTATGTAAGTCTATTCAGCCCCAAGTAGGGCACAGCCAGCGTCACATGAGCACTTAGTCTCGCCATAAATCACACCACTTCCTGCTGTTGCCTCCCTAGATTTCAGTTGCTATTTTCAGTCTGGAAAAAAAATAAGGGAAAGAAGTGAAAATATTCATGTTGTAGCAAACAGAAAGAGAAACATTCAATTTATGAGCTCGCGTTTCGTGCAGACGGCTGTCGTCGCTTTGCGTTTTGCACACATTCTATCAGCGTGGATGAAGGCAGAGCGGGGCGGAGGAGAGGGAGAACAAGGTGACACTACAAGCAACACGAGTGTGGATAATGAAAACTAAACACCATCCTTTCTCTCTTTCCTCCCGCCTCTGTCTTGCTTTCTCATCTGCTCTGCACCACTAGTTTGTCTGTATGCTAGTCAGGGGATTTGAACAGTGTGTGTGTTCAGTGTGTGTGTGTGAGAACAACAGAACAGGGGGTGCATCTTTTTGAAATTTTGATGAAAAAAAAAAAAAAGTCAGCTGTGGTTTTTCAACACTCCCTGCAGATGGGACCGCGGAGAGAACATTTTGTGATTTTGTCATAATCTTTTCGAGATTGTTTGTGTCGGTGCATGAGCAGGAAAATGAGAAACAAGCTAAAAATATGAGCAATCCTCCGATGAATTCATAAGTCCTGAGATAAATCACTCAAATCCACCTATGTGAAGCTAAAGAACCACTCAGAGGGCTTCCAGGGAGGCTCATATATCTGTTTATAGTCTGCCTAATCAGGGTAAAGGCCTCATTTAGGGCTCGTATTAAAATGCAATCTGCATCTGAATGTGCACCCCAGATAATGAACAATCTCCTCACCTCGGCAGATTTACTCCCATTATTAGGATGCACTTACAAGCAATCTTCAGCTCAGTCTGCATTCTGTCCACGTTGTCGCTCAGATCCCACTTTCAATTTGCAATAATGCAACTTAGTCCAACTCTAAATCCCTGTTTTGTCGCATGCAGATGCTCCGTCTGGACAGATTAAGCTGCTCTTTCTTAATACTGCAGTGCTGATTGGATGAGTCCTTTAACAATATTTGGACTAAGAGCTGTGTTGAACTGAAGCAGAACACAATTTAGGTTGTTTTCCAAAACAAGCCCAGCCATTTTCTCAATTTGATAATGACCGGTCTTAATGGATTTTTTATTGAACAAGTGTCTGAATACAAACGTCCTGGCATCGGGCTCAATAACGGACTCGCATTAAAGCACGGGCTGATTGAAGCTGTACCAGATTACTTTTTATAGACAGAAAAATAAATGGGATTGTGCAGGTTGTGCTGAGTTGCAAACATCGCTATCAGTTCTGGATAATGTTTGCATCATCTGTATTCATTGATATACTATTACTTTAAAAGCTCTCGGCGCCGCTTTCAACCCGCTGTCAGAGCTCCGTACCGTACACTCCCCTTGCATTCTTCATCAAAACAAGCGCTGGAAGGCCAAGAGCATCATTGCCTCTTGTTTATTTGCACGGCTTTTTCCAAACAGACCACCACCTTATCTCGTTTCTGACGTGCAGATCTGGAACTTATCAGACTTGCCCTGAGACCGGCCTCGGCTCCAGGTTCTTAAGAGTAAATAGAGAGCTTGGGAAGCTTTCACTGCAGGAAGAGTTTTAAACAGATCTGCAAAACAGATACCGAGAGTGGTTTGAACAAACTCATTAGGCGCTGATGAGTTTTGTGAAAGCTCGGAGTTGGAAAAACTTTCTTCTCCTAACTTCAGCTTTATGTTGGGTGAATATTTTCTCGCCATTATTGGCTCTTTTAATGTGACGTTTTATCTCTGAATAGAGTAATCTTGTTTCTAAGTGTGTGTGTGTGTGCGTGTGTGTGTTTTGAATGCACGGTGGTACATCAACAACAGCCTGAATGTTCTCAAACTCAATCTTGTAACCAATTTAATAGAATAAGAGGACTGTTCGATTCAGTTTCAGTGTCTTTGTTAGAAGAAATGTTTTATAAAAGCAATTTTACCAAAGCGCGGTTTGATGAATAAATGGGCATCACAAGAAAACAGTAACTATCTGCAGCTTGAGAGGTATTGTGAAAAGTGTTAAAATCAGAGTGAGCGAGGTTTATCACCAAACTGTTTTACTCAAAGAAGAAGCTTGTGTAGAGAAAACGAAAGCAAAAGAATCAGAAAAAAGTGCTAAACAACAATCCTCAAGTGTTAAGTAACTTTGAATAAGATGGAAACTATAAAAGTTAAAAACATTATAGAAAAAATATTAGTTTTTAGGCTACAGCTGACTTTTAGGTACAAAAATATTGAGCTAAAGGAATCATAGTTTTATATCCGTATTTAACAGGAACCGGCAAAATTGATAAAATACAGAAAAAAACCCATCATCCTAAGAAATAGCTAGCCTAACTATAACCATTTTTCCACTTGGTTGCAAGTATGTTCAGTTCTGCTGTAAAAATAGTCATTTCGAATCAGGTGCTATGTGGATTCCTTTGCTTTTGAGCCTCCCCCATGTGGACACTCAAGGAACTGCAACATCCACGTTGGCTTTTTATTACAATACTGGAGTTTGCTGCGTAGACTAGCCACCGAAAGATTCAACAGACACCACAGACATGGATTTTACTCCTTTGAAAAAGACCAGACAGATTTGATTTAGCGGCTGAATATAGGATAACTGTAGAGAAAATTTTTTAGAAGTAAAAAGAAGATGAAAAATGGGCTAACTCCCAACAGGATATGATTGTATAATCTGAAAGTTAAGTCAGAAAATACGCCATTATAAGCAAAGCAAAAATAAGGATAAGCTGTACCTTGCACACAGCATAAATTGGATGATGCTAAGCCATAGTAGTGGGAGTATGTGAGGCCATGTGGTGTGGATAAGCTCAGGCACAAACTAATTTAAAAAAAGGGGGCTGTGTGAAATGTTCTTCTGGGGGTTTTAGCCTGTCATCCGTCAACAGATCATCTCAAATTAAGATGATTCATTTTGCAGCTATGTATTATCTGTTATATAAAAGCGAATCTCTCTGTGTGTGTCTCTCTCTCTCTGCAGATGTGTTGGACAGCATGGCGAGGTTCAGCGTTCAGGGAGTTTGCAACTACAGCATGCTGACTCTGTCCGATCACGAAAGAGTTCTGTATGTCGGCGCACGGGAAGCGCTGTTCGCTCTGGACCCCAACGACATCAGCAAGCAGCTGAGGCCACAGGTAACACACACGCAGAAGCACACACACACACACGCTCACACACTTTAAAGGTCGTACTTACTGACACTTCGGGGGATTAAACATTTTAAAAGTTAAACACAGACAGAGAAGGATTTCAAGAAAAATAATTATGCCTACATCACCGCCTGACTAACTGTCAGTGCAAACACCCACACACTGTGAGAGGCTTTTGTAGAAATGCAAGAAATTAAATGATAACACATAAGATTTAATATCACACAGCGTCATGATGGACAGCTCAGGAACAAAAAGCTTCATCTTATCCACGCTGCCTGAATACTGAGCGCCGTGGAGATAAACACACATTTCAAATACTTAATTTAAAGACACCAAATTCAATTATGATATTAAATGTGATATAATTATTATGAAAAAAGCATAAAGTATTTCAGAGGTTCCGCTTGGATTAGCAGGAAAGAAAAGAAAAATAAAGCGTAATCTCTGCCTCTGCCTCTTTCTCTGCCGCCTATTAACTTGAAGGCTGACCTTATTCTTCTTTCTTAAACTCATTTAAGGACTGAAGGACATTTAAGAAACCACACACACGAAAAAAAGAAAAAAAAAACCCTGGCAGATAATCAAAGAGCCAAATAATACCATAATGAAGTCCACTGAGTCATAGTAGCTATTTGGTATTTTATTGGTCTGGCCTGTAATTCCTTTATTAAATCTTCAGGCCTTGTTGAAGCCATAATGTACGAAGTGTCACACAATTTAATATCTTCTCAAAATGGATTAAAGTGTCGTCCTTGAAGGGTCAAAAATATAACAAAGAAGATAAATTGTTGCTGTTAGCTTGGAAAAGAAAATCTGCAGAAAACAGATTTGCTTTTGGTTTGACTCACATCGAGGTTTTTAGATTACAAATGAAATTAGAGACTCGAGAGAAAGCTTAAGTTGCTAAAACCATCTAATGAACACTGAGGGCTAATGAAGCTCACAAAAGCCTTTACCATATTTATAAATTCCAAACACACTGTAACTCTACGATAGCACGAAAAACTGAGTCCTGCAATCACTACAACTGTGCTTATACACTGCGCTCCAAAAGGCCTAATATTGGAGTCCCAGTGGATAATTCCACATTTTATTATGGTGTTTTAGGGGTGTTTTAGGGGCCCTACACACACACACGTGGCTGTTTCGCCCTACTTGCTCCAACACAACATTCTGCCACTCACCCGGGATTTCCACAGATTTCCACCGCATCTGGAACGGCAGTGATTTTCGCTGTATGCCAATTCCTACTTGTTCGTCTCCGGCCGTTTGCATGGTGTGAAATACGATCTGCCTAAAACACAGGTGTTTTACTTTGAAAAGAAGCCGGATGTTTTATTTTGTGTCTGTGCTCAACTTCCTTTCCAGTATGGGTTAATCTGTGCTGAATTTATCCGGCATGCTCTGGCGTCCAGAAAAAAAAACAGAACTCTTGCGATCAGCTGGGGAGTTCGACAATCTGCAGCGGAACGGAAAGAAGTCGGTGAAAATTGACACATTAACTTGAATGGTTACGATCAGCTACGATCAACAGATACGGCCTTTTCATAGCCGTTCAGGATGTGGTGGGAATTGGGGGTCAGTACGTTCCATGCACAGTTAAGTCAAGCTGCAGCAATCGCTCGATTAGGCGACTACTGTCCTTTTCCAAGTTTACATGCTCTAGGTAAAAATCTAATTATTGACGAAAACATGTCTGCCTCTGCTGTGGTAGGTTGTGAATCCGTCTTTCAGCTTATTAATATCAGGTTGATCGAAACATTTTAGCAAGAGGCTAACAGGACATCTCTCTAACAACTCTGAGCTGTTTGTTGGGAATGTTTGATCTGTTTTTATGTCTTTTCTCCATCTGCAGAAGTTTTATTTACTATCTATGCACCCATGCTGTTTAACCATCGGCTCAGAGCCCGTTGTATGAACTCTTGGGCCAAGTTCAGATTCCAATATGAAGTTTTATTACATTAAATGTTTATATAATTGTTTGAAATAACCATTTTTTATCAATTGGTGCATTTGTTTCTTGTTTTGTTCTGATTTATTGAAGTAACAGCTCTCCGCTCAAGTCAAGCAGTAAGGCAACTTTCCCCCCATTTTGGACCCAGATCAAATGTTTTCTCGCGAATTGCAAAGTTATAACTTCACTTGGACACTTTTAATGTCATCTGGTACTAAATGCTTCCAACAGTAAAAGTGTTAGTAAGCTGCCAACATTAAGATCGTAAAGTGTCTGCCTATTGGCTCAATATTTCACTCCTATCAGCACAAACACATCCACTGTGAATGTGTGGGAGTACACAGGCGATTACACACACATACACGCACTTGCGCTTACACTTTGGCCGTGTTTTCCTGAGTTTATGATGCACTTATTTAATCGACTTTTTTATTGTCCCAGTTTTAATTTGTATAACTTGTTTTTCTGCGATCGCTCCGGGATAAACCTGTTTGTTAGAGGAGCTCTATAAATACCTTTGACTTGACCTGAAACACACACACTCACACATACATCGACGCTTAAAACCTCCGAGACTCAGTCTGCTTTTGCTTCTCTTCTTCAATAATTGGTCCATATTGCAATCAATACAATTACAGCAGCGCAATGGAGGTGTAGTGAGCAGCCCGCGGCGGTTTGGGGGATTGTTATCTGATTTACCGCCTTAATGAGCAGTTATTAGACGCTCGCACGTACACACACCGCGCACACACACACCACGCAGACCCGAGCTGTTTGAGCGAGGGTTATGAGTCTTACAGTAATGATAAGACCACCTGTTGTCGGCCCCTAGTGTGCAATGTGGAAGGAAGAAGCCAGCATAAAAAAATGACAGCACGAGGGCGAGGGAATAGTGCGTCCCCTCTGTCACCATCTGCCCATCACTCCCTCACCCCTCCTCCCCTCTTCCTTCCTCTCGCAGCACCTCTCTTTATTTCCTTGCTGCTGTCATACTTGCTGTCTCTCTTCATTACTTTCATGTCTCTCTTTCAGCACAGATTATTTTTTTCTGGGGTTATTTTTCTCTAAGCTCTGACTTTTTTTTTTTTTTTTTTTTTTAAGGCGCACAGCTCCTATTCCTGTCTGAAGTGCTCCCTTTTACATTATTTAGATCTGCTCCTTCCACCAAACTGCAGTGATGCAACACAGGCTGTATATACAACCCTGATGCGCTCTTCGTCCTGCTTTTACGGAGTACAACATCTAGAAACGGTTCATATTTGGTCCAAACAGCCATATTTTGGGAGGCCTTTGCACGCTCCTTATTACACCTTTAAATCCAGTGTTCAATTAAAGGCCTTTTTAAACTCATTTGCTAATGGCCCAAAGCTCTGAATGTATTATTAGCATGCATGAGGGAACACAGAAGCACTGGCTTTTAAAAAATGCTGCAGCCAAGTGGCCGTGTAATGGCACTAAGAGGGTGCTTCCCAAAAGAAAAGTTCTCTCTCTTTATTTCCAAGTATTGAGACCTTTTCACTGATTAACACACTCATTAACCAGAATTACTTCCTGCGATCCGTCTCGCACAAAGTTTCCTACTTGTATCCTAATACACTCATAGTAACAGAGATAAGTATTCGTCTTAAGAGCCGCGTCCTATTGTTGGTGCGGTGCACTAATGTGTGGCAGAGGTCATTAATTTTGCAGATACGCCTTTGCGGGCCATTAGTCCGTAACTTTAAGAGCTACTACCTTTCCACTTACTGCTGCCTGATTTGTGTTTGTAAAATACCGGATCATTGTGGAGCAAATGAGGAGGGAACGTCTCCGGCGAGATCATAAAAACAGACAGTGAGGAAAGAGAATTCCTCAGGAACGCATAAATGGCAGGTGTGCTTTGCCACGTTTTATATCTCTCTTAAAAGCAGTGCGCTATGGTTAGAATCAAAGTTTAAGGTCATACTTCACAGCCGCTGATCCAGATGATTGATTCGCTTTAAAAAGCCGTCATAATTTTAGGTCCGTAATCGCTACAGTGACCGTGTTACGAGGCTTAAAGGAGCCACAAAGTAAGGTAGAAGAAGGGAGCTGTGGTGAATAAAATGAGACATTACTGCAAGAATAAAGATTTTACAAAGTTAGGGGCAAAAAAAAAGATGTTTCAGGTTCGTGTCTCTGCAGTGGAAGTCACTGCATGAGCATCCAAGAGCTGTCTTTGCTCAAATACAGGTTGAAACTCTACCTTATTGAGAGGGAACTGTAGAGAAACATGATCCAGAACCGCCAGATGCTTCTCCAGGCCAGATGCTTCTCCAGGCCCAAGCCCATAATGGGCTTGGGCCTGGAGAAGCATCTGGCTGGTTCTGGATCATATTTCTTTGCCTAAGCTCATTTGCAATGGACACCAGCACACCGTCCCCACCATCAAAACTTTTCTGTGCAATACAAATTTTTCAGTTGTTAAAAAAGTCTTACTTTTAAACCACTGTTAGTCCACCAGTACGGTTTGTGGCGTTTGATTGCTGTTGGTTTGAATCCAGTCAGGTATATCGGAGTCTAATACTGAATTTGCAGCAGCTATCCGCCTGTAATGACCAGTGTAATTATTTCTAATGGTGTGGAAACCTCTTGGTAAACACAGTTCATATTTCGAACCTCAGTCCACGGAGCAGAGTTCAGCCATGTGTCACGCAGTCGTTAAAAAAGCAGCCACTGAAATAATACTAAATAGCAGAGGGCATGAGTTGGAGCAAGCACGGACATAAAGTGAAGATGAGCATGCACATTTCTTTTTTATTGGCTCCCCCACCTGCTTGTTTCAGCAGAAATGAACCCCGCAGAGGACAAAAGCCAGTCACACAAGTGCATTATGGTACACTTGCTTGCCAGTGTGTCTTTGATGCTTTAAACAATGGTACAACCATGAGGGAATTCAGTTTGCAGGAAAGACCGCACAGTGAGTGCCCACTACTAAAGGAGTGTTTGATAGGACCGACTGGAAATCACTCCTGCAAAGGAAGCAGGTCTCCGCTCTGGTGCTTTGTCGCTGCACCATCTGGGCCGCTCAGTTCGTGAAGTGTTTTAACCGTGCTTTTTAGTGGGATACAAACTCGAAAACTCAGAGTAAGCTTAAATAATTGTGTTCTCCTTTTTTCCTGAACAAGATTCATTTTCATTTTTTCATGTAACAAACAGCAGCACCTGCACACATAAGGGTCCACGATGTTCCTGCCAAATAAACCTTAAAAGTCAAACTCCTTTGTGATTCTGTGGTTGTTGCTATAGTTACAGCAACTAATGGTCAAGATGGCAGTCTGTAAGTTCAGATGAATGATGAGTGTGATTATGTTAAAGGGATATTCCGGCGTATAATTAATTTGGGTCAAACACACTGTTACACCAAGTTAGACACCCCCTCCAGAGATGAATGTTGCCAACTGCTTGCTTCTCTAGTTATACCAACTTTAGAAACAACTGAACGATAAAAATACACAGCGGTCTGAGGAGCCATCAACTAACCTCAACCAAAACGCCACTCTATCACCACAAATATTGCTCAGAACAGCACCTAACTTCATCAACAGTACATATAGGGTCCTAGCCACAGCACTTGGCACCAAACATCTTTTTAGCTTTGACTAATTTCTTTAGCAAAGAAACTAAACACAACTCACCTACTCTATTCCAGCAGCCGCTTGTTTGTAGCGAGACCTCAGGCCAGTCCCTTACGGACTACAGCGGGGTGACGCAGCTCAAGGAAGAACATTTATGATCATTACTTTATCATTTCCTTTAAGTAATAATCATCATATTAATCATTTTGTACTGCAGACGCGGTAGTTCTTCTGCCTTAGCGTCTCGATCTGATTGCATTTACATGAAGAAAGGATCATAAATGTTCTTCCTTGAGCTGCATCACCCCCCTGTAATTCGTAATGGACTGGCCCGAGGTCTCACTACAAACAAGCTGCTTCAGGAAGAGAGTAGGTGAGTTGTGTTTAGTCTCTTTGCTCAAGAAATTAGGGAAAGCTAAATAGATGTTTGGTGGCTGGTACTGTGGCTGTGACCCTATATGTCCTGTTGATGAAGTTAGGTGCTGTTCTGAGCATCATTTGTGGCTATAGAGTGGCGTTTTGGTTGAGGTTTGTTTATGGCTCATCAGACCACTATGTATTGCTATTGTGCGGTCGTTACTAAAGTTGGTAAAACTAGAAAAGCAAGCGATCAGCAACATTCATCTCTCAAGGTGGTGTCTAACTCAGTGTTTGACCCTAAATTAATTTTGCGCTGGAATATCCCTTTAAAATACATCCATGTGGAGCATACATTTGCTTTATAGTCCACCTCAAACAAATAAAAAAGATACTCATGCATTATGTGCTGTTGACGTCACATCTGTCCTTCTCTCCTCTGCAGATCGACTGGCCCGCCCCGCAGGATAAGAAGAGGGAGTGTGTTGCTAAGGGGAAGAACAACCAGGTAACGCTGATTTGAGCTGACAGAGGGTCAGGGATGTTAGGGGTACCTGCCTGGTTTCAGGGCACTCACAGTACTAGTTCTTCAGACTGTAGCGTATAAGAGCAGCATAACTCACTTCACTTTGTCGAGCCGGTCCACGGTTGCACACTGGAAAAATTCCAGTCATTACATTAGCACACAGTGAAGTGCATCTCCCAGACAAGGTTAGCATCAGCAGCTTTTAAGGTGGTTCAATTCTGGAAATGGTAAAAAAGTATACTGGGCAAAGCTTTACGACGGGGAGGATTAGATTTCTGATGAAGATCATGATGCCAAGGCTTAATCTCTTTACAAAATACAATAAATTAAATGAATAAAATAGAGTAAAATATATACTACCTAGGAAATATTAGGGCATGTGTCCACTGACAGCGTTTTTCGTGCCAGCTGAGTCCATGACCTCATTTTCAAAGCGCTTCCTGGCAGCACTTACCGATTGAAGGCTATGAAAGTACTCCTGCATTACTTCCACACCCCTTACTAATGATAGTTAAGTCGATATAAAATGCTCTGTATGCTCCATATTTGATTTTAAGAATAAGTTTAACTTTATTTGTCGCTGAAAGGAAATTCAATTGTGTGTAGTCTCATTTGTCATGTCTCAAAAAGTTGATTTCATTGAATGAAATTTTAAGAAAACTTATAAACAATTGGTGGAATTAGTGTCATTGAATCAGACGCAGATTTTCTTTAAAAATACCCCATGTGGAAACAGGCCCTTATTCGGCAAAGCTTTCAATAAGATAGTCAAGCATCATAAACTTTCTACAGCAGCTGTCTAGACATAATAAAAATATACTGCAAAGTTTAACTCAGCTTGGTTAATTTATTATTTTATATCCATGTGAGAAGGACTGGAGGGGACTGAGGTGATCGAATTAAAGAAGTTTGTGAAAAAAAACTCTAAAATAAGTTAAAGAATAATTAGAGTAGTGATCAATAACCGACCAAAACAGCTCAAAGTGGGCTACATAAGTTTCTCTTAACATTATCAGTTTGGATTAGTTATTTTCAGAGTTTGTTTTTATTATAAAGGTTACTTTTTTTAATCTCTTGATTATACCCCATGTGGAAACAGGCCCTTATTCGGCAAAGCTTTCAATAAGATAGTCAAGCATCATAAACTTTCTACAGCAGCTGTCTAGACATAATGAAAATATACTGCACAGTTTAACTCAGCTTGGATAATTAATTATTTTTTATTTGTGTGAGAAGGACTGGAGGGGACTGAGGTGATCGAATTAAAGAATTTTGTGAAAAAAAACTCTAAAACAAGTCAAAGAATAATTAGAGTAGTGATCAATAACCGACCAAAACAGCTCAAAGTACACATTTTTTTTAACATTATCAATACATATGATCAGTTTGGATTAGTTAATTTCAGAGTTTGTTTTTATCATAAAAGTTACTTTTTAAAATCTCTTGACAGCACTTTCAGGTTATTTTCTTTTCATTAAACAGAAAACTTTTAACGCCTACCTTAAATGGCGCAGGGAACGCTAATCTGGAGGTCGCTGGTGGCATACAAAACAAACTACCTGCTTTTGTATGCTAGCATCTTAATCTCAGGTAGAAACTTTCCCTTTAATGAGCGCGTTTACTCTCTTCATTGATCTACAAGGCGGGAAACACACTCCGAGAATCAGACTTGCATCAGACTCTGAAATAAAATCATAGATCTCACCATCCAACCAGTCATACCGGACTCGAGATTCAACATCAGACAGAAAAAGAAAAAAAACTAATATCTCCAGTTCTTTCTATCAGTGATGCCGCATTAGTACACACAGATAGTTAATTGGTCTCAGCTCAACATGTAACTCACAGTTAGAGCTTCTCACTGGGTGCATAATGTGCGTTTGTAAGAAGTCCTCTTTAATATTTTATAGAAACACACAGTGCTTTTGGAAAAGGGGCTAAAAATCTTCTTATTGAGCAACAGGGTTGTTAAAATAAACGAGAAATAGCCCGCTGGAGTGCAGAAACATCTCCGAAAAATAAGAAATTAGCTATACCGCGGCTGCGAAAGTACTCCCATGTTTCTAAAATACTTCATACTTTTAATACTTTCTGTTTCTGTTGTGCTCCTTACGTTCAGTATGGAGCGTTATGGCTTGTGTTTGAACAGAACACTTAGAGAGATGCACTTATTTTTCACGGCTCCTCAAATAGCTGTGAGTGCTCAAACATTTACGGTTATATATATATATATGACAGGAGTTGACTTAATGTGCAAGAATAAGCACATGTTGTTTACACTGCCTGCAGTTAGATTTAATGATTAGTCTTTTTCTGTGATGTTAGAGTCGTGGGCTTGATAGAGGCCCGTCTGCCAGACATATCTCATCCTGATTATCCCCTCTGATTGCTGGAGCTGTAAAAATGCATTTAAAAATAAAATCAGTCTTTTTCTTTTTTACCAGACGTGAGATACAGATATTGTTTTCGCTGCTGAAACATCAACTGGATGCACTGAATTATTCATTCCTCAAGCATCATGTGTGAGCATCTGTTTCCAATTCCATTCAAAGAGCTTTATTGTTCATCACTGCGCAGGCATTAAAGGCCACTTCCCATAAAACACTGCATATATTACACTGTTAATTACGCACATATCCTTTGAATGGAAACAATCTGTCGCTTTCTGGTCGAGTTGAAAGGTTATTGAGATAATGTGGTCGCATCAACAACTTATCAATTAAATAGGACGCTTGTATAACAGTGATACACAGCCAAATACCCTCACTCTGATGTCAAACAGGTTTAATAAACTGTCTTATCATCTTGCATAATCTAGCGTCGAGGTTATGACGTTTTAGGGTGAATGAGGGTTTTAAAAAAAGGTCCCATTGGAGCATTAGAGTAAATCTGCGTTTCGGCGAATGTTCGAGAACACTGAGAGCCTCCCTGATGAAAAATAAATTGCGCATAATAGTGAGACAGAGCCGCAGACGATTGGTGGGGCTCTTTTTAAGCCTGAGGTGACCTTGTTCTGTGCTGGAGTGGACTGAAGGTTAGACGGCAGTAATCAGCAAACACTTGCAGCAGCCAGCTCTGTGAAGAAGCGCCGGTAATACACAATAATGCTGGGACTAATTGGGATGCTTATTTTGCAAGCAAACAACAGACTCTGAACAAAATATACCTGCTTAAAAAAATCTGGTGCTATCTCAAGGTGACTACAAACTGAATGGGTCCGTTTTCAGGTTTCAATGGGGAGAACTTTTTAAACATTTATCACAAAATTAACATCATGTTGTAAAGAAGGAGACTGAAAACTAACAGAAAAGCAGTAAACTTGCTTGGAAACCAGTGAGAAATTGGTCATTTTCTCTTCATCTGTGGTAAAATCAATCATATTCCCACCAAACATGAGTGTGTTTTAGGTTGATACTCTTATTAGTATCTACAATCTGTAAAATATGACCTTTTTTTGTCACTTTCTGATTAGAAAGTTAAGGTACTGAAACTTTTGTACAGATTTTTATCTGATCATCAAGCACAGAGCAGTGAATTGATATCAGTTCATCAGAGTTGTCAAACGCAGCAGTGAAAACGTGATTACGATATTCAAGCTTCCCACCTTGAGATGAACTTTCCGTTAAGAAATAAACTCCAAATTAAATAGACAAGAGTATTCTAACAATTTCTCTCCTCTCTCTTTCAGACTGAGTGTTTCAACTACATCCGTTTCCTCCAGAGCTACAACCACACACACCTCTACACCTGCGGCACCTTTGCCTTCCAGCCTAAATGCACCTACGTGGTATGTCTTTGCGTGCGTGTGTGTGAATGTTTACCCCGACGATGACTCATCGCCTGGCAGGGCTGACAGGTGTTAACGTGAGATGTCTGCTTTGTGACCTCAGGCTGAAACCTGTGTTGTGAAAAATAAGTATAAAAAAACCTGAAGTATCTCCTGCTGGGTAACCTGAACATGCGAACGCTGCTTCTTGTTGACATAGACGTGACGCTGATGTGACAGGACAGCGAGACGAGGGCGCCGTAATGGACAGAGCGAGCTCGCAGCTGTGTCACGTAGGTCGTGATGCACGCTGACCGTGAACCCTCTGTGTTGTGTGTTTGTGTGCTTGCAGAACGCGGACTTTTTCACCCTCAACACTGCGGCTCTGGAAGATGGCAAGGGTAAATGCCCGTATGACCCTGCCAAGGGGCACACTGGCCTGATAGTGGGTGAGTAAAAGTGCACGCACGTTAGCCTTATGTGAATGCATGTTAACACTTATTTACAAATGGTAAGCAGATAGTTTATAAATGTTTAATCATATGTTTAAATAGCATATAGACCATTAATAAATTGTAAATTTTACCATTTTAAAAACGTATCCCTAACTTTACAATAACCATCTAGGTAATATTCATAGATAGTTTAAATACAAATATTAACCATTTACAAAGTGCTATTGACACACATTCTAATCTAGATGTTTTACAACCAATATTTAAAACCTATATAAACCTTTAATAAATAGTCCATTAATAAGTAAATATTAAATTATTAATCATAATTTCATTGCTTGTTAATGGTAAAGTAAATATTAACTTAAATTAATAAACTATCTATTTGCTATTTATAATTTGTCTATATGCTGTTTTTAAATGATTATTAAACATTAATAAACTATTTAACATTTATAGATTATGGTTATTGTTAAGTGTTGCCAAATGCATTCACATTTTTAACATGTTTGTTTCTTAATTAGTGATTTTAAAGAGTAACACTTTACAATAACCATAATTTATAAGTGGCAAATAGATAGTTTATGAATGTAAGTTAATAGCTACTTTACCATCAACAAGCAATGAAATTATGATTAATAACTTTAATTATTAAAGGTTTATATAGGGTTTAAACATTGGTTGTAAAACATCTGATTAAAATGTGTGTCAGCAGCACTTTGTAAATGGTTAATATTTGGTTTTTAAACCATCTATAAACATTACTTAGATGGTGATTGTAAAGTTAGGGTTAGGTTTTTAAAATTGTAAAATTTACAATTTAATGGTCTATATGCTATTTATAAATGATGATTAAACATTAATAAACTATCTGCCTACCATTTATAAATGGTCTATTTACTATTCATAATTTATGTTTATTGTAAAGTGTTACCTTTTAGAGTGTTTCAGAACAGGTACAACAGGTACATTTTCGTTTTATCTCATACCAAAAGTGCATGATTAGTCCTGAGTTAGAAGCCCATTGCCATTCGTATCAACACCAAGCACACAGTCAGCCCCTGTTGTTCCATCTCAGCAGTCTTTATACTGAAGAGAACATCAGTGTGTTATTTTACAGCTCCAGCAGAAGCATAAAAACGTCCATCAAATCTCTACAAAATGCTCCTGCAGCATTTCCCATCTGTTTTGTAGCCACCCGAATGCACTGAGAGTCCAGAAGTACAATTAAACTTTGCATGCTGCATTCACTTCAGCGTGCACAGCCTCGCTGAACCCATAGGCACCCATTCTCTGCGCTCTTTTGTGCCTCCCAGCTGAACCACTGACCTTCTCTCATTGTGAGCTTGTATAATGGTGGCTGAAAAACAGACCTGGACTAAAGCTTGCATTTTGTTTGTATAGATAAGGAGCTATACTCAGCAACACTCAACAACTTCCTGGGTACAGAGCCAGTCATACTGAGGAATCTGGGCCAGCAGCACTACAGCATGAAGAGTGAATACTTGCCTGCCTGGCTCAATGGTGAGTGAGAAAAGACGAGACAATGGGAAGAGAGAAAGAAATGGCGAAGTTGCCAGCTGAAAAAAAGTAAGACAGGGTGAAAAGTAAAGTGGAAGAAAAGATTATTGTAAACAGTTTTCTGTAACCCTGGCATGACTTTTGCTTGAAAAATAAGGTCAGCATTGCTCTTGTAATGCAGATTAGCTTATTAAGTATAATAGAGCTGCACTGGAATAGAAAAAAAGACAACTAATTAAAAAGTTCTGTTTTCTTACTTGACCCTGTTGGCTGGTAACATCAGAGAAAACACAGCAAAGAAGATTATCTGCACTTCTGCTGAATCCTGGTTATCATAGTATGTTTATGGGCTTTAACATTCACATGGGAAGGCGACAGACATGTTTTAAAGAACTTTTTGTTCATAACTTCTGTACTGAAATCAGAGCTAACTAAATCTGTATTTGCCAAGGTTAAGATTTGGAGTTGTCAGATTTTCCACAACACTGTAACAGACAAAAAATAGAGCGTACACTGTGCAGAAAATCCTGATTAAACCATCGATGTCTTATTTCTAGTATCCATAAATGTCTTCCTGGACTAAATATAAGCCACACCTGCCTAACAAGATCAAATCAAAGATAGTATAAGCCAAAAAATTGAGCTGATTGCTTGTAATGAGTAAGAAAATCTCCCAGTGTGGCTTTAAATATTTACTTGTTGATCGTCTGATTCAAGAAAAATTAAATCTTATTTCAAGAGACTATAGAGGTACTTCATTTCAAGACTTTCTATTACCTGTAAAAAGCTATTTCATGTCTTCAGATAAGATGTGTTACTGGCTGCAGCCCCGATTAAGTCACATGATAATAGACAAAAACACTCCCTTAGTGGTTGATCATGCCAGGATCTTTTTAACTGAGGAACATGCAAAAGAACAACAGAGAGAGAAAGGAGTTCCCGGAAGTGAAGCTGCAGCAAAGGATCATTATCGTCTGGGGAGGAGGTGTTGAAAGGAGCGGACGGGCAGGAGAGAAAAGGATGAAGTCACTGCGAGAAAATGGGCGATGAGAGAGCAGACATTAGGATTAGTGATAGAAAGATAGAGGTGGAGGAACATACAGATGAGGCTGAGGTTTGGACCCACAAGTCTGTTTATTATTCATGCTGACACTGGGATTTTATTAAAAACTAGAACTAGATGAATGGATCTGGTAGCCTCTCATTAATTTTACCAGCTTCTGGCCAGCCTTAAAATGTTAATTGGCCTGATTTGAGGAGAGTTACAGTGTCCTGTGATGACTTAAACTGCTGCTTCAGAGGCCTCATGCTGGAAATAACAGCCCATCCTGGGAAAAACATATTATTTTGATTGTTAAAAAAATAGGTTTCCTTCAAAATTGTCGAAATAGTAGCCTTGAGCAGCCTTACCAGAAAAAAAAACTGTTGCATTTGCTCTCATATAAAACACATCATTCACAACCTAATGAGGACTGGATATGGAGGGAGACGGAGAAATTCATGCAGGATGGAGGGAAGTGAGAAACCTAAAATGGGCTGCTAATGGGAAGCGCTGAAGAGACAGAGAGCGAGAAATGACTGGAGGAGAGATGAGGCCAAGGAGAGAAAGATGATAGAAAATAGATGGAGAGGTGAGAATGGGCGGCGGGGAATGAGATGGAGGTGTCAGGCTTGTGTTTGTGTGTATGTGCTGTGATTCAGTCCAAAGGCTCGTACAGCCCCAGACTGTCTCTTTGTGATGTATGTCTTTACCATTGTGAGTAAATACTCTCTCTGATAAGGCTCCTCTGTATGTGTTGTGTGCCTTTATGTGTACAGAGCCGGACTTTGTGGGTTCAGCCTTGGTGAGGGAGAGCAGCGGCAGCAAAGAAGGAGACGACGACAAGATCTACTTCTTCTTCAGCGAGCGAGCGCTGGAGCTGGAGTGCGACACTGAGCTCACTGTGGCTCGAGTGGCTCGCGTCTGCAAGGTAAAACCTCCAACAGGTTGTAAGGATGCCTAGCCCATGTTCACTTTTAAAAATGGAAGGTCCAAGCTTTATTGGTCGCAGATCTGGGTTACAGCTTATCATGCCACAAGTGTAATAAAGACTGGTCTGAGATTGTTCAAGTATATATAGTCGTCCACGTTTCCAAACATTCTGCTTGCATCTTGTTGACCTGAAGGAGAGTCCATGTAGGGTGATAACAAAGCACAGCATATTTCGGGAGCCTGGGTGATGTTAAACATGGGTTCAAGGTCTTGTTGAGGATAGTTGTTGGAGGCTGACATGACTGGCTAAAGAAAATCACCCTAACACAGGTGATAATGGAAAACCCCAACAACTAAAAGTCTGGTGTTGTGGTGCATCTGCAGAAATGGATTAGGTCTCACACTATTTGAAACAAGAACTGCATTTACATGGGCACAAATAATAATAAATGTCCAATCTGAATAAAAATGCATCATGTGAACATGTCAATCAGAAGATTCCGATCAAATTCGACTCAATTGGAAAGAAATTGTATTCCGATTATGCCGATCGCTATTCCGAAATACGTCTATGTAAACATTTATTCCGATCGTGACTCTCTTACCTGACTTGATCTTCACTCCAGTACAGGAGGTTTCATTATTAACACTCTGGCATAGAACACAACCACATCTGCTCCTTCAGTAACATAACAAGGCGTACATACAGCGTAATGATGTCACATCAGCAACCTTTGACAGTACAGTAAAATAAGTACGCAAGGGCGCCATCTAGTGACGACATTTAACAGGGGGAAAACTCCTGAGTTGGATAAAGTGAGCCACTACAGTGTTTGTTGATTTGTTGACAGCACAGGCGTAAATACAACTCTTCTTCTTCTGCGGTTGTTTTAGCGAAATCAGACAACTCTGCTCATGTCCAAATGCGTCTAATATCATGATCGGATTATTTGATTTTGCACCCCTATAAACCGTGGATTCAGATTATCCGATCCCTTAAATTTTAAATCGGATCAAGAAATTTTGCACATGTAAACAAGGCTAATAATCAGTCTGAAAGTGAATATTCAGGCGCTCACATGCACAGATTTCCCATCCCAAAACTAATTTTCACAACAAAATCATAGTTTCTGCATGCTTGGTCTGCACCCAGCTGTTTTCTGCTTTCTCCAGCTGTTTTGGCAGCTGCTGAACAGTTAATGCTTATGTGAGACAGCAGTTGGTAACAGTTTGGGGCTTATAGACTCCAACAGGAGATTCCCATATAAGGGGGTAATCAGCAGAGTTGTTTCACAGCTATATATATAAAGTAAACTGTTGAGGCTGGTATATCAAACGCGATACAGCCCTAACTTTAAAAGCTAAGTAAACAGGATGAAGCTCTCTTTTCAGCTAGGCTTTTACCGTTTTTGTGTTTTTTTTATGTAGAGGATGTGAACTGCTCAAATTGGGAGACTAACAAAAGAAGCGCCGCTCGTTTAGACAAAGACATGCCAGATTTCAAAGCTCAAAACAGCATAAATGCTTCTTTAATCTGTTATTTTCGGGTGTATTTCAGGCTGTCACTACGTCAGACTTTCACCTCACATTTATCAAGGACTCCTGATTATAATATTTGTGTAAAGACACAAAACTTTTGGAGGTTGCTTTATAATCTTTACTCCTTTAATGCCTGAAACCACAAATTATGGCCAGAAAATTCAATTTTTTTAGAGCTAAAATGTTTATTTTACTCACTACTAAAAAAACAAAAAAATCAAAATGTCCTTAAAATTTAACAAAGATATATATTTACCTCGTTTGATACATCAGAGGACATTTTTATAATTTATCAGCCTGTATGCAGGTGTTTTTTTTTTGTAATTTGTTGATCATATTGATTTGATAGAAGTATTATTAAAGTATATATCAAATATGATACAAAAGGCATTAAAGGGTTACTCACATGTTTATTTTTAATTATGTTTGAAGTCGTTTTACCTGCTTCGTTTCATGGCAACCAGCATTAAAACTCCTACTACCTTCTACTTAAAGGCATCATTAGAAACAGATGGTGACATATAGGTTAATTGTGTTTATTATTAGGGTTTATGAAGTTATGTGTTGCACTGACAGATTGTGTTGTCGTATGTTTTCCATACATATCAGGATAATATCTTTATAATGGCCACAACAGTCCTGGTATCATGACGGCACTAAATCAGACTAATTTAGGATAATCTTACATTTCTTTGCCAAGTTTGAGTCGACAGGATCTGCTTCAAAAATGTCTCTATTTATACCAGAATGAAGCTGAAGGAAGGAGGCGGCGGTTTAAAAATGAAATTTTTATCTAGTGATTTAATTTTGCACCAAAATATAGACAACTTAATTTCAGTGGAACAACCGTTTTAATTAAGATGTGCTGTGTGAAGATTTGTAAATTGACAAGGAGTTATTTGGTAATTAATGCATCATTTGCTTGATAAATTGCCTCGCTGGGATAACTAATTAAAAATGATGTACCACAGAGATCATGGCCTGATGTCAGTGGTTCTTCTCGCCGCTGAAAGGAGCATTATCCAGCGAGACATGTGAGAGGTGTTCCTTTTATTTGGATCTCAGTTACTTTCAGTTTGCGTCAAAAGAGGTTAAGAGTCGACTCACGGTTGCATCTGCATCTGTAGTTACGGTAACCTTTAAACCGAGCTAAACAAAGACAGATTGTTAACAGTCTGAGGACACATGTATAATTAAGTGCAAAATATCTGCTCAGTTTTATGGGAAGTGCCCTTTAATGTTGGCGCTGAGATGAACAATAAAGCTCTTTGAATGAAATTAGAGACAGATGCTCACACATGATGCTTCCCAGAGCGGTGAATAATTTAGCCTGTCCTGCTGATATTGCTACTGCAACAGAAGTGAAATGTGGAAATCTTACTGCTGTAATATGAGCATTTGCATTTTTTAATCCCTTTTTACAGCTTCTGCAATTACTGAGGATAATAGCAATGAGACATATCTGGCAGACAGGCCACTTTTGAGCCCACAGAGTACTGTATGAAAGCACTTCTCATCAATCTGTAAAGTATAATGCAATGTTTATCGCTTTATTCAGTATTACTATTATTGTTATTCTGCGTTTCAATGGAACCCTTCAACGTTTCAGGGTCTCGATGCTCTCTAAGAGGCTTATGCCAACATGACAACAGTTCAGTCAGCTCTGCTCACATGGAACAAGTTTACCATTATGTTTATACAGAGTTTGTACAGAGATGTCATTTCACATCCAAGAGGTGAATCCGGGGCTAATGAAATGCGATACAAGAAGCAGAGCAACAAAAGAGGAGCGTGAACCGAGGGTTGTTAGTTTAAAGAGGGTTATAACACCATAGATTAAGAGATAAACTTCTGCTGCCTGTTTTATCTCCAACTGCAGAACAGTAGTGTGGTCAGAAGTGTGCGTTTAAGCATCTTTGCTGTCATGGTGAGCGGATCGAACCCAAGTAAGACATTATAATGTGAAGCAAAATAGTCTATCGTCATCATAACTTCAATTATCATGCAAAGTTTGTAAAAGTCTTATCCTATAATGGTGAGTATAGAAGCAGCAAAGGTAAAGTGACCAGACGTCCCTGATTTATGGTGACAGTTCCGTTTTGGATGACCTGTCCCTGATTTAAGCGTTTCATGAATGAGAAAAAAATGTTGCATGTAGACTAGAACAACAGTTATTACGGTAGCCAAGTAGGTAGGAAGCGCAAGTAAGCATGTTGTACACAGTCCTGAACAACCATTTTTACGGGGGGCGTGCACTGCTACTAAGCAGTACGGAGTACAAAATAAAGGGCCTGAAATCACATTTTGCTTAACACCCCCCACCCCGTGGATGTCCCCGGATTTCATTACAGAAATCTGGTCACCTATAGCATGTCAAGTCCAGGAGAGACTTGACCCTACATGGCGTAGACCCTGAAACCACAAGGCCAACCGCCGCCCCGTCCTGCTTTATTAACAATCATATAATGTGAATAAAAATGTAAATGGAGGTTGTTTCTTCAGTCATCTGGTCTGACAAACACCCCCTCATTAAACAGTTACATTAGTAAAACTGAGTCTTGTTTGATTTGATAGAAAGCAGCATCAGTGTCGTTTTTAGTTTCTTTTACAGCCAGTTAAGAAACTCATCACAGAGGCTGTAAATTGGGACAAAATTTAAGGTATTAATTCCAACTCTTGCTGCCTGTTGCTCGGAGTCATTTCAAATCTTAATATGCCAAGCAGGGGTTCACTTCATTAAATTCCTGAAGGGAAGCTGAGGGTCGCCTTTGGCCATGTGAAATACTCCTCTTGATTAAAAACATGTGTCCAGAATTGGAAGTCCACAAATAAGTCTGATTGCTTCTTGAAAACACTTAAAGATGTACAAACTCTCACCTCCCCAAAAAGTCCAATCTTAGTGTACTGGTGCTGAATTCAAGTAACACAATTAGCATCTAAACTTAAAGTCCCACTCACTCAAATTCAGCACAAAAAAATGTAATGTTTTATTCTCATGCATAAGAAGTTTGGCCATAATTAAAAAAATATCTTTTAGGCATTTGGGCAAGGGGAGTGATAGACCCTGTTTTTTTATCTTTAAGACAAGTAAACTTGTGCATCATCAGCAAAGCAGTGAAATGGCACATTATGTCCATGGAAAACAGACCTCCTGAAGTGATACACAGCTGAACGGTAGTTTGGTTTGACAAAAATGATTCCAGAGAGTGTAGTTCAATCCGTGATTCTTTCACCAAGTGATTCAGGCGTCGGTACATGTGGTCCCTCGTTCACCAGCTGCTGGCCCACAATGCTGTTTCTCACTTAAGCTCAACTGAAGTGAGACATGAACGAATCACTCGAGAAAGTGATTTGGTTCAGTACATTCACTTAAAAGATTCGGTTCGTTTGGAGGAATCGTTCATGAACAACACAACACTACCCAAAACGACAACTGAGGGCCACCATAGAAAGAGGTGAAGAAGAACGAAATCAAGATTATAACAATAATAGCTGACCCTCAGATCTATCAATGAGTCCTCATGTTTATTAGTTGATTGATTAATATGACTATATTTTCAGACCTAAAGTTTATCTCATTGACAACTTAGAAAACGTGATACAAATATACATACAACATTTCTACACCAAACAGCATATTCAGAGGCTATCGGTGTTCTGTGGATCTTGGGTCAAGCTCCATTTTTAATTTTAGGACTGAATGGTGTGTAAAAGTCTGACCCTTTAAAAACATGTGACCCTGTATCTCAGATCTGATACTGATGGTTTATATTAGCCGTTTAGAGCATGGTTAGATCAGAGACAATGTTGGCCAGTGTGACTCATGGAGTCTCTAGAGTGGCTGACCTTTAGTTTTGGAGCACTTTCACATGGTGGCACAGTTCAGACTTTAATACGGCAGCGACACACTTGTGCCATGTGTTGTTAACCCAGAACTTCAAACAACCTCTGTGTTGTCCTTGTGCAGATGAATTCACTTGGGTCTTTCCGGGACACCAAAGGTTGATCGTATGCTGAGTTATTTATACAACGCTCGTCCTCTGTTCTTCCTCAGGGAGATCTGGGTGGTACCAGGACCCTGCAAAAGAAGTGGACCACTTTCCAGAAAGCTCGCCTGGTGTGCTCCCTCCCAGAGCGCCACGTCTCCTTCAACAACCTGAGGGCCGTTTTCACGCTGCCGGGTCAGGACTGGAGGGGAACTACCTTCTACGGCATCTTCCATGCCCAGTGGTGAGTCAGAGCGGCCACTGATGGAGACATGTAGGAACTGCAGATACAGCTTGGTGTCAAAACTGGACTCAGATAAATGCTGGTTAATTACCGCGTGTGTGGTATTAAGTCTGTCAGATACTCTTCATTTCATTAAAATCCTGGGTCAGCCAGTCACTCAGATATGATAGCTCTAATTATGCACTCAATGTGTTCAGGTATCTACGGTTTAATTGGGCCTCTAAGTGACCATAATGTGAGTGATTTAAAGTGGATAAAACTAAAGAGCACTTGAATATGTTTTATTGGTTTTATTAGTGGTTTAATGTCACATGAGCTTAATGTTGTTTCCGTTATTAGTGAACTAATTTGCTAAACAGAGTCAAGATGATTAAATTAGGCCCTTAGCTACGGACATTAATAAGAAGAGGACAATTTTCCATTAGAAGTCTCAAGCTTTATAGAAACATTTCATCATCTGCGTTAAAGTCACTGCTGGATCACATTATTTATAATAATCCCATTACTTGTTACATCTTCCAATTTAAGTGTCATGAGTAAACAAGCGTGCGTCTTTTCAGCAGAAATTCATCACACCACATTTTCAGGCATCAAATGGCCTTTGTGAGACTGATCGGGGAAAACAAACTCTGTCGAAACACTTTGTTGTCGCCACTTTGTTTTAAGCTCAGTAACACAAGCGTGGGGAAAACAAACTTTTCCCAATGAGGTTAACATAAAAGAAAACTAAATATACAGTAGATGTGATATTTAATCTACAAATGAGTTGTTAAAAAGGTCATGACTATATTACCTTTTCAGACAACTGATTGTTTTGTAATTAGAGGAATTAAGATTGGCATTTGCGTGACTGCTGCATCACTGTTATATGTTAATGAGTTAATTATCAACAAAGCTGGCGAGCGGGGGCAGGAGGTTTTCTTTAGGAGGAAAGTTGGAGACCGTCTCTGTCTTTGTGAAATGCCCTTTGAAGTGAGTCTTTTGTGCTCTTCAATAAGATATCCTATCACAAAGTGAAGCTGCTTTGAACTTCAAGCTTTGTTTCTTCATTCAGCGTTCCTACTGTCTGTGGAAAAAAAAAAGTTTAATCCTTTCTCTCTGTGTGACTGGCTGGGGATTCCTCAAAGCCCCCTGGCTTTGATAGAGATAACATTAAGATAATTGGACATTATGTAAATGATGACTGGGAGTTGGAGCCATAATCTGACTGAATAGGCAAGCTTTAAACTTGCTAAGGCATCGGTGCTGTCCTTTGGTTTTTTTATATTCACCTTAACACCAAGGGAACTGCTGCACATTAACAGTGCTGATCCAGGCGTTTTAAAACTACCTCTTCTAGCTGGTTTAAAGAGCAGTACTCTGTGAAGAGGTGTGATCCTAAGAGTTTAAAAACACACATCAAGTCAAATCAACCTGAAAATCCCAGTTTTGAGAAATAAAACCAATGCAGTTCCTTAAGTGTCCACTAGAGGCTGGTTTGAAAAGCACAAAAACCACATACACACCCATTCATGAGCAGAGGTGCAAATACTTACACTAAAGTGTGTCGGAGGAATCCAAACATTAGACTGCAGGTTGCTCTGAGCAGCTTGTTCAGAAAGTTTAGTGAAAGAAATACCGTGCTCTGTCCTTTGGTAGTATGGATTTTCTTTGTGTTCCCCTCCTAAACTTTCCAGGTCAGATTCAGAGTCCAAAACAAATGGCCATTTTCCATTATAAACCAGTTAATTCAATCACTGCAACTGTGTCATGTGGCAACAGTAGACAAGGCTTCTGGAGAGCTGACAAGCTTGAAGAAATTAGGCCTGTAGAGGACCATTTTTAAAAACTTGTCATTTCAAACTAGGGTGACAATACGTCCAATAAGAGTTTTTGTCACGTGGACTTACTGAGTTCGAAGCGCGTAAAAGACACTTGATCCCGAAAAACTCTCAAAATTAACTTCACGCGACCTTGTGACTCTGCCTTGCGTTGTGATGTCTTATTTTTGGGGAGTCAGAATATGGTCGCCTTACTATATTAACCCAAACCAGTTAATCTAGTGAAATGGTGGTTTTGTAGTATGGCAACAATAGATGAGGCTTCTTGAGAGCTGACAAATTGGAATAAATCAGGCTGTCAGGGGAGCATTAGTCCTCCCTCTTTTAGTAAATTTAAAGCTCTTTATTTTGATGAAAATTTCACCAAATGATTGCAATATGACTGTTTATTCAGCTCTCCGCTACTTTCTCATCAGCTCCCCGAGAAAAACGAACTTCTCAAATGTTTTCCTCATGCCTCAGGGTAAAAAAAGAAGGTCATTTGTCACTATATGTTCTTGCATTAATTTGTCAGTGACTCGGTTTGGGAACTGGACCTAAAAGAGATGTTTTCAGACTTGTGCATTAGCCTGGAAATCAAATCTATGTGCAAGATGAGGAGAGCGAGAGTGATTTAATATCGCCGGGTCATGCATCAATACCCAATTCCATATCCACTTGAAGTTGAAATTCAGTCAGAAAAAAAAAAAAAAAGTTATATTGCGAAACCTCGACCTTACCATTCAATTAAATGGGTTTCCTCAGTCACAGCCTCAACTGATTGATTTTAGGAGCTTATCAAGAAAGTGTATTACATGTACATCAATTTGTTCATCATTTTTGCTTCGCCGCAGAAAAAGAAATTTGGTTCGTTTCGCCCGATAATGGACAGTTCAGGCTGTCACAAATTGAAGCTTTATGAAAGATATTAAAAGATTTAATGTTGCTTATTTCCCATGCCTTTTACATACAAAATATTTTTATACTCTGCTATATTTGAATATATCCCATCCGTTTAGTATCTCTTGTTTTCGTTTGTCAGTGTTGCTTCACTTTTGCAGCATCTGGAAGATTCACATTTGGATGATTCGTAATTCGTCTGACAGTTTTCACTGCCAGACATCCCTTATTTCTCACCTTGCTGCCATGTTTCAGGGGTGACGTGGACGTGTCAGCGGTGTGTCAGTACCAAATCAATGATGTGAAGAAGGTATTCGAAGGATCCTACAAAGAGTACAAGGAGGCATCGCAAAGGTGGGCACGTTACACCGGAGCTGTCCCCAGCCCACGGCCTGGATCGGTAAGAAATGCAGGGACTCTGTGCTGGTAGATATGTGGCTGCAATATGTCTAGAAAACAAAAAAGAGGGGGGTTTCATGCACCTTGTTGTGTGCATAACAAGAAGAAAGAGCAGAGGAGGTTTGATGAAAGAGGGAGGGAGGGAGGGGAGTCGTGGGTTACTGTAGCGATGAAAAAGGGCAAAAGCTGGCATGACACAAAGCTAAAAACGTAATGATCCAGGACGAAAGGAAAGGGAACAGAGACAAGGATGTGATGGCAGGCGGAGGTGAGAGCGAGTGAAAGAAAGAGGGAGAAAAGGAGAGAAAAGGAGGGAGGTATAGGGAGGGAAGTCATCTCGCAGCCAACTAGCCGTGCCAACCTGTGCCAGCTGCAGCTCAGAAGTTTCTTCCTCTCTAATTTTCTTTTTCTCACTCTTCCTTTCATCCTCTCCGTCATTTCTGTCCTTCCTCCATTTCCCCTATGTTCACTCCCTCCTATGTCACTCCATCCCCCCCTCTCCTCTGCAGTGTATAACAAGCACTGACAGGGATAGCGGCTACAACAACTCTCTGCAGCTGCCTGACGCCACCCTCAACTTTGCCAAGAAGCACCCACTCATGGACGATAAAGCTCTGGCTCGCCCCCTGCTGCTCACCAAGGGTGTCAACTTCACAAAGCTGGCAGTGGATCGAGTCAACGCCTTGGACCAGCGGGCGTACAACATGCTCTTCATTGGCACAGGTACAGATAACATACCGACTTCTGTCATCACTGCATTTATGATGTTATTGGTCAGTAAATCTTAAAATACTGAAGCTGGAATCAGTCTGTAGAATTTATGCAGTGACTTATTTCTAATTTTACATTCAAGGTTTCTGGATATAAATCAGCTTTTTTTTTCACCTTGAAATTTAATAAATTCAAAAACAGAATCAGATTTGAATGTTTGAATGTCATAAACTTATTAAAGTTATTAACTCCAATTTCACCTGAACTAGTTTAAATACTTGAGATCAAGAAGTTTGTAGCTTCCATTTGTTGTGTCAGATACAAAAAGTACAAGACACTTAAAAGTAGTAAAGGTTTGAAACTTTTTATCTTTTTTAAACTTTTTAGACAAAGACCAACTTGGTGAATTTAGTTTAAATACAAATAAATAAAAAAGTGGTGGAGTAACAGTAGATGGATGGATGGATGGATGAATAGTTCATTAGATTGATGGATGGATTATGGCTCAGTGGATGGATGTTTGTATGGATGGATGAATGGATTGATGGATGAATGAATGGTTGGTGAATTAATCGATAGATGGGTGGTGGGTTAATGAATTTTAGATGGATGGATAAATGACAGACTGGATGGATGGATGAATCAGTTATTGAATGGGTAATTGATGGATGGATGGATGGATGGATGAATGGATCAACTGATGAATTGGTAATTGATAGGTGGATGGATGGCTGGCTGGCTGGCTGGCTTGATGGATGGATAAATGGATTGATGGATGGATGGATAAATGGATAAATGAATCAATTGATGAATGGGTAATGGATGGATGGATGGATGGATGGATGGCTGGGCGGCTGGCTGGCTTGATGGATGGATAAATGGATAGATGGACAGATAGATAAATGGATGAAAGGTTGATGGACTGATAAATTTCATAGTTTGACAGATAAATTGATATTTTAGTGAAGGTATAAAAGGATGGATGAATAAATAAATGAGTGGATGAACAGATAAACAATGATTTAATGATATACTAATTAATATAGGGTTAAATGCAGATGTGTGGATGATAAACAAGTGTATAAAAGTATGAACATTTAAAGTAAATTTAATTTTAAAATAAAAGTTTCAGAGGAGAGCACCTGCCTCTCCGGTTTATAAACTGACATCAGTTTGCAGAGTTGGGAAACAGGTATTTTGAGCTCAGTTAGTCACCTCACTCTTATAAGCCTGTATTGTGCTTGCAGGATTGTTGTATTGGATTGCATTATACAGTATATGGTGTTTCTATTATGTATCCTGCTGCAGTGTGGTGTTCCCTCAATATGGCAGTGGAAATATATCCCAAGTACTCACTCTTTCATCATATTCCCCCATTGTGGGTGAGTGTGCGTTCGAGTGTGTGCGCTGAGGGTGTTGAGGGGACTCGCACGCAGGGTTTATTGAAGAGATGAGAGAGAACAAGCCACAGCAGCAGACAGGGACAGGTACTGGCATTAGGCATGGTGGCTCAAAACAACCTGCCATCTGGCCACACTTCACCTGGGTTTCAATTAAGGACTTGATTTGCATGCTGAGATCCATCTTCATGCATCAAAGGAAACGCCTACTTATGCGAGACTTAATTAATATCTCTACTCAGTAGCCATCGGGTCCATATGCAGGTGTCCCGTTCTGGCGCCGATCTCGAGTCAGCTGGTCCTTCTGGAGCTCTAAACTTGAGTAACACGGATCTGACAGTGGATTTCAGGGAATGTGAATCTGAATGCAGCTCAGCTCATGAATGGAAAGAGACTGCGCTGATTACCATTCAGATCACTGCAGCGGCAAAGTGACTGTGGCAACTGTGACTGTGTGTGACAACAGCGGACTCAGGGCTCCTCTGCTGGCAGGCGGTGAGGCCAGCCCTGGACACACACACACGGACACACACACACACGGACACAGAAAGACACGCATGGGGACACGCACACGAGAACCACACTCACAAATTGATTTATGCACACGCAGAGAGTTGCACAGGCTTGCACTCCCTGAGCCAAGTGCAGTCATCCCCGCTTGTCGTGCTTCACAGCACAAACTCAACAGGGCCCTTGGCAGACGGGCGTTCGTAGTGCCAATTGGGCTGCGGGCTTGATTAGCTATTAGCTGCAGCGTAGTGACAGCTGATGTGAAAAGAGAGAGAGAGAGAGGGAGCGCTTGTTGAGATTGTTTTTCGAAAAACCAGTCTGCAGGATTGAGGGATTAGTCTGCACCGGCCCCTGACGCCGCGACAGACTGGTGTGATGATATGCAGGCTGCTAGCTGGACTTGTGTTTGTGTATTTGCACATGCATGTACTTACTTTTCTCAAGCCTAATGTTAGCTAGCAGGTCAGAATTTCCCATCGTCCAAAGCAGTCCTCTCCATCGAAAGAACCACTGTTCCCTCCAAAGGTACATGCACATACACACTACCCTGTACATATCAAGGTCACCCCACCAGCTGTGCCTTGAATGCCTTTCATCACAGGGGATCTAAACTTGTTCACAATGCCCTACATGAAAGGAGCGCAGGATCTCGTCTTCTCCTCCTCCAGGAGCAGCTCCCCGCACACCGCTCAGAAAAACGTCCTCAAATGTCTCTGATAATATTGCCTTTACCAGAGGTCTTTAAAGACCAGGAACAGCTTTCAGACTCTTTTAAAGTCACCTCTAGATTGTTTCTTTCTAAGCTGGACCCAGCTCATGCTGATGTAAGTTTGTGAAGGAGAGTCGGCTTTTCTGTTCGACTCAGCTGGAGGGGAGTCTGATATTTAGTGCGGCACTCTGAGAGGCTAACGGAAGTTATAGGCGACTGAATCAGACTGTAACTTTGTACATGTTGTCACCAGTTGTTCCTCTTGTGTAGAAAACTTCCTTTTTACTCAGAAAAGGTTTGATCAGTCCAGCAGAAAAAAAAAAGCACAGATCAAATTAGACACATTAATTAAGTCCTCTGAATTAGGTGTTCCAGTTTCAGGGCCTCGGCTATTTGCAGACTGGCTCTCTGACCTGACTTTACTACCGGACCATAAATGCACTTAATTAACATTAGCACTAGCTGTTTTGTTTTATGTTAGCTTTTCCTGCCAAGTCAAAATTGAACATCTGACCTCATAAAGGCCAGTGCTCTCAGTTAATTGTTGTCCAGCATGGCATATAAGGTACAAACTTTTAGTCTGGAGACACACAGCCAGTGTTAAAACATATACACCTATTCTATAAAGCTCATCTATTCAGCAAGAAAACTATATATTTACACTCTAGTGAAAATTTGAGTTCATGTTTAGTTGATGGCAGATTTCTAAACTTCTACCTTAATACAACAGTGGTGTCAGGAGTCGGTGCAACAGTGAGTGCATACTGGGTAAAAGCCTTCAAACCTTACATACACATGATAAGATGGATCACGCGCAACTTGAGCAAGATCAGACAGACTTTTTAAGATTTGTGAATCTTACTGGATTAAATTTTTTCTGGATTTGGATCATGAGGACCTTCACCAGCGTCAGACTTTCAACAGGTTTCAGCTTTTTAAGATTTGGAGCAGAATTAACCGTCAACTTCTTACAGATTAACTGTAACAGAAGAAAAGGAGGAGGTTAAAGGACTTGGTAGGTCAAACAGTACGACCACTAATGGCCATAACTGGGCCTCGAAACCACTGGTTGAGAGAATTAATCTTACATCCATGTTTAGTTCAGTTTATGGGAACAACTGCTGTGGAGAAACAGACTGTAATTTTCTGTATCCTGAAGTAAACTTTCTGAAAAGCAGCTGAACAAATTGACTTGAAGCTTGCGTGATCATTTCCAGCCTGTGTTTAATAATTAGATGAATCGTTTTAGCTTCAAAGGAGCGCGTTTGATTTATAATCAATTTTGAGCATTAATATTTAAATGATCGTCTACGCAGTCACAGGTGCGTCTTTGTGAATGTATGAGTATATCATTAATACCTGAGTGAAATACGGCGCTATAACAGGTGTTTGTTTACAGTTCATTAATATTTACACTCCCTGATATGGAGTCACAGGTGTGTGGGTTAATTTAAGATTTCACATCTTTACTATTCAGATGAAGCAGTGTGTAGTCACAGGTGTGTGTGTGTGTAAATATTTTTAATGTCATATCAATGATATTCAGATGAGCTGCTCTGCTGTCAGGTGTGTGTTTGGTGGATATTTTGTATCTTGAGTGGGTTGAGTCGAGTGCTGAAGCTATCTGTTTGAAGATTTATGTTTTTATGCATGCCGTGAAAAATTGCCCCAAGGGCACGAAGAAAGTGTATCTCACTGAAGTGAACTTGAAAGTTTGACTTTACAGAGCAGGAGCGAGGTGAACTGAATCCTCTTCCTTCCTCTATTTTTCATGTGCGCTGCAGCCGAGGGCTGGCTGCAGAGAGTGGTGATCCTGGGCTCCGAGGCCCACGTGATCGAGGAGATCCAGCTATTTGAGAACGCACAGCCAGTGGACAGCCTGACCATCTCCCACTCCAAGGTAAGACCAGGAGGATAGGGTGTGAGGCGCTAAACTCCAGCACTTTAATTCATCAAGTGAGGAAAATATCTGCTGTTTATGCCAAATGGATAGTTCAGATTGATCTTAAATTGGAAACATTAGTGAAAAACTACATTAAATCAGACATTTAGAGTTTTAAAATGTGGTTTCTTGCCCTACAGAGATATTTTCTAAAAGATGCATGAACTACTAACCCTGATAGAAAGTTTTTCATCAAAAACTGTGGATATCTTTTCTTTAATTCATCAGTTTTGATCAGCTCAGCATGTCAGAAACTGTCAGTGTGCCATATTTTTTTCTGCCTGAGGATGCCAGCCAGCAGCTGCAACATCCCTGGTTCAAACCCAGTACAAGAGCTCGATCGCCCAACCCTCCCTTTTTCATTTAATGACATTACTTTTTCATGGCGCTATCTGATAAAGGCGTAAAATGCCCTAAAAAATTAATTAAAAAGCTGGCAGGCAGTGAGAGGTGCCAGACTGCGATAATCATTTCAATACAGGAAGGAAAATCACAGCCCTGTGCTTGCCTTGCACATGAAAAAATGACAGAATTAGCCATGTCAAGAATGAAGAAAGTAGAGCTTAGGGGGGAGAAGCTCAATTCCCACCTATTTGCCCAAGCTCTATTGTCCAGTATTCTCAGTTCCAGAAAGTTTTTGTGGAGATCTTCAGGAGGTTGAAACCCCTGCACTAACACTTTCTGGCAAATTATATTCACTCTGATTCAAATTAAATCCGGTTATGTCATGATAAAAGAGAAAAATCTCAGTATTATGTTAAAATGTCAGTTGCTTTATATCTGTCAGGATGAAAAACATGTAATCAGATCAGATGCAGAACAAACCTACCAGGAAAAAAAAAGACATCTAACGAAGAGAGAGTGTAACTTGTGTTGTCGTTCTTTTGTTTGTCTCTTCCACTCTGTAAAGCTGATCATGAGTTTTCTTGATATTAAGCAGGTTCATCAGCACCCTCTACTGCATACTGCTGCCATATAACAACGATTACTTGATCTCAATTTTACTAAAAGACAGTCATATACTGTAAAATGCATGTTTTACAGTTTTGTTGTGAAAAGATGGGCTTTTACTTTGAAAGACAAATCATTTTTGACCCACATGCTCAGGAAATCTATTGAACTTCTCTTTTGCATAAACTTGTGACACCTAGACATTTGTGATGTTGTTTCTGCCATCATAACGTAACTCTTCCATATTCAAAAATAACAAAATCTTTATATATAGAAGGTGTGTGTGCACTTTAAAGTTTCATTGCTTGAAACAGTTTAAAGACACAAGTTCATTTGCTACCAGGTGGCAACTTGCTGCAAATGTGAAAGCAAGTTAAGTGCACTGAAATTGGACGTTTAGCACCAGACTACCCTTACACTTTGATTACATCCATTTGACTTATATATTATATCATAGTCATCATTGTTTTAACAGAAGGAATACCAAAGTGGTGTGTTGGTCCACCTAACTTTCTCATGAGTAAATCAATGAAGTTTGACTCAGATATTGTCTTTGAAGATGATTATATATTGATGATTTGTGATATATAGTCAAATACAGTCTAGATACAGGAGTTCCTGACCTCTTTATCATGGAGATCAGGGCTCCTAAAGTCCTCCACAGTACAAAGTGATGCATTACAGTCCAAAAATACATCAATTTTGGTGTTCTTACAAAATAAGGGGAGAAACATAATGTACTTTCAGACCGGCAGAAGTTTCCCAACCACCCAGCAAATTTGTGCAAATTTAATATTGACAGCCTCACAGCAGACAAGGCCCCACATCCTCCTGGGCCCAGACTCTAGGTCGGGAACCAGTGGTCTAGATAATGCAGTAATAAAAACTACAGGCAGTATTTTGAACTAATATGTGCAATCATCATCATCTTGATCGTATCTCAATGAAATAAACTAATCAGATGAAAGAACAACATTGAATGAAAATTATTTAATGATGTGACATGTGATGCCTGCTGAGGACGGCTTTTGAATCATGAAAATGTGATAGATGACTTGTTGATATTTAAAAATAGAATCAATACTTTTGACTGTGAATTACTGTGTGAACTTTAAGGTAAGTGAACTCATTTTTATCCCGTCTGAGTTATAACTTAAACTTGTTCTCTCCTGGTCATACCTCACAGTAGCAGAGCTAAGGTCTTCTATTGACTTGCTCTGCTGTTGCATCAGTGTTTCATTGGTATTCAGTGGCAACACTGCAAGTTTGTCTTCTGCTGATCTGTTAATACTCTCTCTGACAGACACAATCATAGATCTATTGAAAACAGAGAGACAAACATCACAGAGTCATTTGCCCAGAGCCTGTCTACAGCTGTTTTTACCAACACTGGCCTTTTTCAGATCAAGTGTCGCCTCATGAATCCAAAACCCTCTTCACAATAACAGTAATTACAATCCTTCAACGCTGCAGGGAATTGAACCTCTGCCCCCGTTGTTTTCTCATTCTCCCTGACCCGTCAGCTCAGCCTGTGTGTAGACACTGGCCGTGTCCCTGCAGCTTGACAGCGGCCTCCAATCGATGCTGTTTTGACAGGGCGTTCCCAGCCCAAAGCCCACTGCTTATCTCATTAATGCTGGCTTAGCCACGACCAGACATTTTATAACAGCTTTTCCGAAAAGAGCGTACCCCAGATTGGATTGGACGAGGGTCGGGGGGTGAATGTTATTGTAATTGAGAGTGATTATCCCATTATCTCCTCTAACCCCTAACTGAGACACTCTCCCTCTCTCTCTCTGTTTATCTTTCTTCTTGTTTTTTCATCTCTCTGCTTTCCATCTCTGCCTGATGGCTGCATCTGTTCTTTGTCTTCCTTCTTCTTCACTCTCTTTCTCTGCCGTTCTGCAGAAATACTTATACATCGGATCTCGCTCTGAGGTTCTCCAGCTGCCCTTGGCCAACTGCAGCCGCTATCAGTCACAGCCAGACTGTCTGCTCGCACGGGACCCCTACTGCGCCTGGGACAGCGAGGGTCGAGCCTGCGTCCGCATCGACCTTCACCGCGGGTGAGCCATGCACCTATATACGCATGCACCTATGCATTCCCAGATCATAAGGGTTTCTTTAAAGGCACAGTCAGGAGTTTTTAAATAGCAGCAGCTTTAAGAAAGTGGAAATTATCATATATTCAGGATTTATTGCATGCAAACTAAAAAGTCCCAAGGATTTTTCCAATAAGCTTCGGTTAGATGTTGATTTCCCTTTTCCATCAGGGCTGTGAACCTGCCCACAGCGCCAAAACTACGACTGAATAGTTTATGATTCTATTATGCTCGATTGTTTAGCCAACTCACCTGACTTGAGAGACAAGAAACACCTAAATTAAACATACAAGTCCGACTTAAATATTGTGCATATAGACGTTTCGAAGTTGGGAACTTTTCGTGGATCTTCTAACAGTTTGCAATACTTCATTTGTGAGTTTTATGAGCGATAAGCCAAAAGCATCCTTAATTAAAATAATGAAGAATAAATGAGAGTGTACCTGTTTGAACTGAGTTATAAAAAAATAAGTTTCTCTGCAATGTTCTAGTTATTTTTCCGAGACTTGTCTGTATTATTTGCCCTTTCTCTCCACTTGACAATGAAGCCTTTCAGTAGGATAGAAACGGCGCCTTTATTGCAGACGGTTTACCAGACTTTTACCCTGAAGGTGCTGAAATAAAATAAGATCCTCCTGCTTTACATGCTGATTAACTCTCAGAAACAAATAAAGGTGCAAAGTTTAATATATAAGCCGAGAAGTGGAGGAATATGAAACATCTTTGTCATAATAATGTTGATTAAATTGTCATATTTGCAGGTTTTTTTGTGGCCAGGGTGTCAAAACTCTCCTGTCTCCTCTGCTATATTTGTTTTTTAATGTGTTTTCTATTGATCCGGGCTGTTTGAGTGTTATTATATTGCACAACAGATTACACATAGAGGATCCATTGTTTTCCCTGTGTGGAAACGTCCCTCCGTTCCAGTAAGAGACCATTAACCACCTTCCGCTCTGCTCTCTGCCCTTTCCCCTCCAGCTCTACCTCCTCCTTGTCACAGGACCTCATGCTGGAAAGGTTCAGTCGGGGGAAAGCCAAGTTCGATAAGCCCGTCTCCATCCCCAGCCCTGGTGAGTGCAGCGCCACACCTCAGCAGTGGCCCCTTGTGGGAATTGAATGCAAGTGCAGGGGCAAATATGTAGCAAGAAGGGAGACTTGAGCCTGACTGGGTGAATACATTTAGGCTGAGCTGTATAAATTGAATTAAGTAGAGGAGAACTGGCAGGAATATAATGAATTGGATTAATATGGATGAAACTTATCCCCCTCCTCTCCCCACTCGACTCTCTAACCTCTTTCTTTCCTCCTCCCTTTCTGCAGAGCACTCCCGTCTGAGAAACGTTACAGTGGTGGTGGGGTCTGACATGGTTCTGCCCTGCCAGCTTGTCTCCAACCTGGCTCAGCCCTGCTGGGTCCTCAACGACCGTGAGCTTCAGCTGGGGGATCCAGAGGCGGGTGGACCTCGCTTTGATCGGACCCTAAAGGCCCTCGTCGTTCCTGAAGCAGGCCAGATGCAAGCGGGTCGCTACATCTGCTACTCAGAGGAGCAGGGGGTCAAGTTTCAGACGGAGAGGTACCAAGTGGCTGTCGTCGCAAGCGCTCCAGTCTTCATGGAGGCCCGGGCCCCTGACAGCAGCATGGGGCTGTTCTGGGTCCTGGTTATCACCCTCGGAGCGGCATGTCTCCTGCTCCTCGTCGCAGCTCTGTACCTGCGCAGGAGGCTGAAGCTCGCACTGGGTAAAGGAGCCGACATGAAACCTCTTGAGAGCACTCTGGTCTACCCCATCACCCTCCCCAAGGAGCCACCTACCTTTGTGCCGAGCAAGATGCCCAGCGATGAAGATCGCTTCTGGGAGACTGGGGCTAACTACTACTACTCAGATGGCTCGCTGAAGATCGTTCCCGGTCACGCCCTGGGTCCCAGCAGCGTCAGCAGCACGGCGTCACCCAGCGCCATTCCAGGCCAGCCCATCCACTCCCCGAGCCGTCTCAGCCTCACCAACATCCGGGGCTCTGGTAGCAACGGCTACATCCGCCTCAACCTGAGCACAGCAGGGGAGGAGAGGGCTAGCGGGGCTGGCGCTGGGGGCGGCGGGCTCGGGGGCCTGGGCATGGGCGGGAACGACTACTCCAGCCCCTTTAAGGAGGAGCTGAGACGCACTCTGCAGCAGAGGAGTGTGCTGCCCGATGCCAACCCTGAGGAGTCGTCCGTCTAGGCCCATCCTCCCCCACCTTCTTTCCCTAAGTTGGAAAAAACAAAACAACCAACCTACCTCCCTCTTTTCGAGGACGCCTGCTCTCTCTCTCTATTTCAGTGACACGCTGTCAACTCCACATGCTCTCTCTCTCTCGCTCCCGCCAATGCCTGTTTGGCTCACTCTAGACATTTATAGCACACAGCATGTTAAATATACACACTCATTCGTGGAGTTCGTCAACACGCGCTCCTGTAATTATTGTGTTTGAGCAACATGCAGTCATGTTTGTGGCTTTTTCTTCCTCCACTGTGCAATCGCCACATGTAAATTTGTATTTAAAACGGCTGAACGCAGGGGAAAACACCTCAAGCATGGAAATCAAAGGAATGGCGTGTTTCTGAAGGGCACATTTCTTTTTACGTTAAGTGGACCAACCATGGCTTTTAGCCCTAGCGCTGAGGCCAGTTGACGAACGATGAAAGCGTCTGACTGGAAAATAGCGAACAGGTTCTCTCGTCTTTCTTTTCCTTTGAGACTTTTTCAGCTTACTGCACTTAAAAAACTGGAAGCGCGTCTTCCCTTTTTTGTACTCGTGAGCCAAGAGTGTGAGAGCGGTATTAAAAAAAAAAAAAAGACTAATTAATCTCGAAGCAAGACGACAATCACGTCCCTGTAGCAGGAGCTCTGCGTGGGACCGAGAGGAGAGGAGAGAGAGCGAGAGACAAAGAGAGAGGAAATTAAATGGAAAATGAAGTGAATTGGAGTGGAAGAGCAAGGGGGTTTATGAATGAAGGACAATCTCTCAAGACTTTCTCTGCTCAATTTGTATTTTTTCCCCCCATGTTGTATTTACCCCCCGGAGAAAGTCCCCAATCCCTTCCACTTTAATTTGTTGTGACGGTTGGTTTGAATTAAGACATTTCTTTTGTTCTTTTCCTGTGTCTTACGGACTACAACAGTGTTCAAACGGTTATCAAGTGACTAATGGCTCCCCCTCTGTGAATGACAATGCGAGGGCAAGGCGCTTACATTCCTCGCTTAGCCCCGCACGGTGACCCTCAAATGCACCTTCAAGTCCAATATACTCCAAGTGCACTCCAAATGACATTTATTCAGCCGCAGTGTGTTACAGATATACGTTTTGGTTGAGCTCTTTTGGATGTTTGTTCATGGCTTTAGTAAGAAACGGCTATTTGCATTCAGCTCTTCACAGCGGAACAAAAAAAACTGCACACTTAATCCCAAATTGAAGCTGACGTGAAGACATTAGGCATGGAGAATGTAGTTGAACCCTCACTGTTACGACCGCTGTGGATGTCTCAATAAGTGCTTTATATCTTATGTGTTTGGTAAGGGTGGTAACTTGCACTGCCAAGAAGGAAACTCGCCCTCCCATGCACACTTTAACACCCACATACTCACAGTCCTCTGAATGCCAACCATCCTGGACGCCAAGTGTGTGTTTGTGACGCACCCTTAAACACCCTGAACCCCTCCCTCGTACCGATGCCCAGAGAATGACCCGGGGCTACTGTGGACTTAAACAGAGGAAGAGCACTGTAAACACACACACAAAAAAAGAAAGCCTGCACAGTGTTGACAGAGGAAAAGACGGACAGACGGACGGATGGACGGATCTCTGCCGTTCTGACGAGCTGCTGGCTCCAGGCATGAAGCTGCAGTGAACCAGTCAAAGGTATTGTTCCTCTTAATTAAATTTATGCAAACAGATTAAAGCAAAGTCCTAACCTTGGATGATTTTCAATTTAGTTTTTGGCTGCTCAGTGTAGTGTTACCAATCATTTTGTTTATTTCGGTGCCTTATCCGGCTGCCCCTGTGCTCACTTATCACTGAATAATTAGAAAGAGTTTAAGATTTTAGGGAATATATAATTGCTTTTAACTGTGGAAAATATTAGAAGATAAATAACAATTATGCAGCTGAGAGCAGGAATCCCAGCTCTCTGTTCTGATGAAATAACAAACTCAGATTGTCTTTCTTGAATAAATGTAAATAAGGTTTTTTAACACACCCTCCAATGTGGAAATTTTTGAATACCTCTGTTTTATGTAGGGGTTTGGGAGATAATGGCATCATAACCTTAATGCACACATAAAAATCATAGTTTATCGCTGCTGAACGTGTCCAAGTAGGTGGACTACTGGCACACATCCGTGCTGAATCTGGTTCGATTTGCATGTTTACAAAAAAGCGGAGGAATAAATCCATGAAACTCAGTATTTTTTGATTCACCACTCTGTACACATTAAAAATTTGCTGTTTACAGTTGTGAAGACGCTCAATAAATAGACGGGTTACTGTGCAACGTCATCGCAGGTATGCGTGCGCAGCCTTGGGGCAGAAAGAGGGACATTTCTTATTTGTTTACTAGCGGAGTCAACAGAGAAAGAAAATGACAAGGAGCTGTTGTGCTGTAAACTGCACAAATCAGCAAAACAAACAATCTGCAACGTCACAACTTGGTAAATTGAGAGAAATTCATGGACATTTCAGCAAGTGTTTTTCTGATTTTGATGCAATGAAAGACAAAGTGATTTTTCAATGAAATGACATTTTATTGCAATTGTGTCAGGGAGAACTTGCAAACAATACGGCATCTTCATTGATATCAGTTCACTCCGAAACAGGCTTCTGCCCCATGGTTGCACGCCCATCTCGTATTGTTTGTACACAAGAAACACGTCTGTACACAGGCGCACAATGTCCTTATACGGTGTTTCTGGGATGGGCTGCTTCACATTGTCGCCACCTACTGGCCCGGCATGCTTATGTCAACAGACTTGACTGTTTCTGTGCCATTGTTTGGGAAGGATATATTTTAACAGAGTACAGTTAAAGTTTTCAAATACCTTCCTATATGTGGATTAAACCAGAGACAGATAGAGTTTCCCTCTGAAGCTGAGTGTTTGTGCTGAGCCAAGCTAATCTCCAATTTCATAAAGTGTGTTAAGGATGTCTGTCTGGAGTTTAAATTGAGATTTCAACTTGTCATCTTAAGATACTGATATGATTTAATTGTAAATGGAAATACCAGTTTTTTTTTAATCTTCAAACAAGATAAATTATTTGAGAAAAAAAAAACAAAATTTCTTTCTTATAATGGATGAAAAATAAAATGTATGAATGCATGTCTGCTTGGGGCTTCCGTAGGATTCATTTCTTTAAAACAAAACTTATTGTTTCGTAAATAAGGACAATTTAGACACTCTCGTTAGAATAACATCACAAGGTCATCCTGCAAATACAGCTTATAGCCTTGTGGTGATACAGCCTGATTTTTAGAGCAATTTCAATCAGAGTTAAATTATGAAGCTGTATGCCGTCTCCCCAAATCAAGGTTAGCTCAGGTCATTGCTTTTCTCTCTCACAGAGCCATTGGTATGTCTGCAGACTCTGACTCTTGTTACATCATATGTTCTGCACCATTTGTCGATCCTCCCTCTTATCAAACGCTGACCTTGTGCATACTTTTATTAAAGTCTGAAGAGACAGGTGCATCAGAAAAACTACTTTCATTTCACAAAGATAAGAGACGGAACAGCACTGCCTGCAGCCGGGATCGTTTTATTAAAGAGAAAAAGTGAGTCCGATAAGAATAAAAAAAAGTGAACTAAGGAAGACCTCTGTCAGACTGAAGTGTCAGTTTAAAAACAATGTTCTGCCGTCAAGGTTCAGACAGAATAAGGAAGCTTTTCAGGCCACTCTCACACTTAAAATCTTATAACTAGATGTCTTGCTGCTGTAGCTATGACTTCTCATATCCACTTATGTAACATGTATACTCATTTCTAGTCCCGAGCCAATGGTTAAGAGACTCGTAATTAAGTGTTGGGGAAAACAGAGCACCAGATTTCATGATCTGATTCAGCAACAGACCAGTCTGCCCAAAATATGATGATGTAATGATGTCCTGAAAAGTGTAACCCACTTCTTGCTCTAATTTCAGGAAAACTTTCAGAAAGCACTTTTTATGTCTGCTCTTTGATGACCTCTCATTTTTTTGCTCCCTCTCTCTGTGCTTGTCCTTTAGGGGGGCGGCTTTTTGTTTTCGGGCCGTGTCTGTCGGGACCAGAGGAGCCCAGCGTGAAGAAAGGGGAGGACAGAGATACCGTCCTCTCCCCTCACTGTGTACAGAGCGCTGAGAGAGATGTAGGATATCAAAATGATCCCAAGGCTGAAGAGGTACTCGGCCGTCAGCACTCCATCCTAGTGTTGCATGATCCTCTGCAAGTGGACTGTACATCTTTGATATGATCATCCTTGTACAAGTGTTTCATTTTGATCTGTCATTTTTGGACTTTTACAGACACTCATACGTGGAACACTAATGCTCTCTTCGGAGAGAAAAAAAAACACTAAATATGTCTGATTCTCTGGTTCAAGGGTTGTACAGGAATTCATGGCTGCGTTTCAACATGTTTACTTTTTCTGTGCCTCTTCACCTTTTGGACAAGCCAAAGTAGACTGCAGTTGCTTTTGTTCTTGTTGGAATTCTTAAATTAATTTTATTTGATTTCAGATCGATATTTAAGTCTCAGCAGTCCGTCCACTTTGCTACACTGAGCTGATGTCTGCAACTTTTCTGAATATTTTATCTGCAGCTAAATTCTCCCTCAAGCACGACGCAAAAATCGCCCGGGGCTGATCGGCTTGCTGTTTGCTTTCTGTTTATGTGTCAGCAGTCCTTATCGCCTCACTTAAAGAGATAATGTACCAAAACTTCAATCATTTTTTAACTTATAAGCTCCCAAAAACCAAAAAATATCTGCTGATTTAAAGCAGTGTAGTGATATAATATGTCCACTTAAATTATTTGAAAGCAGGGAGTTTACACATGGTGGTGGTACTTGTCTTACAGGAGTTCCCTTTCACAACTGGGTGTTTATTTTTCCAAACATGTTGCAAAAACTAAAAGGATAAAGAAAAACAGCTTTCGGCTTGAGAAAAAAAAAGCATGTGTAATGTTTTTTTCTGTGCAGCTCTTTAGTTCCTTTGCATTTGTTTGCTTGTAATATTCCCCCTCACACATGGCTTTAAGTTCTGCTTTTTCTCGCATTATTTGTATTATTCAATTAGCAACCCGGATTCTACTTTGCCCCAGTTTTGCTTTTTGCTTGTCTTGTTATGGATCTTTTATGTTGGTTTTTAAAATATGTTGAGTAACTTATTTCACTTGTACAAACATGTTGATATTTATTATCATTGTACATATGTCCTTATTTTTTATATGTGTATATATACACAAATAAAAATAGAGATATAAATGAGGTGTGTGACTTTTTTATGTGGTCTGTGCAGGTGTTGAGATTGACTGTGTTTAGAAAACAAGAAGAAATGGAAATAAAAATGCAGTTAAATGGCTGTGACCTGCTGTCCCTGACACTGAAAGAAAGAAAGTTCAACCTAAAAATTAAAAGGCATACACACAAACTGAATGTCTGAAGTATCAAGAAAAATCAATGACACTTCACATGAACCCACCTGAAAAATAAGCACAACATAAGCCTTTATGAAATGTCTTGTTAATATCCACAACATGCACTCGAGAAACTCTTGGGTTATTTTTTTTTTCAACTCAATTCCTGGGTTATACGTGTTGAGTTAAATTTCTGGGTTATTTTTCAAATCCATCCCCATTTCTTGGGTCATATGGATTCTATTTTTACCCAATTTGAGGGTTATTTGAATGGGTTAATAATTATGGGTTATTTTTCTGAGAGTAACCGAATAATTGGGTCAGAACGTTGGGTTCGATTGACTCTACGTGGTTTCTAGGCCTAATGGAAGTTAAAGTGACCTGGTGACCTTGTGAACTTTGACCGGGGTAGCTACCCCAATATATATTGGGAGGTTGGGGTCGTTTAGCGGGTAGAGCATCCAGATCCCAACTGGAGGGTTGGGGTTCGAATCTTGCATGAGACACATCTGTACAGAGCAAACTACATCTACCAGTGTGGGTCATTAGGCAAGACCCTTAGCGCTATGGCCTACCTCATAAACATGAGTGTGTGCCATAGAAAGCCAAAGACAGACAGCACAGGTTGTAAAAGCAAAGCTCCCAAAAAAAAGCTCCCCAAATGCATATATCAATTTAACCCAAGATCATGAGTCAAATTATCTCGAAGATTGGGTTAACTTAACCCCCAAAAACAGTTATTGAGTCAACCCAAAATTTGGGTAAATTTGAGTAACCCAACATTCTGGGTCAAAATGTTGGGTTTTTAGAGTGTGAGGTTTTTAATTATATGGTATATAAAAGTGTTACTGAACATTTTAGCCCAGCAATTCTGTCTTCATATCATTAAATTAATCAGTTCAGCTTAAATTTGTCCCAACACACTCAGAACAAGGTAAATAAAAGGACTACTTAAGCTAATAATCTGATAAGACACTGTTGAAGATCCTCATTTGGAATAAATCCCCTACACTTCAAAAATACAAAGTCAAAAGATCCAGGAATATACACAGGAGTCAACATCTCTCTGTGTACTGGTGTTGGCCATTTTACTTTCTCTGGGTAAGACTTTCAGTTTCTCAGCTTGCCAGCGTCTAATTTTGGACGGAGTCCCATACATATTCAGGGTTATTTATTTCACAAGAAGATGTCTCGAGTCGTTTCATTCCACCAGCCCCTGACAACAACTGTGAAGCTCCCGTTGCCTTGCACAGCCTAGCCTGGTGTCAACAGAGGAAGCCACATGCTTCATGTGGTTGACAGGCTCGACTGTGAAGAGAGGCTTACTGCTGCATCTGATCTCCGTGTACTCAGCTGTGCCTCCGACTCTGAAACCTCCACTCGAAGAAAAAAAATCTGTGTGTTTTGGTGATGGTTTGTGTGTGTATGGAGTTTACTGAGCTCCTCAAGAGAGGGCCACACTTAGCCAATCTGTCAAGGCTTACTAATTTTTAGTCATGCAAGCAATGCTATGATTTGTGATTTTTTCAAACAAAAGGAAATTACATTGAATATGGTTGCAAAACAAACAATAAATCACTGAGTAAATTGCAATGACTTTTGTCTGCTTGAGCTTGTTTGTCTCATAAATGACTGGAATTTTTCTTTTATCCATCAAACTTCAAAATTAACACTAAAAAGAAAAAGCAACTGTTGGCTTATCTCAGTGTTTCTCTGCAGTTGGAACTATTTTTGTTTTATACAGTTACAGAAACAAGAGCAAAGTCACCCTCTATAACCTCCAGCAAGGAAATACTGATAGCTACCTGTCTGGCTGACAGAGTGGGCAAGTTTTAACTGTGAGCATCAGGTCAGCCATGAACCAACAGACTGTGAGAGGGTTGCATTCGGGCTCCAGCTGTTTAGTTTCAGAACATTCAGCAGCAGATGGGGCTGTGCAGTCAAGGGAGCAAGTTGTAGTCCAGCTGGATTACTGGAAAAATAAGTTGTTTTTTAAAATCCTACCCTGAACATCAAAATGATGGATTTTACTTGCTTTTCGTGCATCTGGGCGATGAATCAGTGTTTGCTCTGTTTCAGTTTAATTGAATGTGAGAGTGATTTCTTAATGTTCGTCAGACACAGCCCCATGAGAAAGGAAACAAGGCCTGTGAATTCAAATGATTCAGTTTAACTGTTGTTTGAGAGAGTATCTATCTATCTATCTATCTATCTATCTATCTATCTATCTATCTATCTATCTATCTATCTATCTATCATCTCTGTCTGTACCACACTGTATATACTAAAAAATGTATATATTTTAAATATATATTGACTAATTATAATTATTTGCTATTTATATAATTAATAATTACAGTTACTATTATAATAATTGTTAAGAATTATAATTTATATTTAAAATCTAACTCTATATACAGTCTATTTGTCTGTACCAATGGTTTGTATGTAGTGCTGTCACGCTGCATGCGCAGACCACGTGGTATCTTTCCTACATTTCTATTGGTGAATTCATATTAAACAAGTTCCGGGCCCACTCGCTCCTTCAAAATACGGAAGTTAGTTCTCTACGTGACATTACTTCTGAAGTTATTGTCGATATTTCTTGACAACACACTTCACCGCTATTCACGTCTCATTTATCTAAATACATGTGTATAATACACGGCAAATTATTGAAGTTATGCAAGAGTTTAGAGCTTAAAAGTGGTGTCGGCTTTCACGCGGAGGGATCTAGTTTCCTCCGCCGTATCTGGTGTGGAGCGTAATTTGAATCGTTGGTAGCAGCACAGTTTTTATCGTTTGTCGTTTTTGTTTTAACCCACGTTTTTATATACTTTCATTTTTTTTAGATATAATAGTTTTAATGTGCTGCATTTATCATAAATAGTGTTTTACAGTCAATTTACACGGTAAGTGTTGTATTTATCACCGCCTTCTCTTCACTCCGTGTTTCTGCTGTTAACGCTCACCAACGTCTGCTGTACACAGAAGGTCGCGTGAGGTTACCGTTGAACATATTATATTATCACGATTCTGTCTGACAGACATTTATCGTAGATTTTTATTAAGTTGTTTATAAAAGCTGCGAAAGGATTGAGTAGAAACTAACATGGCTTTAGCGTTAGCGTTTTGCCCGTCCAGAAGGTAGTCCATACCCTTCTATACTATATTTATTTTATATTATACTGTACTATATTTTATACTTAGTTCCTCCTGCATGTTCTTCATTGTTAACTACTGTAAAGTATAACAGGTGAGCCCTCTATCTTTTCCTCCTCCTCTATCATGCGTTTCTTCGGGTCCCCCCTTAACCAGAGATACACTTTGCTTGTTTATTTGGTTCAGCTGATATTTTAATTGCTTGTATTTCTGTTTCCTCTGTAGATGTCTGCCGTGGAAGTAAACGCTGCTTTCACTGAAGAAGATCAGAGAGAGAAAATGTCATCCCCCTTAGAAGAGGAGCCTCAACTCACACACAACAAACCAGCATCTCTGAACTTCTCTGAGCTTACACCTCATCAGTTTGGCATTTCTGTTCAGAGTTTTACTCCACTATCACAGTCGAACCATAAAGGTAAGGGTCTTAATTTAATGCTTAACCATCAGTCACATTTACAAAGCATGCTAGAGACTTAAACACGAACTCGGTTGTAATGTGGCTGTGCTCATCTGGTAGAGACTATCAGATATCAAGAATATTATGGGGCATTGTTCTGTACCAGTTACAGTTTTCTCAATTGCTTCAGCCCAGTCCTGAAATGAGAAACACTAAGCTCAAAGCTCTGTATGTTAAAGGGATATTCCGGCGTAGAATTAATTTAGGGCCAAATACACCGTAACACCAAGTGAGACACCCCCTCGAGAGATGAACGTTGCAGACCTCTTGCTTCCCTAGTTACCAACTTTAGTAATGACTACACGGTAGCAATACACAGCGGTCTGAGGAGCCATACACAAACCTGAACCAAAACGCTACTCTATAGCCACAAATAATGCTCAGAACAGCACCTAACTTCATCAACAGTGCATATAGGGTCCCAGCTGTAGCACGAGCCACCAAACATAGGACCCTATATGTACTGTTGATGAAGTTAGGTGCTGTTCTGAGCATTATTTGTGGCTATAGAGTGGCGTTTTGGTTGAGGTTTGTGTATGGCTCCTCAGACTGCTGTGTATTGCCACCGTGTGGTCGTTACTAAAGTTGGTATAACTAGAGCAGCAAGCGGTCGACAACATTCATCTCCTGAGGGGGTGTCTAACTCGGTGTTACGGTGTGTTTGACCCTAAATTAATTTTATGCCGGAATATCCCTTTAATCACAACACATAGGGTTTTCTCATTCATCCAGGCAAGCTGCATCGGTTTGGTACATGAGTGCAAAAGAGTCCCTTGTATACAGCCCACTGTTCAAAACCGATTTTCAGTGAAATGTCAGACTCTTCACTGGTTGTCGACCAATTTCATTTTTCCAATAGCCGATGCCATTACAAGTAAAGGGGAGAGCAGGACGCCTGACATATCGAAGTTTCACATTTTGAATTAAATCACAGGGAAAATGTAAGGTTTTTGGGACCACTTTTTCAGCTGCATCTGTATCTGTGACACAAAATGTTTGTGATGCCTGCCAAAGTTCTGTAAACTAGCTGAAGACCTGCCAGCTGCAAATAATAGACTAGGAAACACAATCGGCCACTATCAAAGACTTTTTTTTTTTCCTCTGGTGCGTCACAAGAGATAACATCAGATGTGATATGGGGGAAAAAAGTCTTTGGCCAATGCAACAGTGCTGACAAGATGTCCACAATAATGAGAACTTACCACTTTCATGTAGCGTTCTGTTAAGACATGAAAAGATTTGTTCTTGTAACTTAGGTGCATTTTTTTCTACAAGGATATCATCTTGAGGCAATAAACCTTAATGCATTTTGACCTGTGTGGCTCAGACAATAACCAAACATCTTTTTTGTTTGGTGGCACAAGCCAATACAGCTGAGTCAAAAACCAGCTTTGTAAATTTCAACAGAATGCTGTGAATGTCTTACTATCTCTTGCAAAAATACTGTAGAGTTTTGATGTACCTTAAACAAAAGCACAAACAGTTGGGAGAGTATTGATCCTGTTTGGACGCATGAGCCAAAACAATTAAACAAAAAACCTGTGAGTAAATCAGGGAAATCTTATATGGTAAAATCATTAGTGAAAAATTCATTTAGACCTTTATTATACTAGCCAATACCTCGACTCAGCAGATTTAACAGTATTATCATAGTGCTATGTCATCATAGTTTAAACCATCTTAAATTAAATGCATGTGTATACTAGAACTATACTGTAGATGCTAATGTGCCTCAAACTGCAAGACAAGCTTTTACAACACAGTAAGATAAAGGAACATCATGTATTCCTTACATTGCACTTTTCATTAATCTCTTTCTCTCTCTTTTATTCTAGATAAGTCTCGTCTTGCACAAATAAAAGCAAGGAGGAGGTCAAGCGTCGGTGTGCGGGGCTCCCCAGAGACAAACTCCCTCATCCGCTTCATGGCACAACAGAAGATGAAGACTCCACCAGCCTTTAAAACTCCAGAGGTGAGAAATTCAGGACATCCTTTGGGAATCTCTTGCACCGTGTAACATTTATACTAAAATACGTGACAGTATTTTGGATTACACCCAGGATTTTGAACACTGTGAATAAAGCTTGTGTACTCCTGTGTGGCCTGCCTGCCATATACTAGAATGAATACGTTACCACATATCCTGCTTTCGACACAAGTGATTACAGATCAGCTGGGACTGGATGAGCTTGCTGGATGTAGCACCAATTTCAGACACATGAGATGATGAGATCAGTAAGAGAATTCGAAGTCAAAAGTTGTGAATATGTTTTGACTGTGTGCACTTGCTTTTCCTCTCTCTGCAGCTCATGATTAATGATAACCCGGAGTATTGTTCGTTGTGTATACAGAAGCCCTTGCTGTGAAACTCCCCATTCGCCTCAGAAAAATATCAATTTTCTGACCCGAGGGCTGACAGGTTATCACTTCTGATTGGTGTAACCCACATAACACATTGAAGCTGCTTGTGTATAGCTGCTGTTATTCCATCCAGATACAGATCCTGCATTCCAGCACTGAGCTGCTGTATTCAGCCATGATCAGCCTACGAAGCTCAGCCAGGAACTGTTTGTGTTGACAGCAGCTGTACGCATCAACGTTAGTTTAGTGCTGCAAGTGAGCGGAGCAGAACAGGAAAACATGGAGCTCCTGCTGCGGCGGTGTCATTTCTATGACAGAATGACTACTAGTAAATGCCGTTGAACAAAGCAGCTGTTTTATACACAGGGGATTTTAGTGGCACAAAATATCCGAGCTTACATGTAAAATGGATGGGGCAAAACTGTAAATAAAAGAACACATTTTGTCAGATGTGTCTATCAGTTAGCACATGTTTGTACATATATGTATTACAGGAGAAGATTTGATGCACATACAACCTCAGTCAAGAAGCCTCAAAGCCAAAAAAGTGGACAGAATGAAGCAAAATAAAAAGAAAACAGCCTCTAAGCAGATGAGGAAACTTTAAAAATGTATATCAAGTCTTTCTTAGACAATAAAGTCTTTTAGGGTTATAACTCCTCTGATATTTAATTAACAAAGACATACTTAACTGGGTAATCCTGAGAGAGAACAAGTACATTTTTTTAGAGTTGTCATAAAAGAAGTAACATCGGTGTAATGGCATTCTAAATAAGAACAGACTTTCATGCTATTAACAGTTGCCATGTACCCTTCAAATCACCTCTGTACTAGTATTTACTTCTCTGCACTATTTTTCTAAATCTAAATAATCTCCTTGGGTCACTCCTCTGTGATTTTTTCTGTTATAGAGAACATCTTAACATGACTAATCAGATATTCACTGCATCCACATTGTTTATATGCACACCATTTTAGTGGCCGAGGTTCACAACCATCATAAGTTGACTATCAAGTGTTGCTTATGCTGTGAAGCCATGAGACAGAACAATTTCAGAGTATGCTGCTCCTTTTTTTTTTGAGTCAGACCCTCAGGCAAGAGCTGAGCTGGCTGTCAGGGACATCTTTAATCACCTCTCTTTTCAGACAAACGGAGTTCTAGCACACTGTTTTGTGTTTGACGTTATTGTCTGCTTTGATTTGAAATTTTCTGGCATTTTATTCATATTTTTTGTTTTGTTTTGTTTTTGCATTATTTAAGTATTTTCGTTCTGATTTACCTCCGTCCAGAATTATTCAGGACCTGAGTCAACCACAGGCACTTGTTCTGTTTGTTTTTGAGAAGTTGAGTTTAAAAAAAAAACAAAAACAGTATTTTTTGATATTTTTTTTCCATAAAGCTTTCAAAAAGACCACTTTTAAAGCACTGTTATCCAAACCCTCATGTGTGGAGATAGCATGTTTATGTCCAATGACAGATAGGAGGTGGGCAGTGGAACTTAAGCCAACAGCATGACTCTGCTTTTAAGCACAGAGTGCTGAAAGTCATGTGCCGGTGAAACTCAGCTTGTTTTGAACAAAGTGGAGAAAGTACATTATGCTACAGAGGTCGTTTAGGAGGTTCCTGTGGACCTTGGGTACCTTTATCCAATGGGAAAACATTCAGTTTTCAAGTTTAAAGGTAAGTCTGATTCCAAAGAAATGGCTTTTCAAAGTTTTTCCTCAGTGAAAGTATTATTTTACTTGAGATAAATGTAATGACTGAGCACAAGACTTATTGTGATGTAACTGTCAGAAAATGCACAGTTCAGCAAACTGTAACATGCCTGGATTGTGTGAGATAGATGTGCTGTCTCTTCAGAAATACCACTCGAGTTATTTCAGAAGTCTATGACCTGTCAAGCTGCATCACTGAGCAGATACGTTTGTTTTTGCTGTCTCAACTTCCAGCTTGTCAAAAGTAGCCCCTTACTTCCCCGGGTCGCCTCCACACTGAGGCAGAAGATGGCCTCTTTCCAGAACCTGATGGATGTGGAGGAGAGTGAGGGCTGTGATCCAGTGCCAAAGCAGGACAGCAACACTGGAGGATGCATCAAGACAAGAGATTATCTGTCTGGTGAGGCGGCCTCATTGCCACTGGATTAATGGTTTCATTTCTCTACAAGGATCCACGCCAGTAGGATTTCTTTATGATGTCTGGAGGCAGTGTTCAAAAGCTGCGGATTAATGCATAGCACAGTTAAAGCCCGGCGCTGACGACGTCATGCAGCAGTTCTTGGTCAGCTTCTTAAATGGGACAGTTTTTTAAAGAGTTGTTTCCAAGCTGCTATTTCATGATATGTTTATTTTACATTCCGAACGTCCATATAAATTCAGCTGAAATGAAGTCCCATTTGTTTTCATACGTTCACATAACAAACCTTCTCCCCTCTCAGATGGAAACAGTCGTGACAGAGAGAAGGAGAACCACCCACCAGTGGTGATACCCAGCAAGAGGAGACGCCTGGGCCCCCTGGAAAGCTGCGAGGTGGAGATTAGAGAGGCCGGCGCTCCTATCCTCCACTTCAGTTTGAAGGAGCACGAGGTACACTCACTCTGAGCATGTTCTTACTTGACAGCTGTGAATAATTCAACTAAAAGGTTTTACCTCTTGCCTTCCACTGGATCTGCTGATTATTTTTAACTCCTTTATGAATGCTGAAGGTCTGCGGTACGTAGGGTTTTTATTTTGACTGTGAGCATCCAAAGGAAAAAAAAACAAGCACTCTCTAGCAAAACAAGTTTGATTTAAGTGCTGTAGATTGGATTTTATTTATTCAACATCTCGTCTTTTTTATCTTTAGTTTCTGAACTTGGAGCTTTCACGTTTAACCTTTTTAGTGCAACATCAGCTTTAAAGTTTTCCATATCATTCGAACTTCAAAACAGCAGATGGATAAATTATTTATCCTCAATGCTCATAGCAGTTGTGTTCTTTCGGTTGTGGTGCTGTGTAACAGAATTAAAGCAGTGGGAATTCCTTAATCGTATCCACAGGAGGAAGAAAAACAAGAGGTGCAGGTTATGACAGAGGGACCACTGACATCCAGTGACACTGTGGAAAAGGCAGAAGCTGTGTTTCTATCCCCGTCTCTTCATGTTGACTCTGAGCTCAAAGCTGATTCCCCTGCTGAGACTCAACAGGTCAGGTCTTAATCCAGATGGAAACTCACACACATGCACACACACACACACACACACACACACACACACACACACACACACACACTCACACAAACGCAGAAAGAAGTCAGTCACTGAGAGACTGTTACAGATTTTCAGTGATTCTACTGTGACACACACGGCTCACTGTGAGGTTTACTCTGTTTACATAGCAGTATGACGTTTATATGATTCACATGAGGAAGAACGACAAAAACACAGATGGGGAAAAAACTGAGATTATCTCTTTTGAAAGTGAAGTGAAGCCAGTTTCAAAAGAGTTGAAGCAGAATGATTTAAACCGCCTCAACACATTGACGCACTCGTTATTTTGTAGATGAATCATAATAACCTGCTCTGACAGGTTCAGTAAAACCCACGTTTGTCTCAGTAGCTCCTTTCAGACATTGAAAAAGTTCCCTAAAACTTCCTGAAATTACGCAGGCGAGTGTCTCAAATGAACACGTTGTACTGAGGCGTGATTTAGGGTAAAGTCGACATGAGCTTGTGTGAGGCCGCAACAAGTAATATTTAAGAAAATTCCATGTGAGTGCGCTGAAGGGGGCGTGATGTTTTGTCTAACTTAGCTACTTGTACTGTAACAGAAATTGAGAGCAAAAGTTCTCTGTTCGCACTTTTATTGACTTTTTCAGGTCATAAACAGGGAAAAGTAAGAAGGCGAGCTTGCGTTGATACTCTAAAGGTGGTTTTAAAATATGGACCTGATCCGAGTACACTTCACCCCACAATCCAAATCATTTGATCTATATATCACAGTTGTGGCACACCAAAGTTCCCTTAAAGAGGTTCCCTTCATGTGCACTCCAGCACTGTAGATGTGGATGATGCTCAAACAAGGACGTGGACTGTTATTGGCATTATTAGTATCAAGTATTCAGTATTAGTACAACTGGAAATGTTGTATTTGTGCTGTAAAGGCCTTTTCCAACTCCTGAGCTGTTAGGTGGATGTTGAAGTAGGATGGCTGTGGAGTGGGTTGTTGTTGTTGCTGGCGTCAATAAAACAATATAAACAACCGCAGCAGTTGGATGGACTCTATTGTCTGCACAGAACATGAACAAATGTTGCCCAGTCGATGACTTGAGTGGTTGCCATGGTGGCTTCTACATCTGTCTTCTTGGCGGAGAGCAGACTCGTGGTATCACTCACCCTGCTATGGAGGCATCCAAACTGATGCCCCTTCTTCAGTCCAAATGTTGTCTTATTAAGCAGTCCTCAAAATGTTTTAACCAAACTGAAACACTGCGAAACAGGCGGCCAAACAAAATAATTAATCATCTTCAGTTTTCTGTTTTTTTTTTCACCAGTTTCAGTTTCCTCACTTTTCTAATACACTGTTTTGCAGCTTAATCAAAGCTCTATATTTTTTGTGTCAAGCTTCTCATTATATTAACCGAGCTATTACTCAGAGGCATTTTTCATCAGGTAGCTTTTGCGAATTTAGTTTTTGTCTCTCAGCTCAGGGGTTGACAGCAGCTGTTCAAAAGTGAAAAAAAGACGAAAAAGCATCATTTATACTGACATCATTGTCTTGTTAACTGAGTTGTATTCAATATTATTAAAAGACACATAAAGGACTGGTTTAGTGAGCCACTCTGACTGATTGGTAAAAATCATTTTACGCTCAGTGTTCCTTCGGATTCGGTTTGCACAAAGATAGAGACCATAAAAATCTTTTTATTTTATTGGTTTTATTTTTAACAAAGGGCTGGATTTGAGCCAGAATACTAACATAAGACCCTATAAAATGCTCTGACCCCACTCTCATGCCAACCTAATTCAGGTCCTGACTTTAATTTCTTGTGTGCCTATCCGTTAATGCAAAGAAAGCTAAAAGAAAACAAAAATAAAATAGGATGAAATTAAGGAAGTGAAACATTACAGGGTGTGAAAAAAGTAGTGAAAAAGCAGTCTAAAGTTAGTAGCAATTGTAAACTAAACTCTACTTCCATACATAAGATTTTGAATCGTGTGTGTGAACAACAAAGCAGTACTAAGTTACAGACTCTGTTTCCTAAACACCAGAAAATTGCTCCTTGCCCTCACTGTTGTGCCATTGCATCCATCTTATACAGAGATGGATGCTCATATATGATGAAGCGTGATAACATTCCTTCTCATGTTACCACCTGCTCTCTGAAGCTCTTTGAACCGCAGTCCAAACAGAACGGAGGCTCTCATGTATTCCCTCTCAACAGGACGGTGTCTTTGAACTCCAAAGCCCCCATCATCCACCACCTGATGATCCTGCAGCGGCTTCACCAACCCAGCCGGCATCCATCCTCCACATCCCCTCTCTCCCCCCTCTGCTGGGGATGAAGCCAACAGGTAAACACGTAAGGCCCTTAGTGGTCATGCAACAGTAGCTGGTCTTTTATCTTCGCTTAACTCTGCCTTTGAGGCTTTGTATATAGAACTGAGCCTGATGCGGTATATCCTGGCAACATACCAGGAGACTGTCAGTGTTAGATTTGTACAGAGGAGAGTCATGTTCATTAAAAGCATTTGACTTTTCTGAGCTGGAGAACACTGTGGGTGTTTTAGCTGGAAGGGGTGTTTTAATGGTTCAAATGAAATGTCAGTAGATCGTAGATAAACATGGGATAATTGTGCAGCTGTTGTACTGCGTGTGCTCCTGTATCACACACATGACCTGCGCTTGATTAAGCAAGGTCAGGTTTCCCAAAAATGGTGCTACACGCCTCTGTTTTTTTCTCCTGTTAATGTTTAGTTTGTGTGAAAATATCTAAAGCCCTTATGTTTGTCCTGTTCAATCACACAGAGCTGCTTTTTCTGTCTTTTCCAGGAGAGGGTGACTCAACTGGAACATCCACAGTGAAAAAGAAAAAGAAGGTTCGCTTCGGGGGTCCACTCTCTCCCGAGTTCTTTGATAAGAACCTGCCCCCCAGCACCCCGCTACAGAAAGGGGGCACGCCGGCTCGAGCACAAACACCAGGCGGAAGTTTGCAGCTGCGCTCCCTGCTGAAGACGCCACAAGGAAGTGAATCTCAAACACAGAAAGCTCAGCTGGACCTCGGCAGCCCAACTGAGTTTGGAGCATCACCTACACTTGCAATACCTCGCAACCGAAGGACCCCGACTGTTAGGGAGGACAGAGAAGACGGGGGTGGAAAGGTAGACCAGGTACCATGGCTGTTTTGTGTTTTTATAGGAGCATGTAAAAATGTAAACATCTGAGATTTTCACAAACAACCACTGCTTTTGTTTCTCTGTTTTATTTAACATACATGTGAAATATAACAAATTGATCTTTAAGATAAAATGTGACTTATGTTGGTCAATAAATGTATTAAACTCTCTTTATTTTCTGGTCGTAGATCGTTTTCCCTTCAATAGAGGAGATCGACTCTGCAGTGCTAAATGATGCAGGTTGGGAATACATTAAATTTACACTGAGGTTTCTAGCCTAAAAGAAAACTCATAATGCTCAAAACTCTCCTTCTTTCATTCCTTGTCCTTTCAGAGTGTACATGGGACATCCAGCCACTGGATTTAAACAGTGCTTTCCACGAGGAGTGTCTCCCTCAGGTACTAACAGGTGAGCTGCTGTTCCACTCCTCCTTTTTCACTTCCTCATCTGTATTGCTCCTGTCTTCCACTGTCTCCTATCACTTTCAACAGGGTCAGGTTATGGTTGTTGTGAAAGGCACATCATAAACTCAATTTATGTCCATTTTTTGTACAGCAGGTGCTTCTCATCTTAATGTAAGCATTAAAAAACAGAGCCAAATGCTAGATTATGGAATCATAGGGGTTACCTTAATGGTAATGGTGCCTAAAATTGCATTTGCAAGTATTATGGAGAGTACAGGCTTCTTGCATATCCATATTTTGCTGATATCCAATTTGCAATTCCAAAATATCCAGTTAGGTGATATTTGTCTTCTCTAAAACAAAGTTAATGGCCTGCAGGTAATGCACTTAAGGGGGTTAGATAGATGTCACATTATTAAAATGAACTGAAAGTATACTCCCCAGAGAAATGCTACCACATGTGCACTCTATTAGACAACATATGAGTTAATATTATAGACATTTACGACTGTGATGGGTGGATTTATGTCTCTCTGCCCTGCTCCATCATTTGGATTTTGAAATGTGCATTGAACAGCTGTAGTCAACCGTGCTAAATGCTAATCAGTGTTAATAATATCTTCTGTCAACAAAGTCTCACAAAGTTTCTTTTTGATGTGTTATACTGCTGTTTTCCTTCAGAGTCTGAGACTGAACCCAGCGCAGCCTCTCAGCTGGATGTCCTTGATGAGCTCGGATCTCTGCCAGAGGAGGAGACACAAATAGAAGCCGATGTTGAAGTTGTTCAATCTAGAAGAAGGAAAAGAAAGGTTTGCCAATGTTCATTTTTTTTCTAAAAGTGCATCTGTTTTCTTTGATAGTGATTCTGGTGAACTGGTTTTGAACACTTTGTTTTAAATAAACTCTGCAAGTGTCCTAAAAATACTTGAAATATTTTGTAGATTCCTGTACCGTGACATTTCCATTTCATACACTTTTAACATCTTAATCTCTTCCCTCACAGCCAGGACCAAAGTGCGAACCTTCCAGTGAGGCTCCCGCTCGCTCCAACAGCCGAAAAAGAAAGGTCTGCCATAACCACAGGCTGCTTTCAGCTTGATCTCACTTGTAAAAATCTCCCTGTACCAGCTGAGATTGTCTTTTTAATAATTTAGGGGTCATAACATGCTCCCATCTAATCTACTGTTTAATTCCACTGGATGTGAACTTAATCACGTTGGAGGGTATCCACTTAATGGTTGTGAGAGAGTGTGTGGTGGAGAGACAGTCTATATAATGAATCCTCACGCCAACTCCTGTGTTCCCTCAGCAGCCAGAGGAGAGCGAACCTGTGAAGAGGTCGACACGCTCAGCTGCCAAGTCGGCCTCTGGGAGAATGAAGGTGAGCTGCCTGAGTCTGCTCGTTTGATTTCTCTTTACATCCCTTCGCTGAAGGATCTGCAGGAAAGTCTCTCTCTGAGGCAGTCATAGAGCTGAGAGCTGCACAGTCTAACCACACGGCTTTAGCTGAGTTAGGGGGAGGGAAAGACTGCAAGACTAAACTGTTTGTTTACACGCCGCAATGGATGTTCACTACAGGGAACCAACAAGGGAAATTCAATAAGGAAATCATAAATACATACAATTATAATTGTTAGAGCCAGTCATTTTGAACTGTTTAATAACCTCCTTGTAGACAAATCTGAATTCAAAGCAAGAATCAATTTAAATTCAACTGCAAAGCTCATGATTGTCTATATGAAAGACCGTACAGTGAAGAGAGGGATAAAGCTTGCTGTCATGACTGAATGGCAAATGTAAAACTCATACTGCACAATCAATTTTCTGTTTTAGGATTAGTTCATCCTTGTGTTTTTATTGTATCTGCTCTAATTAGAGGAAAACTGATGAAAACAAGAATTATTCTTCATCATGTTCAGACTGGATTATTAAACGTGAAGAGGTTCGAAGTGGTTTTGTGAAGTAGTTTCCCTCTGAAACTGATGCCACTTCACTGCCCACACAATAGTGCTTACGTTTGGGTCAGACTTCATGGGGGGGAGGAAGCTGCATCGATATTTGGCACTTTCCCTCAAGTTAGCGAGCAGGAGTTTCTCCTCTTTATTTTCCCAGATGAGTTTGTTTTGTTTTGGTTCTCATACCAGAGCAGGAATAACATACAGCGGACTCATCAGTCTGCTGTCTGCAAAGTTGTCTCAAACTAAGACAAAGTTTTACTTTAAAAAAAAAAAAAAGACAAAAAAAAAAAACAATTTATGTGCTTTTGCAACAAATGCACACTTTGGCTAGAGCTGCGTATTTAATAATGTCACGTATTCAAGGGAAATGCAGTCTTTAACCCATAGATTAGCACTAGTTTAGTCCAAAGGGGTCCCAAGAATCAGTTGGATAATCCAGATACTAAAGATACACAAGTTTGTCAACTACGTAGATACACAAGTTTGCTAACCCTAACCCAATATTATCTTTGATGTGCAATACAGCAATTCGTACACCATTATTTATCATGTGCAATATGGCAATTTTCATACCTCCATTTATGCCACCGACATATCTTCCATTTCATGCATTCACATCAGCACCTACTGCATCACTTGTTCACTTTGTAAATATTTCTCTCACCGTGTATATTCCTCTTATATTTTTATTCATCTTAATTTTTTTTGTATCTTTATTTTATTGTATTCTTTCAGTACTTATTGTGTGTTTTATCTGTACTCCTTTGAGTCGAGCGGTCCTCTCATCCAGGGCATTTCATTGCATTGTTGACCTTGTTTCACATGCACATGACAAATGAACAAATCTTGAACGTATTGTTCAGGATGCACGTTTATCTAGTACTGCTGATGTAACATTCTTCAAACATAATATTTTTGGTTTGTTGTTCATATAACCACCCTCCATATACGAAACTTATCATGTCTGGCAATTTCAGCCAGGTAAGAAAATTAACTATCAGCTCAGCTATTTCATTCCGCGAAATCTGGGCTGAGCTGATGAGATTTAATAAAGCAGCGTGTGAGAATACTCTGAGATCGCTCTGCAAAGCACAATGTGTCATTCAGCGAGGACTTCAGACAGGAAATGGGAAATCTCAAAGGGTCTATCTTGACATATTGAACACAAAAATGCTTGTGGGAGCTGAAGAACAACACACGCTTTTCTCATGGTATCTGTAATGCGACATCACATTCAGCCCTTGCTTTACCAGTAAACTATATAATAAATGATGTTTTCCTTGTTTTATTATCCAGTAATTATATTATTGTGTTGATTTATGTTGTTATTCAGAGTTCTTCTGCGGCAGCACGTCGGTGGAACAAGGAAGTGGATCGCTCTCTTTATGGATCTCGGGCGTATGCTTCCAAGAACCCCACTTTGAGTCCCATCACTGAGAGGTTTTCCTTTATAAGCCAACCCCTCCTAGCAGAACAGCAGACCCTAACCACAGGTAAAACATGCAGAGAATGACTTTCAGTTATTTAACCACAGATTAGTGTTTTTGAAGAATCAGTCAAACTTTATTTTTAAAGCAGATTAAAAACAATGAAATAAAATGAATAAAAAATACAAATACCAAACCTCACCCACCCTCCTAACCCCCATCCAACACATACAGTGCTCACACGCTCACACACACACAGATGCATACACAAAAGATCAGGTGAGGACTCTTCAACTTGCCACAGATGACTGAGGAAATGCTATCTTGAGTTAAAAATGATGAGGAAACACTAAATCTAGGACTAAAACAATAAAACCATGATAAAATATGATAAAGGTGATAAAGTGTAAAAAGTTAATTAAATAAAACAGTCTTAAAATCAAACAATAACAGAAAGTAAATTTAAAAAAGAGGTAATAAAACACAAAATAATAACTCTTGGACTGAAACTAAAAGCCAGAATGAAAAGGTCGGTCTTTGGTTTACTTTTAAAAATATGAACAGTAGGTGTCGCTCTCGGGTCTGCAGGTAGGCTGTTCCACCGATGGGGACTGTAATGTTAGAATGATGATTCACCATATGTTTTAGTTTTTACTTTAGGAACAATTAAAAGACCACTACCTGAAGACCTAAGGGGTTTTCTAGGCTCATACAGTAAAAGCAAATCAGACAAATAAGAAGGACCAAGACCATCAAGAGCTTTAAAACCTAAAAAAAAGAACCTTAAAATCTACTCTAAAAGACACAGGTAGCCAATGCAGAAATTCCTTTCTGTCATATTTATTGAAAAGTAAAACTTGTGATGCAAATTTGTGAGTCAATCTGCCTGAGACTTGATCCTCATTTTTCCCAACAGCACCAAGCACTGAGACGTGTTTGAACCCTGAGATGATCGATGACACTCAAGTAATTAGTAACCTCACTACAACAAATGTCCAAGAAAATCCATCTGAGGATTCTGCCCCGTCTCCAGTCACGACTAAACCAAGTGTCAGAAGGCCGTCAGGGAGGAAGGTCAGAAGGAGAGGCCTGAAGGAGATGAGGGTCACTCCTGCTGAGGGGATGGTTCCTTGTTTCAGTGAAGAGGAGGAGAGAAAGACTGAAGGAGAGAAAGACGAAACCACTACAAACTCTGAGACTTCAAGGGAGGAAACACCACTGAGCCATGCTGCGCCTGAACAGGAAGGAGCTGACACTGAACAAAAGGCCCAGACCTCTGCAGATACACCCTGCACAGAGTCTGATAGAAAACCAGAATGTCTCCATGCTCTGACGTCAGACTGCCCAGCGATGATTGAAGAACCCAGAAACACTGTGTTTTCACTACCTGAGGTAACACGGAGAAAATACAAGCAAGGCAGAAGGAGCTCCATGTACAGAGCAGTCCCTCAGGAGCTGGGAAACCAAGCAGAGGAGCACCAAATGAGCTGTGACCTGCAGAAGTCAGGGCAGGGAGACCGAGCAGCCAAGCAGGAGGAAAACGACTGCAGGTCCAGCTCTGACGGCCAGGAGGAGGGGGAAGCAGCACACATGGATCTGGCCCCCTGGCAGACTGACTTTAACTTTGAAGATGTGTTCAAACCTGTGGCCACAAGAGGGCAGCGTTCAGTCCGACGCAGCCTGAGGAACCGCAGGACAAGCGACAATGAAGGTCTCGCCTGGCTGCCTTGGACCTCCCCGGAGACCTCTAAGGAGTCTCGGAGGAGGACCCGGGGCGAGCGGCGCAGTGCTGCTCTGCCTGTCCAGCCTTCAGTGCCTGAGGAGACAGCAGAAAACAAGTCATGAGACTTTGACATGACCACAAGGGATACTGTACACTTCAGGGATTAAACTGAGTTAAATGGGAGAGAGACGTTTTAGATTATTCCATAGAAATGAATGAGTTCTCAAAGAGCAGACAGTTTTAGATCAGATAAAATATTGATGTTTTTTGCCCTCTGTGAATTATCAGGGCTGACCAGTAATTTGTAGCCAGTTTGCCTCTGTTAACCAAACCGGTCAATACACAGAGAGCCCAATCATCTCTGCTGACCGCCTCCTGATCAATACCCAACCACTCAGCTGGTAATCACAGAGCATCTTCAGTCTCACTCTCCAAAGTCAGTGGATCGAGCATCTCCAAGTCAATACCTGCTCTTTGTGGATGAATGAAGATTGCCATCCTGGCCTCACCGTCCGTCAGGGAGACTTAGGAAGGGGCTGCCATAATGGAATAGTCATGGTGAGAAAGAATCGAGTTAATATGCTCCAACTGTTCTGATTATTTGTGGTTTATTAAAATGTTTTTAGACTGAGTAACTGATCCAAACAGTGACACAAGAAAACGTTTTGAAGGGATCTCTGTGTCACAGCCAGTCAGGTTGAAATTGTACCAAACGTCGCGTTATATTAAAATAAGTCGGTTTGCTCCAGCTGTGTTTCCTGAAATGTTTAATTCTACCTTTTTCTAAAGTCCAGTTCTGCTTTGGTTTCATGTTAGCGCACTTCATTCAACCAGATTGTGCTCGTTTAACCAGATGATTTAAACCCATTTGGAAGTAAATTCATCCAGATAATAAAACCATCACTTTCTCCACAAATGTGATGTTCCAGCTGTGCGGTCACTCCAGTTCAAGTGCGACACTTTCCATCCGCATAATCCAAGACCTTTAGTCATAACTGAATGCATCGCTACATAAATTTCCATTCTGATCTACATTTTGAACACAGCCAAATCTCTGGAAGTAAATTGACCTCTAACCTCAGATTCCGGCAGCCACGGATTCAAATGAGCTCCTCACTGCTGCCTTCATCCATCTGTCAGAAAGCGATGGAGGGAGCAGTAACAAATTGAGTTTCAAATTCAGTTCACATAGGAGAATTGGCTCCCAGAATGATGCATGAGTGTAATCTATCCATCACGGGGTAATTGACTCCCTCCTTTTACATCCAGTCACAGTCACTTGGCTGAAGGACACTGGAGGGTTGTGGCTTCCAGCAGTTGCCAAGGTCTCTTCTGTATCCCACCCCTGGAAGACAAATGGACAAAATCATGTTGCCTCTAATACAAGTCTTAACAGGACCAAGTGGGGCTGCAGTGCCACCTGGTGGTCCATCTGAGGAGCTGCAGCCACTTGTTAGAAATCTGTAAATTTGGAAACTACTTTCTGAAGAGGGGATGGGGTCACAGAGGCTGATTTACCACCAGGAGGGGGAACAAATAGAGTGGGTTTCGGTCTGTGTTAAAGGGGGTTTTGTTTGGAGCTGCTGCAGAACAAGAATCCCTCCATTCTCGTGTGTGTTTACTTTTTTAATTTCATCATGTGCCCACATTATGACTGTGTGTCTCTCTGTAAAACTGGGAGCCTCTTTGTGCTGTTTTTAGTGTGGGTGAACAGCCAAACTGCTGCACCTCTTTACAAGCGGATGGGGTGGGTGGGTGGGTGGGGAGCAGGACAGTGTGTGTATGTGAAAGGGAGAGAGGGGTGTGAAGCTGAAGCCCCTGTCCCTGGCAGACGGGCATAGTGAAGACGGCTTAACACAAGAACAATGGGGTCCTTTGACCAAAACGACGCCCCCAAGACATGTGGCCTCCTGTCACCGTGGCAACCCCCCATGGGACAGGGAGCGGGCTGACAGCTGGAGAGGAGGACTAACAAAAATGGAGTCTATTTCTTTGCACTGAAGCTTCCAGGCTTTATACCTCTCCCCTCTCCTCCCTGTCCTCCTGCGCGCCGGCACCTTATGAATGTGGGTTACATCTCATTTTACAGCTTCATGTGATTGACCTTACGGACCTGACTCACCACCTACAGCCTCTCAGACAAATAAAAGAGTTAAAGAGACAATAAATCAGCTCTTTATGGGTCCTTGTTGCTGTCAGTAATAAGAGAGCATTGATCTCATTGACAAATATGGGCCTGAGCCACAAGATTTCACACTCACTGTACACTTGATTTTACGGCTCATTTCAAAACGGATGAGCACTTTCTGTACACACACAAAGAGGCATAATCAGTTATTTGTACTTCCAGATTTAGAGACTTTCGTCTTTCAATTAGTTAATTAGTAGCTGAATGGTATTAAGTTGTCCCGCTGCCTCAGTTCTTTCTGAGCTCGTTGCAGTGAGCCTCTATTATTGATGCTCCGAGGCGCGCTCTCTAAACCCTGCACAGCTCTCCTATGGAGCTGAAGACAGCAGGAGGAGGGCAACAAACAAAGGCAGGACAACAACAAGAGACCCTCGAGCTACTCTCAGTTTGCTTTTCTGTCTCGGTGTGTCTGTCTGCTGCCTCAGACCTGCTTCAAACAGCTGCCTCTACAGCCGGTGGAGGATTCTCAGACAGGGAGCCGTTTGATGGCATTTTAGTGCTTGATTTAAAAAGAGTACACAGTTCACTTACAGAGTTTGGAAGGGCGGTCTCCGTACAAACAAGTTTTCTGAGGACTGACTCACAAATGAACGGCTTACATGCTGAGATGGTAAAACAAACAGATTTTATTTTCAAGGATAGAAATACTGAAACTCAAAGGAGAAAATATAGACTCCATGACTCCTTATCTAAACATATATTGAATTATGTAGACTTTTTGAACTGTGGGATTCAACTTGAGAAAAAATTCAGTAGTTGTTCAAACAGTAAAGACTGTTTTTAGTCTTGAAAGTCAAACGATAAACATAAAAAAAGATATTTAAAGTGTTTCATTTTCATGAATGTCAGTGAAGCAAGCTTTGGTTGGGTGAAAAGACTACATATACTGAAGGGAAAAATAAGAGACCTTGAGTAAGAACAAGGTATGTTTGCTGGCTGTATTATCTGCAGCTCTTTGAAGAAACATGGCAAGAAAAAATTAAAAAATGAAATCCCAGCAAGAGTTTTATCTTATTTCTTCTACAAAGGCATTTAAGATATTGAATGTAAATAATAACTGAATTAAAATATGTAAATGGATAAGAAAATTTTCATTTTTTGAGTCTGTTAAAATAAGAAAAAAAAATGTTTTAAGAATACTTTTGTTCTTATTCTCATTTGTCAGTGTCTAATTAGACTTTTTTTTTTAAATAAGTTTCGAGATTTTGCAACAGCTTGACAAAATATTCGCCACAGGCTGACCATGTTTGAAGGCAAACATACAACAGAGGATAAGGGCCACAAGAGGAGAAAAAAATAATTACAGGAGGGAGATTTTTTTAATTTCCATTTTGAGATTAAATTAAAAAGGAGAAATTTTGACTTTGTTCATGTCGACTTTAATCTCAAAATTTTAACTTTTTTAATCTTGAAATTACGACATTATTCATGACATTTCATAATCTCAAAATTTTGACTTTAATCTCGAAATTTCAAGTTTTAATCTTGAAATTTCAGCTTTATTGACATAATTTTGATTTTTTTTATCTCGAAATTTCGATTTTAATCTCGAAATTTCAACTTTAATCTCCTTCCTGTAATTATTCTTTTTTCTCTTCATGTGGCCCTATCCCTCTTTCATACACACAAACCACCAAAGTGTGTCTTCAAATGATGTGTTGTTTTTTCACACTGAGCCTACAGAACAGCTCCAACACTCCTTGTCACATTTATTGTTCAGATCTCTAAAACTCCACCGCAGGGGTGAATGCCATTTTCCCAAATTATATTCTCTCTATTGTTCGGATTGTGGGATTTTTCGACAGAACTGTCATTTTCATACTTTACAGAGGGCGCTCATGGGGTGTAAATATGACTGAGGGTACAGTACAAAGCACTGTCACTGTCTCCTTTTCTCTGTATTATTTGTAAACTCGTGCAGAGCGAGGCCAGAGGAGGAGAAGAAGACAAGTAGTGACATCCTGTTTGTGTCAGGGAGGCACGGGGATTTAAGATAAACAGGATTTTGTTTTTATTCATTTTTTGAAGCAGGCGATATCTGCACTGAGGGTACTCTGACACACAACTCTGCAGATAGAAGTTATGATTTTAATCTTCAACACAGTTTAAATTGTATAAAAGGAAACATGTTTGTTTGGACAGTGGTATATGTTTCTTAAGAGGAGAACAAATTTGTGTGTTTAAATCAGAAAAAAAGTGGGTATGAAGGTTTTTATTACATTTCTGTTTTCTTCCTCTGAACAAGGAGGTGAGCATGTCTTTTTGTTTGACCCTCTGCCTTTTGCATGCTTGGGAAAACTAGCAAACTCTCCTTTTAATCGTAGAAAAATATGAATGGGGGAAAAAACTGTGCAATTGTGAAATCTTAATATGCCCAATGATATCAAAATCTTGTCTATTTGAGACACACTATCCTTGTTCAAATTGTTAGCAGCCAGCAGAGCCAGGATCATCAGCGGTGTGTCTCCGGAGAAAGGAGGCAGTCTGCCATGGCAACTGGAGGAGAAGAAGTGCTGCAGCTTCTTGAAGAACTCCCTGAAGAGGAGCTCTGACTTAAACTCTGTTCAGCTGTGTGAGCATCACGCTGAAGGGCAATGAGACAGCTACTACCCGCTTTGCCGGGGGGGCCTCCGAGATTTAGTTTAAGGAGTGCTTTAAACTCAGCTCTGCTCAAGAAAAAAACAAGTTATCCTCATAAACCAGAGATCAAGAGACACTGTTTTTTTTTTAAACATACTATATTTACAAGATCTTGAGCTAAACAACTCACATAGATTTAAAGTAACTGAAAACTGGTTATTAGTTACAATCACCCGTTACTGCTATCAAAAAGATTTGCAAATAAGCTTTGACTGTTGGGATAAAGTAGTTCATCTTCAGGGCTTTTATGCTTTTACTGTTGGAGGAAATCATCAATTTCAGCTAAAAAACATT